GAAATAAACGTTATTAGTAATAACTAAAAAAAAAAAAAAAAAAAAAACCAATTTTGGGTAAAATCAAAACAAAAAAATCAATGTTTTCCTTTCAGAAAAACAAGTTCAAAATAAAACCAATTCACAATAAAACGATCTGTCAATTTAAAAGCAAAAAATCAACAAACTTCACTCATTCTACATCTAAACATAAACAAAGCGTGGTCCTGACAACCATTTTGAACATTTATTAAAACCTTTGAATAGAATGGATCATGGAGAACAACTGTTTCACAAATAGAATGAATGAAGAGAGCATCTCATCAGGAAGATTGAATCTAATTTCGTCACCAGTCAAGATTTCACTATTAGGAACAAATACAAAACAAGATACAACGCCTATACAGATGGAGTCTACAATAAGTCAAGCTGAAGGGAAAGAAAACTTTGCTATGATTTCAACACAATTCTCAAGCCTTGTTCAACAATTATCCAAAATTTACACCGAAATTGGGTATTCAAAAAGTGATGTATCCAAAAATGAGAAAAAGTTGTTCAGCTCGGTCTCTAACACCCTTGATCAATTTCTCAATGATTCCATCAACTTCAAAGACTCATTAATTAAAGAGAATGGTGAAATAATACAAAATCTAAAGATAATATTAAACATACTAGATGATCAAACAGGTTCCAGAACAATTCCAGATCTGTATATCAGAAACCTCATACTCAAACCTTCTCAAGAAAACTCAACGCTGCTAAGCATTAGAAAGTCCTTGGAAATGGCGATAACGCATGTTTCGAAAAAATATCAAGAGATCATGCTGAAGTATCTGGCCCAATGTTTAGGCCTCAATAAATTGTTGGAAAGGCTAGAAAATCACAACTTCAAAGAGATACAAATACCAAACTTAGATAACTCAATAAGCATATGCAATGTCTTTGAGTCAGCAACTTCACCTTCTGAAATTTATGAAATGATTTCAGCAGATCCCAAAACATTTTTTGAAAATGAGTCCCTAAAAGATTTATCCATCAGAAAGTTTGAGTCCATTTCAGACCAGATCAAAATTCACGAACAGTTTTTGAAGGAAAGAATCAACTTTCTCAAAGAGAAATCTAATGAGATTTTGGGTCTATGGGAAACATTAGCAATTGATTATACTGTTGATTACGCTTCTCTAAGTGATCAAGTGATATTTCATGCGAAATCGGATGCTGATGTTGAATCTTTGACCGTTGGAGCCTCTGTTGTGAATCAATTTGATCAAATTCTTGGAGAGTTGAAAGAGTTGTATGAGACCAGGTTTCAGCAAAAACAGAAGTATCAAGTACAATGCGAAGAGTTATGGGTAAAACTAAATGAAGATGAAACTCAAATTGCACATTTCAAACAATCAAATCAGTCTCTATCTATTCAAAGCATAGATAACTACTCAAGAGAGCTACAAAGATTGTTAGAATTGAAAAAGCTGCTTTTAAAAGATTTGATATTAGATGCAAGAAATACGATTGAGACACTTTGGGACAAGTTGCTTTATTCCACAGGTGAAAGAGACAAATTCACAGCATTTCATCAGGAAACTTTTGATGATGATCTTTTGACATTGCATGAAAGTGAAATTGAGATTTTAAATAAGAAATACGAATCATACAAACCAATTTTAGAATCAGTACAACAATTCAAAGACCTCATGAGTGATAAAAAAAAGTTGGAGGAAAGTTCAAAAGATTCATCAAGATTGTTACAAAGAAATTCTCACAAGATTTTGATGGAAGAAGAGAAAATAAGGAAAAAATTAGCTAGACAACTACCAAAAATAGTTTCCTCGTTGAAGTTGAAACTCTCAGAATTTGAAAAAGATTATGGTACTTCCTTCTCATTCTTAGATACTGAATTGATGAGTGAGCTGGAAGAGCAAGAACAATCTTTGGAATCAAAAAACTCCAGAAGAGTTGTTAGTGGTGGATCAACAGCACCAACAAGATCATCTTCAAGAGCACCAACACGACCAACAACCAGGGCACCATCTAGACAGCCTTCAAGACAGCCTTCAAGAATGACATCTCGTGCTACATCAAGAGTAACTTCTCCAACCAAACCAGTGCCAGCAACAACTAATCCAAGATACCCACCACCAACTCAAGGAATAAGAAAACCAGCTGTTCCAACCTTTAAAAGACCAACGCTGGGAACAAAGCCTTCAATTCAAACTTCTCAATCTTGTCTATTGCCGAAATTATCATCTCCACCTAAAGATACCAAATTGAACATTATGCCAGATATGATCAAAGATCATACAAGAGCAGGAATAAGAAGGACTCCAATTAGGGCAATACCCTCTTTCCAAAGAAGTACCAGCTCTTTCCAGCCACGACTATCAAGATTAGATGAACAAGTCAGTGGAAGTCCAAAAGCTAGAAGAACAAGATTATCGCCTTTGAAAGAGTCAACACGTTCAAATTTACCTGTTTTATCCAAAGGATCCAATAATATTGTTACGTCGCCTTTAAAGTCTTTGAAAAAAGATGGATATAGTTCAGAAGAGAAAGAGCACAAAGCTATGGATCTGATCAGTTCTGACGACGAAGAAGATAATGATACATATTCAAGATGGAGAAGAGAACAATTGCAAAAATTGAATAAACCTTCGATTAATCTGAGTCAAGATACTTTTTAAATTTTTTTATGATTGAATGAATTATTTTGTGTTATATAATACCTACCAAAAGACAATGGACAATTTTTATATTAATTTCGTAAGCCATGAATATTGTAGTTAATGCCCATCACCATTTTTTTGCTTCTAATCCATCTGGTGGTGAAGTTTCAACAGTTTTCTTGGACACTTCACCCCAATTAGTACTTAAAGCAGTACCGTTACTTTCAACATAAGACTTCATCATAGCACGTTTAGTATCATCATCTGCATTCTTGTATAATTCAGCGAAGAACGAATTCTCATCTTTTTTTTCAGATTCGTCGTCATCATCATCTAGAGTTAATTTACTCCAATCTTTTGCATTTCTAGCAGAGTTTGGATATGTTAAAACTGATTTTGGGATTGGTTCTGTTGTTTTTTGTTCTTGAGCTGGTTCTTCATCACTTTTTCTTGTTAATTCTTTCCATTTACTTTCAACAGCTTTAGCTAAGGATAGTTCCAATTTAGTGGAGAAGACTTGATGAGTTGACTCTTCTGGTTTGATATCGCCAAATAAGGGTCCAATATCATATTGGAATTCTGAGCTTGATGCAGTAGGGAATTCAATTGAAACTGATTGCTTTCTGTACTTGATCTTTAATGAATCATCTTTTGGAATGTTTTTAACAAAAAGAGTGACTGTAATTTTATCCAACGATTGAAACCAATCAATTTTGAAGTTTGGTGATTTTTGTTCAAATGGAGTCGGAAGAGGTTCAGTTATGGTTGGTTTTGGAGGTTCTTCTTCTATGATTTCAGCAATTTTAGGTTCTTTTGGATTTTTTGGCTCTTGTGGGATTTCTTCTGGTTCTTCCTCTTCAAATCCTTCAGGTTTTGAAGTCTCTCTAGCTTCATAATCAAAGTCTTTCAAATCAGTTTTTTCAACTTTTCTTTTGACTTGGAAAGCCCATAGATCAATTGCCTTTGGGTCATGACCTAAATCTTTAGCAGAATTGAGATACTTTATAGCAGTTTGATAATCACCCTTTTTATGGAAAATTGTAAAAAGTCTGAAATAAGCCAGTCCGATTGATTCTCTACTACCCCTTTGCTTTGCAACATCAAATGCCTTACAGACAACCTTCAATGCTTCATCCAATTGTTTGTTACGTTGTAATGCTATTGATTTTGCAATTAATGCTTTGAAAGCTTTTGGATTCTCTTTAAGCGCCAAATCATATTGTTCAATAGCCTCTTCGTACAACTGCTCGTCACTGAGCTTGTCACCAGCTTCAATGTATTTCTCAACAGCCATTTCACCCTTGTCAAAACCAGACTTTCCAAGTTTTCTTTTCAAGGTTTCCAATTCTTTTCTACAACTTTCTGCCAGAGGTCTTTTGAGGGTTTTCGCGAAAGTCGTTAAGGTCCTGGCCGTATCAAATCATGCTGGCCGTTTTCAAAAAAAAATTTCAAGAGCGATGAGATTAAAAAATGGTATAAACTTTGGAGATTTAAGACTTAGTTAAGTGAACAAGATCTAAGAAAAGAGTAAAGATGAGTGATTCAGTTGCCAACTTGAACGAGCCAAAAGTCCAGTCATTGGTGCTCGATGCCACACCTCTTATAACACAACACGTCTCCACACTACAACAATATGCTAAACAATTCTACACAACCCCAACGGTTTTCAAAGAAATTAAAGATGAGCATGCTAGAAGAAATTTAGAGCTTTGGGGTGATAATTTAGTATTGAGACATCCAAAGAATGAATTCATCAAGAAAGTTAGTGATTTTGCTAAATTAACTGGTGATTATGCTGTTTTAAGTGCTAATGATATTCATATCATTGCATTAACTTATGAATTAGAAGTTGAATTAAATCATGGTGATTGGAGATTAAGAAAATTCCCTGGTGAAAAATTGGAATTCAATAACAAGAAATCTAAGCAAGAAGTTAAACAGGATGAAGAACCAAAGGAAATAGTGGCTGAAACCCCAACAACTGAAGAACCAAAGAAGAAACAAAGACGTAGAGGTGGTAAGAAACAAAGAGCTAAAAGAGAAGCAGCGTTGCAAGCTGAATTAGATGTAGAAGAGCAAGAAGAGCAGCAAACAGAGGATAAGGAAATAAATGAAACCACAAAGGCCCTTGATGATTTGAAGATTCAAAATCAAGAAGAAGAAGAACCATTATCTCAAACTGATCTATCTGAAGACTATGATGATTCAGATGATGATGGAGATTGGATTGATCAAGATAATTTATTACAAGAGATGATCAAAGATCAAGGAGAAAAAATAGAGAACCAATCAACAGTATCATCATCAACAAAGATTAAATGTGCATTATCAACTCAAGATTTTGCTGTACAAAATGTTTCCTTACAAATTGGATTAAACCTTATGAATACACTATCAGGTTTACAGATCAAAAGAGTCAGAAACTATATGCTAAGATGTTATGCCTGTTTCCGTATGATTCCATTCCCAAAAGATGGTAAACCAAAACATTTTTGTCCTCATTGTGGTGGTCAAACTTTATTAAGATGTGCAGTTTCTGTTGATGCTAGAACTGGTGATGTTACACCTCATTTGAAGGCAAATTTTGAATGGCATAAAAGAGGTGATCGTTATTCATTAGCTTCCCCATTAAGTAAAGCTTCTCAAAAAAGATTAGGTAAAAAAGGGTTTGTTCATAATAAGTCTAATAAACAAAAAGAATACAATGAACCTATTTTAAGGGAAGATCAAAAAGAATATGCTAAAGCTGTTAAAGATGAAGATTGGTTGAGAAGACAAAATGAAAAAGTTTTGAATGATTGGATTGGTGGTGGTAGTGCTGATAATTTTATTTCACCATTTGCTGTTCAAGGTTATAGATCAAGTGGTGTGAAAGTTGGGAAAGGTAGATTTATTAACTCATCGAGAGGTAAAAGATAAGATACAAACAACATAGAATAATAATAAATCATATTCTTTATTGAGATAGTTTTTCTATAAACATATCATCCGTAAATTTGAACCATCTAATTCAATAAAAATACAACACCATAAAAAAAGGAGGAATCAAAGAAGAGAAAAAAAGTTATAATAAATAGTCATGTCTTTTCTGTTGTTGTATACATATCTTATCTTTTTTTGTTAAGAATATTAAATTTATTTAGCTTCAGTGATGAAAGTTTCACCTTTGGCAATGTTTTTCTTTAAAGCTTCTTTGGCTTTAGCGATTAATTCTTCTTCATGTGCTGAAATTTCACCTAAACCGTGGATTTTAGCAACACCTTCTGGACCTAAAGTGACTTCAGTAGCAAAGAAATCAATACCTTCGCTTTGGTAGATTGGGTTTTCAACAAAAGTTGGTTCAAAGATATCTCTTTCACCATCTAAACCTTTGATAACAGAAGAAGCGAATCTAGCACCGGCTTGAGCCATAGATAAAGTGGCAGAACCAGCACCATCTTTAGCTTTAACGACTTCATCACCACCGAATTGAATTCTGTTGATTAAAGCATCTCTAACATCTTCTTTCAAATCTTTGTGTTTAGTTTGAGATAATAATGGAACAATGGTAATACCAGAGTGACCACCAACAACGGTGACTCTTTCAGTAGTTGGATCAGTACCAGCAACTTCTGATAAGAATCTTGAGGATCTCAAGACATCTAAAGTGGTAACACCAAATAATTTCTTTTTGTTATAAACATTTTTTTGTTTGAAAACTTCACGAACAATTGGAACAGTTGAGTTAACAGGGTTTGAGATAACTAAAACAGCAGCGTTTGGAGCGTTTTCAGCAACGGCGGCAGCTAAATCTCTAACAATTGAGGCATTGATGTTGAACAAATCATCTCTAGTCATACCTGGTTTTCTTGGAACACCAGCTGGGATTAAAACAACATCAGAACCGGTTAAAGCGTTCTTCAAACCATCTTGTTCATTTGGAGAGTAACCTTTAACTTCAGAGTTTGTTGGGATATGAGAGATATCAGCAGCGACACCTGGAGCACCTTTCAAATCGTATAATGCCAATTTAGTAACTCTGTGGTTTAATTTCATTAAAAGGGATAAAGGTTGACCGATACCACCACCAGCACCCAAGACGGTGACTTTGTAGTTTTGGGCAGCGCTTGATGAGAATGATCTTTTTGCGACTCTTGAGAACATGATTGCAGAAGTAAGTATGTGGTCAACAACTAAACGAAGATGTGAGATTCCAATTGATCAAATTAATCAGGTAACGAGATATTTATACAAGTTGAAAATTTCCACGAAGATCGAACAAAGTTGAAATGAATGACCGGTATCAAATCTGTTAACTATGGGGATTATGTCATCCTGAGTGTGGGTGTTACGTAATACCAGCCAATAGAAAGCGCCAATTGTCAGCGGTAAGGGCCACGCACGGTCCCGTTTGGAATTCACGCCAAACAGCTGGGATTTAATGGGCTTCTTTGCCTGGAGAGCCGAAGAGAATTAGGCTGAGAATGAGGAATTACCACGGTCTAACAACAGCTGTTTGCCTTGTCACCATCCTACTTCATCCGTCTGATGGTCATTGGTTTCCAGAGTGGCTGTTGATACCGTTTGACAGGTACCACTTATCGTGTATACGTTGAATATTGAAATTAAGGTGTGCATAAGTGAAAACGGGTGCATCGTACATCAGATAAACACAGAAGAACTGATGGTAACAACGAATTGACTCGATACCATTCGTCGAGGTGAACTGGATTTGAGATTCATAAAGGTGTTCTTGAGGTCTATGTGGCCACTGGCCACTTTGTACTGAACTTGATTTTCAATATGAACCTAGATCAACAATAGATTGACAAGTAGTTGTTAATATAGCCTAAAACTACCAAAAACAAACCCAAACAAAGTATATTTAATCACAATAGATTATCCAATAGAGGGGCAAAGAAAAGTGTAAAACACCACCATTCATGAATTATCATACATGAAAATGCTGCTTCAACTCTTTCAAGAGGTACACGTCGGTCTCTATAATCAGCACATGATTAATTATAACCGATCGTCCACTCGCCAAATCCATGAAACCATGATCATGACCTTTCCCAAGTAGATTGAACAAGTATTAGGCTGGCTAATAGGGATCGTGGTTAAAAGGATTTTGATGGTTATACGGGAAATAAAAGGACTTATGGATTTGATAATAGCTTTTCACGGATATTGTCGCCGTGTGCACGTGATCAATTTGTAAAAACATAAAAATTTATGAAATTGCATCAACTGCAAAGCCATCAACGATATTAATGAATAATTTACTTTTAAGGTTACTCTATATTGCTCATATTTGATGTAGTTAATGAAAGCAAAATTATTAATTCAGCAATTAAATAATTTTATGATTAAATAATTTTTAATTTTTTTTTTTTAATGTATCTGATGATATGTGTATTTATAAAATGCTAAAATAATGTACAAAATCACTGGGGACTCAGTCTATGACTGATTTATAATAAAAGGGATAAATCAGAATAAAAACAAGTAAGAATGAACTAAAAAAGCTGGCCATTGTTATAATTGGAGCAATTGTAAAATTTGTGGAAATCACCAAGATATTCCTAATACTGTTCTTGATGAAGTCCGAATGGTTTGTTAATTAGTTGATTCTAAGGAAATAATTTTATCAATAATGATAATTTTATCAATAATGATAATTTTAATTTCAATTCAAAATTCTTCAGAATTAATTTCCCCAATTTTTTTTCCACTTAAATCACTAAAAACACATTTTATCTATTCCTAAAACTCCAGTTTAATTGGCTCGGGAACTTTTCAAGGCCCTATAATGTTTAAACAAAAGTTTGTGGTTAATTAATTATCAATCTAGGTCCAAGTCACGTGACAGCTACTTAAAATAAATATAATAAGCTGCTTTGAATATTACACGTCTCATAATTACAATATAGCGAAGAAGAATTGTAAATGTTCAGTGCCTGTAATCGCAAATCTATATCATATGCGCCATGTACGTGAGTAAATGAATTAAATGTCATGTACTGCCAATGCTGGATGCATGGTGTCATTATGACTACAACATTATTACAAAGTACAGCTTTTGATACTTTTATTGAAAACTCCTACAATCAATATTCTATAAAAAACACGATAATTAAATTAAAACTCTTATAAATAATATATATAGAAACGAACGAAGATTAGGGAATCAAATGAAGATATAAAAAAACACACCAATGACCTAAACAATATTTTTATGACATGCAACTAAATTCAACCAGCTAGTTAACTTATTCCAATTGATAAAGTTGACCTTTGTTTGGAGCATTTAAGATAATACCATTCAAAATACCAGCCATAATACCGGCACATGGTAAAGTAAAGATCCAACCAAAGTAACAATAAGCAACAATTCTCCAGTTGACTGATTTAATATCCTTGTTACATAAACCAACAAAGACAGTAGCACCAACAGCTGATTGAGTAGTAGAGACTGGGATAGCCAATTGAGTAGCCATGACAGTGGTAACAGCAGCACCTAATTCAATAGAGAAACCTCTTGATGGGGATTGTAAAATTAATCTATTACCCAAGTTTCTCATAATGTTATAACCATAAGTCCAAACACCAATGACTAAAGCAGCAGCAGTGTAACACAAGACCCAGACTGGGACGTCAGCTTTTTTATCAACCTTGTTTGTGGTGTAAATGTTCCAAATGGTGGATAATGGACCAGCAGCATTAGCAATATCATTTGAACCATGGGCAAAAGACATGGTACAGGCAGTAATGGCTTGTAATAAAGAAAACAAGTATTCAATCTTGTTATCATAATATTTGGAACGAGCATGCATATCTTTCAAGTTACCAGATAAAGCACCAGTGGCATGCATTTGGTTTGAAATAACATCTTGAGTCCAACCATGGATGAGCATCAACCAGATTAATCTTGGCCATTGTTTTGGTTGTTTAGCTAATGACCACCATAATTGTTTTGTAGTTTGTTTCTTTTCTAATGGAGCATTTGGAGAAGCAGCAGTGGAGCTAGCAGCAGTTTGTTGTCTTTCAACATCAAGGTCATTGTTATATTTAGATTCCAAGTTTTGTAAATCTTTTTCATAAGTAGCTTTATCATCTGAAGATTGATCAACTTGAACATTAGTGTTATTTTTAGTTGGTTCATCATCAGTAATTAATGGTTCATCATCATCGTGGTATTTACCTGCATAATAATCTGGAACCAACATATGACCTTTTGGAATTGGTGGGATATCATCAGTTGGAGCGAAATAATAAGTTGGACCAAGGAAGACATGATACCATTTTAATCTCCAATCTTGGAAAATCAAACGTCTTCTAAAGTATGGGAATAAAAAGATAAAGTAGATAATAGATGCAACAGCACCAACACCAACGATTGAACCAGCAATAGCACCATCAGATAAGTTGTTCAAATGTAAATTTGGAGCACCTTTCCATGTAATCAACATGGTTAAGATTGAAAAAGTGATAAAGATCAAGATTGGCATTAAAATTAACCCATTTCTCAAGTTATGTTTTCTTTCCAAAACACAATATTTAGAAATTAAAAACAAAATTGAAGCAAAACAACCTGCAATAGCTGGGGCAATAAACCATGAGGCAACAATTTGTGAAAACCCGTTCCAACCCCAATGAATGTTTTTAGCACCAACAGCAGCAATACCAGAACCGATAACTGCACCAACAATAGAATGAGTAGCGGAAACTGGTAAACCAAAAGAAGTGGCTAAAGTTAACCATAATGAAGAACCAACTAAAGCACAAGCCATAGTTAATAATAAAACAGCAGGATCATCTTTAAAAGTGGAAATATCAATAATTTTAGATCTAATAGTATCCGAAACTCTTGAACCAGCTAAGACAGCACCTAAAAATTCCATCAAAGCAGCTAAAATCATAGCTTGCCAATATTTCAAAGATCTTGAAGAGACAGAAGAAGCAAAAGAGTTAGCAACATCATTTGCACCAATATTCCAAGCATCTAAGAATGCAAAGATCATGGAAAGAGCCACGATATAATCGAATTGGTGTAATCTTCCAGCCATTGTTATAATGTTTCCTTGCTATTGATTGGTGATGTACAATGAATAGAACTAGGAATATCAAAAGATTAACGAGGGAAAGAATGTAGATATTTATACAAATCTAATCTTGTGCTGCCTCAGCAGCAGCAGCAGCATTTGAGAGTATACAACCATTTTGCCCATGTGCTCTCTCATTTCTCATTTTCTTTTTGAGCCTTTGGTGAATAAGTTTTCAGTTCAAGTTTAAAATTTTGCTTTACTTTGTGCCAAGTGAGACGACCTTAACTATGGCGAGTGTGGTGCGTACCGCTGGTTTGCCGTGACAAGAGTTTTCGTTCTCAGCGTATTTCTTAGCCCATGTGGGCAGGCTTTAAATTGGGATTGAGTTGAAGGGAGAGGGTAGAGAAGGTTTAGATGGTGGTAATGGTGGTGATGATGTTATTGGTTATGTTGGTTATGTTGTTGTAATTGTAATTGATATAATTTCATGCTCAGGGTCTCCCATTGTTGACACAAACGGAAGGACCCTGTGAATTTGAATCTGAAGTGTTTTGGTGGAACTGGCCAAAGGCTGAAGAGCATTCGCAGGGCCAACAGGCACGTTTCTCTAATTAATCCACGTCGCACGCCCTCTCGCCAATAACGTCTTCAATCATGGCAACCGACAAGCAAATTGTAAAGACCCAAAGAGATAATAAGGATTAACAGAAACCGTGGAAGACTTCGATGGCTTGGTGAACACTCGTGGAAAGTCAAGTACACTGTATTAGAAGCTACTAGGCACTTAGTAGTTAGTACTTAAGAAACTACTACTGTATTGGCTATGGATCATCTCAAGTTTGCAACAAAGATAGATCTCCACTGGAACAATACGAGATTAATGAATGAACATCTGGAAAAGAAATTATACGACGTCAATAGGTGCCTATGCAAAAGAAACCTTTTAAATCCCACAAACCACGTTCTCTCCAGGTTTATGTCAAAAACGTTGAGTACAAAGAGCATACATCTCGAGAAAGTTTGATCTAGCAGTCTTTTGCCTCGTGTTACAACATTTACTGTACGTTGTGACTCGTGGATACAAGCGCTTCTTCTTGATTCATTTAGCCCACGATGGCTCATTGATATTATTGTGTATTGTGTAGCTTTTTCAACTTGGTTGTAGATATTTTTTTTGTCTCAACCGGTGATTGAACATACACTAGAGAAAATTTTTGGCCATATGTTCCTTTACCATTGTATGGCTTACAATATCAATGATCTGTGGTATATCAGACGATAGATCAACGTATCCTTTCCTTTTTGGCTATTTTCTCCTACAAAAAATTTGAATCTCATATCACATCACACTATTGAAACATCAATAATACACAAATTCATCAAAATATCTTTCACTCATCTTTGAAAATATGATCAACAGAACCACCAAGATATAATTTCAACTGTCTTTTAGTTGCAGGTAAGATCTTACACTTCACCAAAGTTTCAGGTCCTTTCCTTTCATAAGCTTGAAATCTATGACATCCACCAAATGCAAAATAATAAACTTGATCATTTTCCCTAATGGCCAGAACATCAATCGGTGGTAATTCCCCATTTAGTTCAACTGCTTCATCTAATGTACATGTCTTTGATGCCATTGGAATACCATCTAATTGTGATGACATTGCATCTATTTTATCATAATCTAATACTGGTGGAATTGGTCTTTTGATTTGATTTAATGGGAGATACGATAACTTCCCTATACTTCCTGATTGAATTGACATGATTCTAATATTCTATTACTCTATTAAACTTTATCCTTATAAACTTGTTAAACTTGATTTGTTTGTAAATTTTGAAGAATTGACACCTTTTTTATATCTTTTAGGTTTTTGCTTCTAGACAGGTTGCGGATTAGTGATGTGGAATCTGGATTATGTAATACTCTTCGTATTAAAAAGATTACTAACAAAACATAAAACTCGAACAATAACTGAAATTACACCTTATAATTGTCATTATCATCAATATATATTTTCATCATATACAAAAATGTCTTTAAATTCATTAAATATCATCAATACCCATAACAACCCTACCAAATTCTGCCTTTTCAATAATTTGCCCAATCAATTTTTCGTTAAATAACACACCACCATTCTTCAAATCATTATTAATACCTTGATTATTAGTATTATTATCACTGTTCTCCCTTTTCTTACATATCTGATCTAATGTTTGAATGTTATTGCTAGAATTAATCCTCGTGGGACTTCCTACTCCTGACCATGTTGTTGTGTTTTCATTATCATGAGTGAAATTTTTCAAAGAATCAGTATTCGTTGGCACTTTTCGATCAATCTCCATCTCTATTGGAGTTCTAGTACATGCTGTGCTTTGGAAAGATCCATTTACAGAATCCTGTTGTTTTGGTAGCTGTTCTGTTTCTTTAATTAACGCCATGGGTATTATTGTCCCATATCCAAAAATCCTTACACCTTTTAATGTCTCCATTGTTATAAAACCCTTCTTCTACTGTATCAAATAAAAATTCCTTTCTCTTTATAATGTTTAAGTATGTCTAACCTATTGACGTGTAAGTGTGTGTAAGTCTGGAGTTTGCTAATACGAGATAATCCCTTATCTTTTTATACACCTTATGATTTTTTTTCCACTTCTCCCTTTTTCAAAATTTCCTCTAGTCAATTTTTAAATCATCGTTTTTTTTTGTTGATCCGAAAATCTTTTTTTCTATGGAGAAAATTTCAAATTAACCCGGTTGCCCCCTTTAAGCCGTTGACAACGGTAACTGGGGTAATAGGAGCTTTGTTATGGGACACAATCGTATAATAAATGTTTTGCACGTGACATACAATTGAAATTTTATCTAATTTACTCCATTTATTAAGCACATTACATTAATTAAACTAACTATATATGTTCCCTCTACCCCCTATATCAACCCACTCTTTTTCAAATTAGATTGAACAATCATATCTGTCACTGCAGTCAAAACAAACTTCATACTTTGTGTATCTGTAGCACAAGTTCTATGAACATAAATTGGTTTATTAGTTCTGTTTAAACCAAGGAAAATATCTTCAAAATATTTAATACCTGAATTAACATCTCCTAATTTACCTCTATAATCTGGGAAATATTTTCTAATTGATGATCTTTTAATTTTCTCTTCAAATAAATCAATCTTGTTCAAAAATAAAATGAATGGAGTATTTATAAACCATTTACTATTACAAAGTGAATCAAATAACATCATTGCTTCATGCATACGGTTCACTCTTTCATCTTCAAACAACATTTGATCATATTCTGAGACTGCTAAAACAAATAAAACTGCAGTTATATCTTGGAAACAATGAATCCATTTTCTTCTTTCAGATCTTTGACCACCTGCATCTAAAACTTTGAATTTAGATGACCCAATATTAAAATTTGTTTCTGTGATACCAGTAGTTTTAATTCTCCCTTTCAAAATATCTTCATTTGTACATATATAATTTGGATTTGCAAAATTATCAATATTATCAAAATAATATGATGCACTACCTTCTAATTGAAACTCATTTGATCTTATAAAACATTGTTGAATCCCTTTATCTTCATACCATAGTTTCTTAATAGATTCTGCAATCAAATCTCTAGTGAAATTTTCAGATTGATTATTTAAAACATTTGAATTTATTGTACTAACACCAGGTCTAATTGAAGTATCATTTAATCCCTGGGTAATTTCTTCTAATTGAGTGACTTTATCACCATTATCTCCTCCTCCCAATAATTGTTGCTGTTCTTGTTGTTGTTTTTGCTCTATAGAATCCCAAACAGACCCAGTACGCCCTGTACTTTGTATTCTTCTTTTAGCTTCACTTCTTTCACTATATTTTAAAACATAATCATTCAAGAAATTACTACCACCTGCAATACCAGTATCTATATGATCCAAAACTTTAGCTCTTAATATAACAGTCTTAAAATGTGATAATTCAGAGTTTGGTAAATCACTATCTAATGAAATCCCCAATTTTCTAGCTTGTATTATTAAAATCCTCATACTTTGAATAGCATCAGCCCATATAACTTGTGCGTACTGTTGACGCTCTTGATGTGTGAAACCATTTTGATGCAAAACTTTCATTTGCTTTAAAACAGTTGATTTACCTGACTCCCCAGCACCTAATAACAATAATTTAACTTCATTCTTTTCTCGTTGTTTTTCCATCATTAGTCTTTTCTCAATAGCCGCATTAGCCTTTCTACTTTGTAGTAAAGGATCATCTTCCTCCTGTACTGGTGTACTAGCTGCACAACCCATTGCTTATGATACTATATGTGTGATTTGTTGGTGCTTTTTTTTTCAACTAATTGAATGTGTAAAGTGCTATCAAAAGGAATGATGTTTGGATATATTTGTGATTAAACCGTGTCAATGGAGCCAAACAACACCTAAACTTAACTCAACTGTACTAAGACTTTGAAAGTGGATATAAACCTTAAGTAAAATTAATAGTTTTGTTCTGGGTATGTTGTGTTTTTTTTTCCTTGAAGTATCCTTTCAAATTCATGTTGTATCAGATTTTAAAGAGCCTCAAAAAGTCGTCTGTCAAAATTCAAAGTGTCAAAAACAATTTCACTACAAAAAACAACAACAAAACTTTCAAAACTGCTTTATACTCCCGATACTGTACAGAACTAAAGACCTTTCAAAATATTCGACTAAGACCCTTATTTGCTATATTCAATGGTAAGATTTCGTTGCTGAGATTGGTGGGCTCTGAATTCTCCTTTTTGATCAAATTGGTTCTACTTGTCAGCTCAACATCTTTCCAACCTTCCACACTTTCATCTGAATAATTATAATCTTGAAATACTCCACCATAAACTGCTGAAGTTTCTGCACCCTTGAGTGGGTCATTCTCCAAAGTATCCGAATTCATTGAAATTTTTGATTTGTGAGTGGATGGTCTTGATTCTAAATAATGGCGTACAGATGATGATGGTTTCCTTGTTTCATCAACTATAGTTTTATCAAGTCCATTCGACATGACGGAATCGTCATTATCATTAAAAAATGTGTCTTGAATTAGGTTCTCATTATTTACTGACTGGTGGAGATACTGATATGATGGGATTTGTTGTTGGTGGTGTCGAAGTGGAGGTATTGATCTGAATGAAATCAATTCTGAATGGCAACTATTGTTTGAAAAAGATCTTTGGTTAGGATCATGTTTTGAGCTAGTGAAGTCAGCCACCAAATTTAACGAAGATTTCGAAAGGACCGGTTTTGAACCTGTTGATAATAAAGCTGCATGTAATGATATATCGTTCATTATCATTCTCCATGGCTCATTTGATTTGTGTTGCTTCGATGCTGGTGAGTGGGTTTCCTTTGCATAACCACTATTTGATCTTGAAAGATCTATCAATGGAACACCAGATTTTGTATTCCTTCTAGCATATGATGTTGATTTTGCTATTTTTTCAGTTTCAACTTCTTGTGCGTCTTGCTGGTCAAAAATAGATGATTGATCAATGCCTCCCGGTGATTGTGCAATGATTTCAATTCTATCAACAGCAGAAATAATTGATTCTGAATTACTTGGTGGATCTTCTTCTTCAATTGGTGTCGGTGGATCTGGTATCTTTGATAATGGGTGTCTTCTTTTGAAGAACCAAAACCGACGGCGCAGCCTTGATTTTGGCTCAATATAATTGACATGATTAACAACTTTTTCTGAAACCTCATTAACAGACGGTGGGGTGTAATTTGTTTTGTCACAGAAGCTCAAACAATGCTGGTTGTGATACACAGGGCTTCTCAAACTTCCTTCAGCATCATTGTGACATGTGCATTTGCATTGTTGACGTTTAACTTCAAGTGTTACACTTGATTGACCTGATTTTATTTTCTTATAAGCTGAGATATAACTTCTAATGGTAGAACCGATAACGGTGTTATTGTGGTTATCGTCATCCTGACTATGGGTTTCAACTTCATCACCTTCTGATCTATCCGAGAACCCTATAAAGTCATTTTGTTCTGTTGGACTTTCTTCTTGCTCATCATCTTCTTCCTCAATTGTTTCCTCAACTTCAACTGGGTCTATGTTTGTTGCAGGATCAAATGTTCTCAACGTTATCAATGGCCTACTTGGATCACGATTTTTGATGACATGTTCTTTAGAGCTGATTTTGTTCTTGTTATGGTGCACCTCGATCTTGAGTCTCTTGAACTTGTTTTTGAGTAAGTTGATATGGTAGCCCATGGCTTAACTTAAGCGGTAAATTTGATGGTGACTGATTGATTGCACTAATTTTGACGAAGAACTTTACAGACAGTGGTCTATGAGTGCATGGCTTCAGTAAAAGGTCAATACCAACATGTGTGATCGAGTTTGATGGCTTTTGTTTTGTTTTCAATTTCTGGCGGCTGTTGTGTATATTTTTTGATTTTTGTGTCGTAATAAAAACACACAAAAACTAACTACAAAGAAAAATTCAAAATCTACATCAAAATAGGTAATTTTCAATGGTTTTTCATTTTTTTAGGGGATTTTTTTGTTTTTTCTCGGTAGAGATAGAAGTTCTAATTGCTCAATTCTCTGAATGATCTTTCAATTAAATCCTTCATCTCTTTGTAAGAAACAATCAAACATGTTTGTTCATCATGGGAAACAAGCAGAATCTTTTCATCAATACCAGCATCTAATTTGTTTAAAGTCTTCAAGACAAATGCAAGATCTAGAACCGGTTTACCTCTTTCATCAACTTGATGGAAAACATATTCACGGAACAATTTGATCGGATATCTTTCACCTGATTGAGACCATGCAGCATTTTGGGTATACTCTGGTCTATCAGTTATAAAATTCAATTTTGTGAGTAATCTGACCAATCTTGCATTTTCTAATTCTCTTGTTAATTGAGCTTCATAGTAATCTGCACTCTCCTCCACACGACTCAACTCCTCAAATAATTGAGGTGCTATTAATTTTTGAAATTCTTTTATGGAAAGCTCCGCTTCATCGCTCAATAAATATAAAAGTGCCTCTTTGAATGCATCATCCATATTGTCTAAATTGGCTATTATATCTTTTTTTGTTGAAAACTTTGAGGCACCTGGTGATGCAGAAGCAGCTAATGTTAATAGCATTTCACCCAATTTCTTCAAATCTCTTTGTTTTAGTTCTTGTGCTTTCTCTTCAGAGCTTTCTTCATCATAGTCTAAAATATCAAATATACCACAATCTGATAAACGCAATCTATTTTTACTAGTGATGATGGCCTTTTGAAGGGATATGGATCTTATTGATAAGTTCTTTGAATGAGCACTAGCTATGGCACCTGTCAATTGTGTTGTATAACCCCATAATGCTCTTGGAGTGATTGGTTCAGGTTTACCACCAAGGTTCGAATGGAAATGTTGCTCAATTAAATTTTTGGAGTTTGGATAATAATCATAAACAACAATTAAAGAATTATCACCAAAGCTTCTTGAAGTGAATGCATCAACAACATTTGCAACATTTGAATTTTTGAATCTTATCCAGCGATTAATTGTGGATAAACTTTTATCTTTTGAGATTTTGACACTCTCTATACGACGTAAAACATATGCTCGTCCATCAACATTTGAAAATGCTTTATAGAGTGAGCTATTATAACCATATGTGGTATCTGATTTGTTCAAAGAATTATCTAATGGGACTAAACTGTAATAGACACCAACAAGTTCTGGTAAATTTGAATGAGGTAAAGTTTTCAATGTAGATTCATTCTTCTTGAGTAAAGTTTCTCTTAGCTCATTTGGTATGAATAAAGTCTCGGCTGTTTGTTCATTTCCTTTCAAAGGTATTTGTAAATGTGGAGGTGGAGCAGGGGCATAAAGATGGTACTGTAAAGGATATGAGGATTGTGGGTATAAGAAATCTTGGTGAGATGTACCAATCGACGCATATGGATTCAAAGAATCCGTTGTTTGGGCATAAGGATTTGGTTGAACTTGATCTGTCGGTTGGGCAAGATAAGGATTTGTTGGAACTGGTGAACGGTTCAATGTTGAGGGAACTTCAGATGCTGGGAGAAAAGCTGGAGTATCAAAGTTAAATTTATTGGCAGCCGATTGAGAGTCTGCTTCTCCAAAAGTACCCGATGGAACAAATGATGGTATGTCTGATAATTTTGGTGAAAGTGTAGAGAACTTATTGACTGATTTTGTTGTTGGCGCCAAACTAGGAGCATTAGAAATAGCAGATGATGGAAGAAAGGTTGAAGCAGCGAGGTTGAATTTTTTCTTTGAGTCAGCTAAAGATGGGTTTGTAACTGTGGAACTTGCACTTGGAGGTCTTGTGGATAATGAAAGGTCATTGATTGATATATTCTTGGTTGGATCTAACGGAACTGTGTTATTACTGATAGCAGCAGTATTATTCCTTTTTGAATCATCATGCTTGAACGAGCACCCTTTACCTTCATATTTACAAAACCCATGGATTGTGATATTTCTGCAAGGGACGTCTTTAGCCCAGTCCAGGTTTGCTTTGATATGGTTAATGTCATCTTCATTATCGTTAAATAATCTCACTCACTTTTATCCATCACGGGAATCAACTGATAATTGTGTGCCTGACACCTGAAAAACGCGTGGTTGCACCTCTTAGAAAGGACTGATTAGCATATACACCACTGCTATGACACAACGGATGGCTCTGGAACTATAAGCTCTTTTGTTTCTATTCCAATGTCGTAAACCTTGTGTAACTGATGCTGTTGTTGTTGTTGACATTTCCACGGTGACGGGTCCACGACAGGGCAATACTTCCAGTCGCGAATTCGCGTGTTCGCGAACTTGTTTTCCACTTCGGCTCTAAGCTGCTCAAAGAACCGAGAAGTGCTTTATGATTTAGACACAATCGAGACCAAAACTTGGATCGTGAAAGCCTTTCAAACCAATTTTGCCTGTGAAAATTTTCAATTCACTCTGTTAAGCTTCATTTTATACCAAAACAATATAAATCTTTGACGAAATGGGTGTTATAATCTTGACAGGTGCTTCAAGAGGTTAGTATATGATTTTCTTTCAAATAAGCAGTTTTCTCTAACAGGGCTAAATTAGGGATCGGTGCAGTAATGGCTGATATTCTTTTGAAGAATAAAGAAAACAACCTTGTTGCAGTTGCACGTTCAGAAGGGCCATTAAGAAACCTAAAGATAAAATATGGGGAAGAAAGAGTTGCCACTGTTGTTGGTGATTTGAGTGAAGCTTCAGTTGCCAAAAAAATTATTGATACAGCAATTACACAATTTGGTAGAATTGACTCAATCATTGCAAATGCTGGAGTTTTACAACCCGTTGCCCAAATAAAAGATGTTGATATCGATCAATGGAAAAAGCTGTTTGATGTTAACTTTTTCTCCATAGTTTCATTGGTGTCTTTGGCACTCCCTGAATTGAGAAAGACTAAAGGACATGTTGTTTTAGTTTCATCAGGTGCTTCAACAAAATCATATGTGAGTGTTTATAGAATGTATCAAAAAGACAAAACTAACAAACCATAGGATGGATGGGGAGCATACGGTGCCTCTAAAGCTGCCATCAATCATTTTGCTATTCAGCTTGCTGGAGAAGAGCCAGATGTGTCAATTGTTTCTGTTGCACCGGGTGTTGTCGATACCCAAATGCAAGTGGATATAAGAGAGAAGTGTAAGTATATAAAGAAGTCATTAGAGAATAGCAAGGTTACTAACTTGAGTAAACAGTTGGCCAAAATATGACTCCTGAAGGGCTCAAACGTTTCACTGATCTGAAATCCAACAATGAGCTTCTTGATCCCTCAGTTCCTGGTACAATATTTGCCAACCTAGCGCAAAGAGGATTCAGCAAAGAAATCAATGGCAAATACTTGAGATATAATGATCCATTACTAGAGTCATACACTAAATAATCATTTCACATCTTGTACAAAGAAGATATAAGCGTATATTGAAATAGGCGTTTGAAGCCCTGTCCTGTAGGTATTTTTTTTTTTTGTTCCTTTGGAATTTTGAGCTTTGAACGTTACAAGAGTGAAGAACTTCAGCGTAATACTAGCTCGAATCTATTATAAAAAATGATGAATAGACTACTGTTGGGGTCAACAAGATTGGCCTTCAGAAAAAACACCCTGTCATCAGCCACAAAATTTGCTAAATCGTCAAACATCATTCTCAATTCACGTTTTTATTCCACTTCCAATTCCGAAAAACAACAAGATCCAAAGTCAACACCACCACCAAGAAGTAGTAATAGAGGTAAAATTGCCATCTTATTAGCCTTATTAGCTGCTGGTTCCACAATTGCATCAATATCAATCCAAAAATCTGGTCCAAAAGAGCTAGTTGAACCAGAAAAGCAAAAAGCATTCAAAAATGGTGACGTTTCAGTAATCTTTGTCTTGGGTGGTCCAGGTGCAGGTAAAGGTACTCAATGTGCAAATTTAGTTAAAGATTATGGGTTCGTTCATCTTTCAGCTGGTGATTTACTAAGAGCCGAACAAAAAAGACCAGGTTCTGAATTCGGTGAATTAATTGCTCAACATATCCGTGATGGTATCATTGTGCCTCAAGAAGTTACTATTGCACTTTTGAGAAATGCAATGAAGGAAGAATTTTCTAAAGGTAATACTAGATTCTTAGTTGATGGTTTCCCACGTAAAATGGATCAAGCTATTACTTTTGAAGACGAAGTTGCAACTAGTTCATTCACTTTATTCTTTGAATGTCCAGAAGAAGTTATGTTAAAACGTTTATTAGAAAGGGGTAAAACTAGTGGTCGTACTGATGATAACATTGAAAGTATAAAGAAAAGATTCAGAACTTTTGTGGAAACAAGTTATCCTGTTGTGGAATATTTTGAAAAACAAGATAAAGTTGTCAAAGTTTCCTGTGACCATCCAGTTGAAGCTGTTTACGCTGAAGTTAAGAAAGCCATTAAAGATAAAATCAACATTGATGTTAAATGAATAAAGAATACCATTAAATAGAAGAATGAATCCAACGTGAATAGATGGAAACTACTGTAGTTTTTTTAGCTTGAACGATCGCGATCGTGATCTTGTCGAAACCAAAACAAAAAAAAAAATAACATCAACAAAACAAACTGCCCTAAATCCATGTACCTTGAACAGCTAGATCAGAATCTTCAATATAGCCTTATCTTAAAATGGGGAAAAAGAGCAAAACAGGCCAACCAGCAATCTACATTGCACCACCATCCGCCAATTTCAAAGCTGACAAGTTCACAGTAACAGATTATGATCCACAGACTCAACTCCATGATCCATTCGAAGATGACTTGGATTTTTTATTGAAGGATGATACTCATACTGATGCTATTGAAACCACCACAACCATAGATGAAGATATTACTATACCAATACCCAAAAACTCAAAAAATAACAAAAATAATGCAACCACAACTGGTCCTATAGAAGTTAATGTCACTAAAAAATTGAAAAAAGAGATTATGAATTTCGACATTACATTCTCAGATGATGAAGAGGTTTACCATCATAAGACTCAAGGTGGTGTGAATTCTTTGGCAAGAGAAATTGACTCTGACAGGTACATGAGGGCTGAACTAGGCCTAGATCTATCAGATAGTGATGATTTTTCAGGTAGTGAGAATGATATGGATGCTATGGCTGAGCTTTATGAACAATTGGAAATTAGTGATAACTATGATCCTGTAAGAACTGAGCATTTTGATGAGAAAGGAAGCCTAAAAGTTGAAACAAAGAATGCTGATGGGAAGAAGAAACAAAAAGGGAAACCACAAAATGGAGCAAACAAACAAGAAAATAACTCAGATACTGCTCCGACAAAGAGAAGAAGGGAGAGAAAGAAGAAAGAGAATGGTTCAAAAGATGAGAGTAAACTAAAGAAAGAAGAGAGTGAACAACAAGTTCCAAATAAAGAAACTAAAACAGAGCATGAAGGCCGTTCAAAAAGCCACCAAAGAAGGGTTAGAAGAAGAAAGGCTGAACAATTGAGAAAAAATGGTGAAAATGGCAATGATCAAACTAAGGAATCTCAAGATGCTGTCAACACTTCCAATAACGAGAAGAAGTTCAAGGGGAAAAATCAAGGCTCAAACAAACCAAAGGAATCCGATGCTACAAAGAGAACTGAGTTAATAGAGCAACAGAGAAGTACAAAACCAACAAAGACAAGAGGGAAAGCTCAAAGTGATAGACATGAAAAGTCCAAGAGTCCTGAAACTCAAGAAAAGAGCGAGAACCGCACGAAAGAAAAAACTACCAAAGATGAAAATAACCAAGAGAAGGAAAAGACGCCTAGAAGGACCAAGAAGAAGGAAGAACTAAATAGGGATAAGAAGGAAAAGAAAGCCAAATCAAAAGATCAAAATATTGACAAATCCAATTCCAAGGCTCAAACACAAGAAGCTAGTCAAAAGTCAAACATGGATCAACTTCAGGAAACTATTAAGAAAAGAATGAAAGAATTGAAAGAAATGAAAGAACAGGCCTTACCACACATTGCCTAATTACTACAGCATTTTGTTTTTAGTCTCGTTAGTTTTAAGTTTATCATTATTGAATGCAGACTATTCACTCTCTATTTCCATTATAGCATCATCGTCATCACTTGAATCATCCCCATTGATTAAATCAGCAGCTCTTTGTTCAACACTTTGGTCCAATGTATTTCCATGTTGAGTTACAGCTTGTCTATTTCTATTGAACAGAGGTGTAGCTGCTGGGTTATTTCTTTTCTTATTCATCAATAAAGATGAATCTCCACTAAAACTATCAGCTGAGTTTGTGAAAAATCCAAAAGTTCCAGGTGCTGAATCTTCCTTACTTGACAAACAGTTTTCTTCAAGTGCTCTTTTCAATAGATCTGATGGAACTGGATCACTTGGATTTATAGCTAATGCATAATGTAAATTTTCAATCGATTTCGAAACTTCTCCAATTTTCAAATAAATTAACCCAATTGCCGAATAAATATTTGAATCCTTATTTGATATTTTCAACACTTTTTCAAAACATGCCAATGATTTTGTAAACATGTTTAATCTTCTATAAACATGACCCAAATTTGCATGTATTGATAACCATGCTTTTGAGTCAGAGTTACTTCTTTTGGATGCTTTTAATGCCTGCATGAAATAATTTTCAGCATTTGTTAATTCATTCTTATGATAGTAGATCACACCCATCTCATTCAAAAGTAAAGGGTCAGAGGAGCAGATTGAATAAGATGACAATAAATATTCTTCTGATAGTGCCAAATTACTCATTTGAAGGTATTGCATACCAAGAAATAAGTTTGGTAAATGTGTACCTGGGAAAAACCTTGCAGCAGTTGAATATGCAGAGATTGCTTGCTCATGTTCTCCTTCAACTGCAAATGTATGGGCGAATCCTATCCAGGCTTGACCAAAATTTGGATTCAAAACTGATGATTTCAAAAAGAATTTTCTTGCCTCTGATATTCTGTTGATTGCCAAATAATAAATACCAACAGCTAACCACGTTATTGAATGATTTGGATAATGTTCAGCTAGTTTATGAGCTGTTAAAAACAACTTGTTTTTTCCACCTAATTCATGCAAACATGATAAATATATCGGTAAGGCTGAAAAATTGAACAGATCTTCTTGAAGGATCTTTTCACAAATCTCTAAACAGTTTTGGAATCTGCATTGCATGAAAAGAAGCTCAGCTCTACTAAACATGACTGTATGATTCTTATCAAGGCTGAATTCTTCTTTTAATCTGATTTCTGCATCTTCAAACTTATCCACATTCAAGTATTTGTTAATTCTTGTTGTATATAGAGATTTGATAAGTTCTGCATTCTCATCTGTATCGGAAAAATCCAACAATGAAAGTAATTCCCATTCTTCTAGAGGAGTGAGCATGTTGTTTGTTATTAGTTCATCAAATGCTTCATAACATTTCACATCAACTAACACTGCTTCTTTATAACAATCTTTTGCCCTTTCAAGATTATTTTGATTAGCATAGATCTGACCTCGCACATAACACAACGACGCCTCTAGTTTAATACCACCGTCTAAATTTTTAACATGTTGAGTTTCATTTTTGAATGGATTTGTTTCACCAACAATATCTAACGCTTCATCCCATTTCTCCAGTTTAACTAAACATAATGCCGATAAATAACGACAACTGACACTTGAAGAATCCAGATTGTCTCTTGCTAATAGTTGTCTTGCCCGGTAATAGTTACCATTAGAGTAATATACTTGTGCTAACCAAAATGCATCATTTGGATCATTTGTTAAAGCCAATACTTTATCACCAATATATTCTGCAGCTTTGTAGTGATGTTGCATTAGAGCATCGTGCCTCCAGAGTCTCAATTTTTCAGCAGGCGACAAGTTTGTGGTTGTAGTTGGCTGTGCGTTGTTACCATTGGATAGTTTACCGCCAGAGTGGTGACTGGGTATATTTGCAGTTCTGTCTATTGATGATGGAGTATGATCTGAGGCACCTGCCAATGGACTTGGGAACAGAGGCTGGTTTGGAGTTGATCTGAGCGTCGTGTCATGTGTTCTGTTGGCGACAAGCGGTGAGATGGCCAACGTGGAGCTATGCTGGGAAGGGCTATTGGCAGGCATCTTTGCTCAAGTGGTGACTGGTTGGTTGAAATGTTGAAGTTATGGCATTTTCACGTAAACAAAAACAAACCAGAACATTCGCGAATTTTTCAGAATTATTCTTTTTCCGCGAATGTGTTCTGCGATTTGTTCCATGACGAATCTCGCGAAACTTGAAAATACTGGGGCAGAAGGGCAGCCAGCATCAAGAAATGCGTTCAATTTGATAGGAAGTTGTAGAGAATTCCATAGATTTATCGTTTATGTAACACAATTCAAACGAGGACTCATAAATATACATCTTTCCCAAGCCAATTACCGTGTAAATCCGCTGCCTAAATGAATTGTGGTTGGCCTTTTTTCTTTTTAATGGTCTCGAATCTCGAAAGAGTCATAGAGAAAAAAAAAGAGCCAGCGACCTTATTTAAAGATAAGATCAAATCCATACTTTTGTTTCTTTCTTTCTTTCGAACTTCAACTCGAAATTACAAGATACAATACACCACACAATGACTAAACCAGTTACTTTACATCTAAGAGCAGAGAAAAAACCTCTTGAAGCTCGTGCTGCCTTGACACCAACCACTACTAAACAATTGATCCAAGCTGGATTCACTGTTTATGTTGAAGAATCAAAACAATCCGCTTTCAAAGCTGAAGAATATGCTAAAGTTGGTGCTAAAATAGTACCAGAAGACTCTTGGAAATATGCCCCAACTGATCGTATCATTATCGGGTTAAAAGAATTACCAGAAGAAGATACTTTCCCATTAATTCATGAACATATCCAATTTGCTCATTGTTATAAAGACCAAGGTGGTTGGCAAACAGTTTTAAGCCGTTACGCTAGAGGTGATGGTACTTTATATGACTTGGAATTTTTGGAAAATAACCAAGGTAGAAGAGTTGCTGCCTTTGGGTTTTATGCTGGTTTCGCTGGTGCTGCTTTAGGTGTCAAAGACTGGGCTTTCAAAAATACTCACGCCGATTCTGAAGATTTACCAGGTGTTGAACCATATCCAAGTGAAGGTGCACTAGTCGAAGATGTTAAAAAAGATTTACAAAAAGCCTTATCAAAAGGTGCCAAAAAACCAAAAGTTTTAATTATTGGTGCTTTAGGTCGTTGTGGTTCAGGTGCTGTTGAATTATTAACCAAAGCTGGTATTCCAGATGAAAACATTCTGAAATGGGATATTAAAGAAACTTCAAGAGGTGGTCCATTCAAAGAAATTGCTGAAGCTGATATCTTTGTTAATTGTATCTATTTATCAAAACCAATCCCACCATTCATCAATTATGAATTATTGAATAAACCTAACAGAAAATTGAGAACTGTTGTTGACGTTTCAGCTGATACCACCAATCCTCACAACCCAATTCCAATTTATTCAATTGCCACAGTTTTCGATAAACCAACCGTTAGAGTTGAGACCAAAGCCGGTCCAAAATTATCTGTGGTTTCAATTGATCATTTACCTTCATTGTTACCAAGAGAAGCTTCAGAATTCTTTTCAAAAGATTTGTTACCATCCTTATTGCAATTACCAAATAGAAAAACTGCTCCAGTGTGGGTTAAAGCTGAAAAATTATATAAACATCATGTTAAACGTTTGAGCAGAGAACAAAAATTATAAGGTGATTGATTCAGTTTGTGATTTTTTTTCATCCAAAAGACTGGTTTATTTAGTTCGAAAGTTGTTTTTACAACCCCATTTTTTATAGACTTCAAATAATATTCTCTATTTGACATTATTATACAAACGTAGCTTTAGTTTACTCCAATTCAACAGTAACTTTAGCATTCTTTTTCGACTTCTTACTCTTCTTCTTCTTACGACCCTCCATTATTCTTTTCAATTCAGCTTGATCGGCTTCATTTTCACTCTCACTCGCACTAGCAGCTTCTTCATCATCAATATCATCAATTCTTCTCTTCATGGTTTCGAATTTCTCCACACTTTCTGAAGAAACTTCAACACAATTTAATCTTTCACCTGTGTTATAAACTGCAACTTGATCTTTAAGTGCCAAATCCCAAATAACAATGTTACCATCTGATGAAATTGAGATTAAATATGTTTCATTATTGACTCTGTATAATTTGAAATCCTTTATACGGTTTGTATGTCCAACTAGTTTGAATTTTGGCTCTGGTTCTTTATCATCTTCAACTTTTGTTAAATCTTCAACGTCATAAAATTCTAATGAACCATTATTTAATCCAACAACAGCATATTCAACATCATCAATCTTGTAAACTTCGATGTGCATTAATGTACTTTTGAAAGGAACTTCTTTGATAATTTGTGCTTCAGATGTTTTATAAACCAAAATTTTATTCAATAAGCCAACAAAGAAGTAATCACCAGTTAATGACCATCTAACGAATTCACCACTTTGCCAATCATTTTTAATTTTCAAATTTGCAGCTTTTTTAGCAGTCATCAAATTCCATAATCTAACAGATTTATCTTCACCAACACTAACAGCGATTCTACCTGATGGATGAATAGATATATCATTAATTCTACCCTTATGACCTTTTAAAGTCCCAAAAATTTCCCAATCTTTTGTTCTCCAAATAATAATCTTACCATCATCTGATCCACTTAGTAACCATTTCCCACTAGCACCTGATCCAAGAACTTCTTCACCATCTGTATGCCCTTCATGTGAAAATCTTAATGAAGTGATACTTCCTTGATGTCCTAATAATGTACCCAATTCTTTTCTTTTCTGTAAATCATAAATTTTGATATGTTCATCATTACTCCCAGTGACTAAATATCTCTTAGCAGCAGCAATAGATTTGATAGATAGAGCATGCGCTTGGAAGTGGAATATTGGCTGGAATACAGGTGTTTTTTCCTTCTCTAAAATCAAAGAAAGTGATAATAAGTTATGTTCATATGATCCCACATAGATACGGAATTGAGTTTTGGCTTGTGAAGTAGAGGTGGTGGAGCTGGTTGGAGGTATGATTGTTGGTTTGATTACGCTTGGTTTTGAAGAAGACTTTGGGTCTTTGACTTGTACTTTTTTACCTGCCATGATTGAATATGGTGCTGTTATTATTATTTGGACTGTTCTGAGTACTTTAAAATGGTTTATGTTTTTACATGTAGGAAATTTTTTTTTTTCAGATTGGTTTGAAGCCCTGATCCGATGAGGTTTAAGCAAAAATCTACAACATTCAACATGAACTAAAAATTGTATTTCATAAAACTAAACAAAAACTAGTACAATTATTAAAATGCAAATATTAAAAAATAGCCACCCTTTAGACAATATAAAACCGATATTTAATAAAAAAAATGTAGAAATAAATAAACAAAATTGATAAAACCAAAACAAGTAATTGAAAATCCCTTCAATTATTAACGTTTATAACACTCGTGACTGCTTCATTCATTTGACTGAAATGTCTATTAAAAGCAACTTTCACACGTTCATTACCAAGCATGACTTTACCTAACCCACTTCTAACAAATTGTTGGAACTGATCGTTCCAACTGAAAGTCCAACCTGAATTTATCAAAATAAAGAATGAAATGATCAAAATCAACAAAGGTAACCAAAAGAACAACAACATCTTATCATTTTGAACATTCTTACGTTGATGGAAAAATTTGATAAAAATATCTTCACTTTCATCTGATGAATTGTTTGAACTTTGAGCTGTTGAATCGGTTTGTGAATTCGTAAATCTTAATTTTGGAATAGTGAAATGTTTTGTTGATGATGGGTACAAATCATCATATTTTGGTAAGTCTTCAGTATCTGATGAATTGGTGTTGTTGAAAACATTTCTAACTTTATTCCACAATGAAACATCAGTAGGTTGTGTAAGACTAGAGGAAGAACCAACAGTACTTCTTCTTTGCAAGTCAATAGCTTCGATACTGTCATCTTCATCATCTTCATAGTCAGCGTCTTCACCAGAATAATCAACATCATCACTTTCTTCATCACCAGCTTCAACAGACTCTGAATCGTAATCATCACTCTCCAAACTATGGTCTGTTAGATGATCATTAACCAATCTTGAAACATGAGCACCACTATGGAAATCTAATTGATCATCATCAATTGAAAAGATTGAAGATGAGATTGAAGAGTTTGAAAATTTTCTTTGCATCATTGAGCTATGATACTTAAATAGATCCAGGACATTGGAGTCTGCAACATCTTCAGGAGTTGATCCGTTGTTTGATTTTGCAGAAAGATTTGCCTTACAATTAATCAACAGTTCAATTGAACTTCTGTCACCAGCCAAACTTGCAAAATGCAAAGGAGTGAAACCATTAACATCTCTAGAATCAACTCTTGCACCTTTTCTAATTAACAAGGAAACTAATTTGTAATAACCTTTCAAACATGACAAATGTAGTAATGTTTGGCCCTCTTGTGTGCATAATGACCAGTTTGGATTACTTGGTAATAGGTTAATCACTTGTAAAACCAGCTCTTCATCAGTGTATGATTGTAAATTATTGAATGAATTACCGTTAACGTTGACATTTGAAGTTTCTGAGCCATTAGAGCCACCACCATTAGATGCATTGGCATCTGAGCCAATGATTTTTCTTGCAATGTTTCTAGCATCTTCTAATTTACCATTCATTTTCAAACCGACAATTTGTAAAGCTAATTCAATCAATTGTCTATCACTATCATCAAGATAAGTGAAAATAGCAGTATTCAAATTATCAGAACTCTTGTTTGGTGATAGTTCTTGTTGAGTACTATTTTCTTCAAATGAAACAATAACTTGACCCGGTTGTGAAGCTGGTGGTAAATAAGTAACAATAGTTGAGTCACTCCAGCAATGTGTTGAAAGAGCTTTGTTGATACCAAACTTAACAGTAAGTCCTTGTCTAAAATTCGAACCAAGTAATGTAACTTCAACACCACCTCTTAAAGGACCTTGAGAGGGAATGATTCTTTGAATTGTTGGTAATGTACTAGATACTGAATGCGCTCCACCATTTATAGCAGCTGAAGACGAAGAAGCTAAACCTTGGTCAATAGTTGATAATTGAGAAGCTGGTGAAACAGGTTCTCTTTTAACACCAGCACCACCATTAGTAGTATATGATGGCTTTCTGGAAGGTGCAATGCTGAATCCATCTGAAAGTTCTGGAGACCAAGTTCTCTTTCTTTTGAAGACTCTGGAGTCTGTTGTATGGGGTTCTGAACTATCTTCCTCTATGGAAGTTGGTGATAAAGGTTGACCATTCAAACGGATATTCAGATTGGTATCACTATTATTATTACTGTTATTAACAGTTCCAGTCGTCACTGAATTTGAGGCTTCATTGGCAGATGTGTTGTTATCATCCAAAGTTTTCTTTCTATCCATAATCATTATTGAACTTGAAACATGTTTAGCTAAAATGTTCTCTTTTGAATCTTTCAAGATGAATAGTAATTTGAAACCTTTTGATTCTTGATGATGTCTGCAATAACAAACAATTCTAGCTGAAATTTCAAGGTCTTTGGTGTTTGTATTTTGAACAGCTGGTGGAAATGAAATAACTTCTTTACAATTGAAAATCACAGCACGTTTAGAAGTGTTTGTACCCCAATTCAAGTTATCGCTAACACCTGATTTTCTTCTTGAAGCTCTTTTTTGTTCCCTTTTAACACATCTTGCACAAATGTTACAAGATTTTTGAGAAGTAGCGGTCAAAACATAAGTATCCAAAAACAACATATTTTCTTTGACTTCGTTACTTAACTCAGATTTCAAGCATAATTTCTGTTTAGCAATGGTATCAGCTGGCAAATGAACCAAGAATTGTGGAGGTGGTGGAGATATGGATAGATCCAACTTGATTTGGGTTTCAACTCTTGAATAAGTTGGTAGCTCTTTGATTTCCATTTTATAAGGTAATGAGTTTGGATCAGCTTCAAGGTATTCTTTTGGTAATTCAGTCTCGAATTGAGCTGGGGTATCACTACCGAATTTCAACTGCGACAAAATTTCTCTTGAAGTTTCATATGATGGATCAAATGGCGAGTTCATACTAACAGAGTTGATTCTTGTATCTGGAATGGTGGAATTTGGAGTAGTAAACACTTCATGCTTTGAAACAGATTCAGGACTGTTTAAATCTATAGAATTTGGAGTAGTAGCATGGACGCCTTGATGGCTGTAGTTATTGTTATTGGTGTTATTCATTGAATTGTGTAGTTGATTGTGATTAACTGTGGTCAAGTTTGTGCCATCGACAGTTGGCGTAACACCGAAATTTGTGATATCAAATCCATTTTGACGTTGATTATCATTACCAACACCATTGAAATATAAGAAATCATTCTTATTCAATTCATCAGTTAGGAAATTAGTGAACATTTCATCATCTTTCATAGTGATATCATTGGAAAATTGAACATTTTGATGTGATTGTTGTTGATTTCTTGATGGATCTTGGTTATCTTGTGGTTGATCATATAAACGTCTGTCTAGGAATTCATCCAATATATCAAAATCTTCAGTTGATTGTACTATATCCTGATCCAGACCATCCTTGTTGTGTGGGAGGTTCATTGAGTCCTCTAGCTTAGTTGACATCACTGGATCTCTAGTCTATACCTCAATTCACTGGACTCTCTAAGTTGTTGAAGTTAAGCGCTCTATTGCTGAATGAACGATTGATGAGGTTTTATGGGTGGTCAGGGGAGTTGTAAGTTCTGAATATTGTTATGGTGATGGTTTTGTCAGTTGGTTGTTGTTCCAATTCTCTTTCAATTCAAACAAAACGAGAAAAAAAATAAAAAGAAAAAGGCGTTAGCTGAAGCAAAAGGAGAAAACAGCCAACTTTATAACGGAACGTCCCTTGAGCAAAACAGATACACAGACACTCTGGGATTATGAATCGTAGCGTTGGTTATAAGGCTAGTGCTTGTTGGCCGTTAATTACTAATGTGTTCCAGTTGGTTCTGATGGTTGTTAATTGCGATAGTTGTTGTGCAACTGCTTACGCTGGAGCATTCCAAGGGAAATGTTACACGGTACGGGCCACGCACAGACACCGCCCTGCCTAGACGCTACAGAGGGCTCTGCCTAACACACACTCTCAGGCCAGAGAGCGCTGTTAATCGGACAAGTAGCTCAACAATATCCCAACAACTTTCGAGTGGCACAACGGGCCCACTCCTGACAACTGACACACAACTGATCGCGTTTGTAGATACGATATAATTTACAGGATACGTGGCTTGAATTTTAAACCCTTCGCCAAAGTATTTTGCCCAAGATGAATCGAGTCATTCCAATCTTCTCTCCTCCAACCAGCAGCAACTTGCTGACGTTTAGCCAACAAAAAAAATGAAACACCCAAACACCATCGCATACCACTTCGCGAATTTAGGTCATGTGATTTTGGAGCCAGATTCACGTGATACAGTTTTTTTTTGTTTGAGACGATCAAGAGTGTCGACATCGAGATTTTTTACCAGCTCCTGCCTAGCTCACGTGACCCATAATTCTAGGCGGAGCTCAGCCTGGAACTTAGGCAGAGAGGCCTGTCTCTAGGCTGGAGCTCCGCCTAGAGTATAAATTGTATGGTAGAATTCTTCAAAAAAAAAAGTTAATCAAATTTCAAACTCTTTTCCAAGCTTATAATTACAAGAATTCGCTCCTAAATTGTTTCAACTCAACCAATTACCTGTTCCAATGTCTTATTTTACTCGTTCTCACAATGCGAGGATTGACTAGCAATGATTCTACTAGGTGCACATTCGCAGAAGGCTAAGATACTAATGCTTTGTTTACAAACGTTGCTCAACGAGGTTTGACCCTTGGATTAGACCATTGTGAAAAAGAAATCCAACCAACTGCTGCTTTGATTTAACTGGCTAGTCCCCTCCAATTCAGGCTGTGCTCTTATTGACCTTGGTGCTACTTCATGTCTGGTTATTTGTGATGCTTTATAAACTCTCACTCAAGTTGTGCTACTACTGGATACTGCAAAATTCATCGATCATAAGTTATGTTTGTTTCAGAGGATTCAGAAACTGGTATGGTTGATTCTGAAGGTAAAGAAAGGTTCTATAATATTGCTTGTTGCTGATGGCTATGCGGTTGGTGTTGTTAGGCTGGTCATAATAACGCTGTATTTAAAGAAGAATCAAAGTCTCGCTGGTAGATGAAGCTGAAGATGTGAACAGTGCATCGCTTGAGCGTGTGGTTTTAACATCGATCATTGTGGAATACTCACCTTATAAAAAACAATTTGAAACCATTGTTGTTTCAAGCGCTAGCAATTGGCAATAAGGTGAGCCGTAACAGGCATCTCCAAAAAATAGTCCATTTCTGGTGCCATTCTAACTGCAACTCTAACAGGAATACTCAAGTGCTGTTACTGAACACACAATCTATCAATCACGAGCCATCATTGTTATAAGTTTTTAAGGTCAATGAGAGATTCTCTAATATTGGTTTTCACTGATGGTTTTACACTACAAATACGTCTTCAATCAAAATATTTAGGTACATGATTTGATAATGTTGTTTTTATGTATATACAGACGTTGCTAGACTCCATTTCCACGTATGTCTGATCTCTTTATTGCTAGTATAGGGTCAATATTTTCTCTTAAAAAACCACCATTTGCTTCAGATAATAATTCATTTGACTTCGCCATATCCAACCTTTCTTGTCTATTCACAAAAATTTGGTTGTCAGGTGGTGGTATTGTGGCAATGATTGCATGGTTTCTTGATCTTTTTCTTGGTCTTCCTCTTCCTCGTCTCCAGCCACTGTTGAGAGTAGTCCTTTTCTTGTAGCTCATTGTACTGGAGTTCTGACTGGCATAGTCTCTGGAACCAAGAGATCTTTTCAAATGATTTCAAAATAAATCACGAACATTCTCGAGGGTGGAACTCTAAAGGTCAACAATTAAAGAATAAGACCAAACAACTTTCTTCACCTTAAGCAATACACCATCTATCATTCCTTATCCAAACGTGTCTTGATCGCTGACTGGAATTAATATATAATCCATAAGAAATGAACCGATCGATTGATAGCCTGGTCAATAACTAACATTTTAGAAGAAAACAGCACACAGCAGCTCCTAACGGAAGCTCAATCATAATGTAACTCATAAATGTTAACACTTCGAATTCTGACGAGAATAAGCACACTTAAATAGCTTCAACTTGAGCACTTTCTTGCCAAACATACATTGTATAAAATCAAAACAGTTTCAGAAACACAGCTCAAGCCACATAGACGGTTCATGTAGGGAGCAAATCAATCCTTTTATTTGGTTTCTCCAAATCCCTGAACTTGATAATAACCATGTATCCTTTCCACTTATTGTTATTCACCGGACAACAACTTGCCAGCAAGTTCGCATTGGGCATTTTGCATAAATGAGAGAATATGCCACAGCTGTAATTCACCCGTATCAGCAACTTCATGGTCGCACTGAAATTACCAAGGATGAAACTGGAGCTCTTGAAGTGTGAGAAGTCCTCTTCATTGCTTTTAACACGAACCATCATAGTTATCTCACTTAGTCCACACATCAACAAACGTCAGCCCAAAACACGTTAACATGAGAACAAACATTCCATCAACCCCTTGATTTTGCTGGTTTCACATCATAAATTCATTCCAAAGTACCCCAATCCTGGTGTAAGTCTATTATGTGATCATTCTCTGCCGAACCTACACTTAGTGCCAAAAGTAAGACTGTTTGCACTTGTTGTTCCCTTGCGCAATATTTGTTGTAAAGGTTGAGGTGGCAAGAAGGTAGAAATGTAAACAATTTTTTTTCGTCGACGTTTTTTTTTTCGAGATAGGAATGTAAACAAAGAAAATTTACCCGGCCGTAGGCCGCGAAAATCCGGCCTATAACACTATACGTCAACACAGCTAGAAGACATAAAGATGGTCTTTAATTCATATTTTCTAGTGGAATCGTTTACTAATTGATTTATTGATATTTTTATATTATATTTAATTGATTTTCTTCAATTTTAAAATATTTATAAGAATTTAAATAAATTTAGGGACATTAGTAGGTAATTTTTAAATTAAAATATTAGATTATTGTACAATGAAAATTTTCGACGGAAAACTTCAAATGTCAATAACTGAAGCAATAATAAAGATATCAAAAAAATTGTATTTTTCCCAAAAAGAGCGGTGCTGAAATTAATAGGCAAAAATATTCGCATGTTATTAGCTTTTGTGGTGAGATCGGGGCTAGCTTTGCAAGAGTGATGGAGGTACCGTTTTGATTTTTTCTTAGCGCGCTCCCATACTTAATTTTTTTTTTTTGACTGTCGCCACTCTTGAAGTACTCTTTTTGTTTTCCCACCTCGAAATAAATCTCGAAATGAGAACGTCAACGTACCAAATATTCTGAAAGAAGCAGTTCATATCATCACAAAATGGGTTTCAAAAACACTTTATATGTTAAAGGTGGGTATAAATTACTACTCTGATCCCTGTTCCGTCTTTTTCTTACTGCGTTGGCGTTTAAAATGATAGAGTTGGGCTAATATGTTTTTTTCAAGGAATATCTACTAACATCGTGTAAAGGTTTCTCAAGAGAAACAAAAGCTAAAGATCTAGCCGTTGACTTTGAAAAGTAAGTTGTCTTTGCCAATTTTTGTTATGCTTGAATTTATTTTTGTTTTTGATAATTCCTTTTCGAACCTTTTGATTTTTAAATCACACTGTTTCTCAATGTGCTTGCTCATTGGGAATACAAACTATATTTGATTTTGATTTTGATACCCATTTGAACTTCTGATACCTTCTCCTACCTCATTTTTTCCCTGCACATTAACTAGATTCTATAGTTTCACCTTCAATCAAATCATTGATCATCACAAGGCGAATCAAAAAGAAATCTATGTTCAAAACTCATATCAATACTTTTCAATTTTTCTTACTTTTCACTTTTTTTATCAAATACTGAAGTTGAGCCAGTCCAATCAAAATTACTTTTTTTCCAATTTTCAAATCATTTTCTTATTACGTTTCCTATATCATCAAGTTTATAAACAGTTTCTCCCCAAAAAGAGAATATCAAAATCAAAACTAAATTTCACAAAAGTTCAACTTTAAAGCCAGTTCAATTAACACTCAATTTAAAATAGATTCGGTCCTTTAGTCAGAGTTGACTTACCTCCAACCAAAACTCCAGATGGTCCACCATTTGCCTTTGTTGAATATCAAGAATTACAAGATGCTGAAGCCGCTTTAGCTGAAATGGATAACAAACCATTCTCTTTAGATGAACATGCTATTTTGCTTGTTCAATGGGCTAAATCAGAACCACATCCAAGTGGTCAAGGTTTCAGAGGTGGCCGTGGTGGTTTTAGAGGTCGTGGTGGTTTCAGAGGTGGCTACGGTGGTAGAGGTGATTACGGTTATGGTGGTTACGGTGGTGGTCGCGGTGGCTACAGAGATGACTACAGAGATAGAGGTTATGGTGGTTATGGTGATCGTTATGGAAGCCGTGGTGGTTATGGTGGTGGCCGTGGTGGTTATAGAGATGACTACAGAGATAGAGGTTATGGTGGTCGTGATTCATATGACAGAGGCTACAGAGACGATTACAGACCAAGAGATGGTGAAAGACCACCAAGACCTGAAAGAGATGAATACACCGGTAGTGGCCAAAGAAGAGAAAGTGCTGAAGGTCCAAGAGATGATTACAGAGGCTACAGAGATGATAGAGGAAGAGGTAGATCTGACGAAGATAGCTATGCTCCTCAAGACAGACCAATCTCAAGATCAAGAAGTCCAAGAAGAGATTAAACCAAAGCATTATCAATGTAATATACAATGAAATGTTTACTAAGAGAACAGGAAAGAGAGTTGGATGCTTATTTTGATAAGTATGCTTTAGTTACTTTTCGGTGCGTAGAAATTATGTAATCTTGACCGTTTTTTTTTATTTTTTTGCTTCATCAAATCAAGTTTGATGTAAATGAATAAATAAGTACCAAAGAACAAAGCTTAGAACCTCTAATTCGCCTTTAAAAGTCGCTTCAAATGTCTTCAGTGCTCTTTTTGAAGAACAAAACAGTACCGAAAGACCCTTATCACGAATCTTTCCAAGAATCTGGTTACGATATAACATTCATACCGTTATTAGATCACATACATGCTGAGCTCTCAGTCATAGTAGACTACCTCAAATCTTCAGATTTCATAGAATATACTTATGCTTTGATAATAACCTCCCAAAGAGCTGTTGAAGCATTGGATGCTGCATTGAAACTCATTGATCAACATACACGAACCAGAATTTTCAACAAACTAGCATTTACGGTGGGTCCAGCTACTCACAAGATCTTATCAGAACTAGGGTTCAAGAACATCGAAGGTGGTATCGATGCTGGAAATGGTACAATCCTCTCGGAAATTATAATCAATAGATTATCAAAAGATCAAAGAGTCACTTTCTTCACAGGAGAGACAAGAAGAGACATTATTCCAAAAAGACTAACATCTGAAGGATTTGACCTGAAAGAGATGGTGATATACAAAACGATTGCAAAAGAAGGTATCATAGACAGATTCACAGAAAGTTTTGAAGCTCAAAGAGCAAATGACTCAACTAAATGGATCATTTTCTTTAGTCCGCAAGGTACTCAAGAGATTGTCACATATTTGAAAACTTTTCAACATGATTCATCATTTCAAAGTAATTGCAAAATTGCATCAATTGGTCCAACAACTGAAACTTATCTTATTGAAAATGGAATCAAACCACATCTTGTGTCATCTAAGCCAGAAGCCAAAACTTTACTCAAAGATATTCAAAGCTACAACAATATATAGATAATGATAAAATAATAAATGCATTGTTTCTTTTATTATAGGTCCTGCTACTCATTGATTGCTTCAGAAACTATGTACAGTGTTTCATTTTCATTTTTGTAATCAACTTCCATCAAATATTCATCACTTTGATCAATATCTTCATGTAAAATTTGTATTTTTGGTAATGCTAATTTCCCGACTTTCAAAGGAATCAAACTTAGTTCAATAACCGGCAATTTAACCACTTTATTGGTTTCAGATTTGTCAAGATCAAACTTGAATTTTGTTTTACCATTGATCAACCATGAATCTTGATTTGTTAACAGTTCAACAGAATAGTGAGTTTTGGTGCTTATTTCACTTTCAAATTGGACTTTCTTCTTCGATTGACTATTCTCATTTTGAGAATCACCCATAAATGAATTAATTTCTAACAAAGTGTTGATAGCTCGTCCAATGACATAATGCGTAGCTTGGTCAATTTTGAACTCAACAGTGTGAACAACTTGAACTGAAGGTATTTGAACATCAATGAATAAGTGTCTGTCCTTGAGTTGATAATGTGCTAAATCTGGAACCCTAATATCTCTAAGTGAGTTTTCAAATACTGCAAGAGTTGCAGCTCTATCTTCCTTACTTATTGAATCGGTCAACTTTTTATTGAAATGAATGGATTCTGCAATTTCAATCTCTTTCTCAGTAACATAGTGTGTGTAATTGAATTTCAAGTCATTCAATAAAAGTTCCAATAGCGACAAGTATTTCTCATAGCCAGTTTTAGCCAATTCGTTGGCCAAATGCTTTTTCAAAATTTGTTTAATCTCCTCTTTCAAATCCCTATAACGAATGTCTAAGGTCAAAAAGTCATCTTCACTATACTTAACACCTTCTCTTTTTTGAATTCTATAGAAAAAGCTTCCTGGTTGTTCACCAAACGCGATAAGTGATGGTGCTTTGAAAGAGGTTGAAACCTCATATTTCTCATTGCTTTCCAAATCCGTTGATAATATTCTTATTGGAAAATCAATATCAGCAGTTCCAATAGAAAATTTGGCATATAACCCAGTGTTTTTGAAAATATCTTGGACAGAAACAGCAATACTAAATGAAGTATCCAAGTATTTTGCAACAGTTTGAGAACGATCACCGTGTTCAGTTTCATAACTGATCTGTGCTTTCAAATCAAGAATAGTAGTATTGATAGCTCCACTTATGATGTAGGGGATGACAACCTCATATGATGTGTTAGCTTCAAGTTCGTTTGTAGAAAGTGTTAAATTTTCTGGATCTTGCTCAGCAAGATCAATTGAGGAATTATCAGATAGCTTGAAAGCCTTTATACCACTAATTGGTTCAAACCCATCAGTCTTACTCCACAATCTAATTTTGGATTTTTTAACAGATGAAACACCAGTATTAATGAATATTGAGATGGATTTTGTAGTTAAATTAATATTTGTAGAGTTGCCAATCTCTAGCAACATATTAGTCGGGTACGTGAAGATAAAGGCTTCATTAGAATCATTAAAGTCTTCACTTATTCTAACATTCCCAATCATTGCAGAAAATTGTTGAAATTTGAATTCTCCTAAAACAATATTTGTGGCACTAAATGGTACATTGTTTAAACCATGATTAATTATCAAGCTTTCATTATGAAACTCCAAAACGTCCCCATGGATATTATTGAGTAAAATCTTTGCATTTTTTAAATTCAACTCACGAAAGAAGGGGCTATTGACCTCGACATTCAACAGCAAAGTATCATCTTGAGCAAAGCTCAAATGTGGCATTGGTTCAATATCAAATAAAGTTTCAGCCGCATATTCAACGTCATCCAAAGGAGCAATTTTCTCAAATTTTTTGAACGTTTCTTCAATGACTTCTGGCTTGAAGACTCTACCTCCATACTTTGATTTCATAGACGATATAATATCCAAGTAAACTTTGCATAAGAGCGTCTCCCTCGATATCGAATTTTCATCCGCACTGAAAAACTCTGCTTTTTCATCCATATGTTCCAAACAATCAGCATAGATTTCCAGCAAGCTTTTGCTTATGAGTTCCCAGCCTTGTGCACCATAGAAATCTGGACATGTTGAAAAAACTTCAGCTGCTTTTTCATAGTTTTTGTTCTGATAATCTAATAGAGCCAGGTCAATTGATAACGCATCGACAGACCTTGGTCTTCCTGCAATGCTGAAATGCTTTATTGCTTCTCCAGTCAAAGTGATGTATTTGTTCTCAAATGATTTATAGCTTTCTAAAGTTTGTTTCAGAGGGGTATAATGTATGTCAGTAGAGCCCTTTGTATCATCAACATCATACAAGTCAATATCACTCAGTATGCCACCAATATTGTAATTTAGCGTCTGACCAACCTTTATAAGCTGTGACCTTTGGACGAAAATCAGCTCACCGAAGCGCTCAGATATTTGACTGATGTTTTCATCACTTTGCTCAGCTGCAAGATTACTGATCTTTACACAGACATCACGGGATAGTACCTCGTCTATCAACTGATATGACCATTCACTCACCAGCACCTTTTGAACTTCAGATGTTGCATATAGTTTAACAATTTCAGCTGAAAAAACATGTAAACGCCTCAAAAATTCAGAAACATGGATAGAAGAGATTGACATTGATGACGCACTGTCCGATAATGAGTCCAGAACAACAAATTGTTTGGCAAAGACGTATGCTTTCAGTTTGAAAAGCGATAAAGGTGTATCAGAAACAGTGAATAGAGACTCTGAGGAAACCAGTTCCATCAAATTTGTCTGATGTTCGGAGCTAAAGTCTAAACTGACATTTGGAAAATAACCCGAGTTGTTTTGATGTTCCTTCAACACGCTGGCCAGATGATCATATTCCACAAGAGCATCCTCAAATAGATGCATGAGTAAGAACTGTCTTGCAAAGCCCTCTAACAAAGCAAAATAAGCCATTAAATTTGAGTTTTTCTTTTCCTTATCATCATTTAACATCACTAGTCCATTACGCAAGGTTTCTAGTCTTTCAGTGAACGAATAAAGAATCCCATTCTTCAGTTTACCAACCAGAGAGTTCCAAGACTCATTTTCCTCCAATGTATTGGAATATTTCGACCTTAATCTAATGCAACGATCAATTTCTCCTTCAGCAGTGAAATCCAACCTTAACTTCTCAAATACTCGTGTTTTTGACTTGGTGTCAGCAGCGTCAGAGTTTGGAACATAAAAAACTAAGTACCAGTCCACTGGACCATTTGACTTATCAACACAAGATTTAATCCATTCCTTGATCAGTGGTCGTACCTTCGACTTGTAAGTATCTATATTTTCACATTCAATGAACATTAATCTCGTGTAAGGGACATTAAGTAACCGCACGGTCCTCTCGAGCAATTCTTCAGCATTTACTTCTAAAAATTTGAACCCAGCTCCAAGCGTGTTATTGTCAAAGATTTTTGGTGTCTCCTCGACAAATTTCGTTGGTAATTGGGGTATTGATTTCAGTGTATCTTTGTTATTCTTCCTCCAATGTAAGTTGGTCAGTTGCACTTTGATTTCCAGATCATTTTTCAGTTTGGCAAAGACATCAAATGGATCGTAGTACCCAAGCTTGATGGGTGGAATTTGATCTGACATTTAATTCACTGGAAAAGTTTCACAGAGTCGTAGAACCAGCACAATCGCTCCAAAGAATGATTGATTAGCATGAAATCAGAAGTGTTTTGGTGTCTCTTCACGAATCTTCAAAACTTGATTTTTTGGTGCAAAGATTACCTAATCAAAATTGTAAGTTGCAGAATTGCAATTTTGCTTTGAAGATAATGTTGATGAGTTCAACTGGAGCTGAAATCAACAAAATCAAGCCAATTCATTTCAAAATCACTGGTAATTGAGCTTTCTAAACACATTAACATATCAATTGCTCATTTAATGGCCCATAGAAATGAGCGATCGAAAACAACAAACGCCTAGCAAGGTTAATACGTCAACCTACCTTGGTTCAGCACAAAAGAGAGGTCAGTCACCATTTGCTAGAAGAACATGGGACTTGAACGCAAGAGTCGCTTCACCATTCAGAAGACTTGCTGATTCAAGCAGAAGAATCCCAATATCTACACCATCAAGTACAGAGATACAGAATCAAAGACCAAAAGCTGTTGATGCTAAACCTGATGAGATAATGGACTGGATTACCTCTATTAAAAATCGTGCTCAATCCATATTACAGACAGAGGAGGACGAGGAGAAACGCTTTTATGAAGAGATAGAGAAAGAAAGACGTCAGATAGAGGCTCAAAATCAAATCAACACAGAGTCATTTGACAAACTGAAGTTATTTCTGGATGAGGAACGCAAAGAAATTCAAACAATCATTGGTCAAGACAAACAACGAACACCAAATACCTTGAAAGATCTGGAGAGCTATGCTGTTGATACCGAAACATCAGTTTCGGAATCTGATGCAGGTCAGTCACAAGAAGAGGTTTTTGATCTTTCTGACGAGCCTGAAGATTTAGATGTTCTTGAAAAGCAATCCGATGATGGGTTGTTTGAAGAAGAGGAAATTGACCACCAAGCAACTACTCAGCAAGCTGAAGATGAATATGATTCAGAAGGTAGGTTGAAATTTCCAGATGATGCTCAGCTGATACATCTAAGCTCTGATGAAGAGGGCGAAGATGAAACACCTCATTATGATCCAACTGATTTTGCTGGTAACGAAAACGAGGAATACATACCAACACCACAGTACGAAAGTATGTATTCACACCAAAGATATGTCCCTAATGCTCAGGAGCAACCTAGATCGCCAGAAAGAGAACAGAGGGAGGAAATAGTTGAATTGTCCGATGATGAGGGAAAACACTTTGAACTAGATGATGGAGAATTAAGTGAAGACCAACTCGAGTATGAGAGTGATGCGCTTGAAGATGAAATAGACACAAATCATTCTTATCATGAGCATAAGACAGAAGATCATGAAAATTATGAGCATGCCAATTTTGATATTCACGAACAAGGCGTTGACAAAGACATTGAAAGTGATGAAGCTCAAGGAAATGCAGATGATGAGTATGATAACTCCAACTTTGACCCAAACCTTTTTAATAACTTAGAAGATGTTCCGGAACCTTATGAAGTTATTGATGATGACTCTTTCAACGAAGAGGAAGATGAGGAAAGTGCTGATGATCTCGAAGATGAAGTTGCTTCCGAAGAAAACGGTGACAGAAATGATATTGATGAAGTTGACGAAATGGGCATCTCACAAGCTTTACAAAACGATGAATTATCTCACTTTGAAATCCTTGCTTCTGCTGCATTGAGCCAATTGCCTGTGAATGAGGCTAATAGCCACGAGGATAATGAAAACGCTAAAGAGGATGAAAATAATCACACTGAAAACATTGAAGAAATTACAGATACTTTGAAGCCAAGAGATAGTTCAACACTAAACATAGTCGCTAATGTCGACCCTGATGATTATGTGATACCAGGAGAGGCTTCTAGTGATAGTGTCGTTCCAGATGAAGAGGACCAAGGATTGTATGCTCATGGATCTGCTAAAGAGTCAATTGTTCACGTTGATATTGGTGAAAATGAAGCCGTCTCATCTCAAGGCAATGAAACTGAAAACAGTGTTTCAAGGGAAATTGAAGACAAAGCACCAAATGAGTCAATTCATGATCAAGAAGACAACGAGCAACGTGTACCCCAGGAAGATATACAGGAACCAGTGCAGGAATATGTCGAAGAGCAGTATTATGATTCTGACGGTGAACCCTTCAGAAGTCCTTCTCATAGTGTTTTTGGATCACTCACGGTGGATGAGATTTCTGCGATTCAAGAAGATGAAGATGAAGATGAAGATGAAGATGAAGATGAAGATGAAGATGTTGAAACAGGCTTTTACAGCACTACCAATATTTTGGGTGAAGTTGATGATAAAAATGAAGATGATGCTCAAGTTGCAAAGGAAGAAAGTATTAACCAACTTGAAAATGATGAGCATAATGGAAACTTCATCGGATCTGGTCCCAAACAAGTTCATTTTGATTCCAAGGATGATTATGAGGCTGAAGTCCAAGTACATGTTCCAAAAGTAACAACCAGCTTTGCATCTTTTTTTAATATCAATCCGATCAATGATAAGCAGTCTGACCAATCATTTAGCGAGGTCTCAGATCAATTCACTAAAGCTTTGAAATCAAGGGAGACAACTCCTCTACCTTCCGAGAAGATATTGAATAAAGTTGACAGTGAAGAGGCCATAAGAAGTACCATTGCTGAAAAGAAAACAGAAGATAGCACCAACGACCTCCATACAAATCTAACTTCTCAGGTTGAAGAAGAAGCGGATAATGTGCTTTCAAAGGCACTGGGTGAAGATCCAGAATCTTTTATCGATAAAGGCCGTGTTATTGAGAGTAAGTTGGTGAATGCTGTTACAGATAGAAATCTTGAAGCTGTAAGCCAAGATGAAGTTTTTTCTAGCTCATTGGGTGAGATCGCAGATGAATTTGTACAGGATGTTGAAAAGAATGTACCAGCTGCCGTTAATGCAATCAAAAGTGCAGCTGATGAGACTCTTGATAAGGCAGTTGGTGAAAACGCCGAAGAATTTGTCAAGGATGTTGGAAATGCTTTCATCTCACTGGGAGAGGCAGCTGAACGAACTAGGTCAGTCAATGATGAAGTGTTTGGAAAGTCAGTTGGTGAAGTAGCTGAAGAATTCGCTACTGATGTCCAAGAAGTAGTTCAAAGCCTTGAAGTTCCAGGAATTTCTTACAAGGAAGCAGATCAATCAATTCATTATGACTCAATTGAGCAAAGTGTTGAAAGTGCAAGAAATTCCAACACAAATGACCTGGCCGAAGATGGTGTTGATATGACAGGTGTTAAGGCATCTGAAAAGGTCGAAGAATCAGTCGAATCGGGCATTACTTCTGAAGAGCCCCCAAAGAAGCACAACAGTTGGAAAGATGGTAAACTTGACGAAGACGAAGACAACGTTGATGATCAAACTTCTGCACCAGAACAGGCACCTTCTTTTCCTGCTTTTGAAATACCTGAAATTGTTGGAAATGCAATGCTGAAAGCCATTGAAACCGCCGAGAAAATTGAAGCACTTGGTGAAGATTTCGTGGATGATGATTCAAAACCTCAGGTGAAAAGATCATTATTCAATCCTGGATTGACCAGAAAGGATGAGAATAGACCAATTCTTGATTATACTAAGACTGCAAAAGAAACACCAAACTCCAGTGGACTGAAATCAGAGTCAGAACCTGAGAAAGGGACTCGCAAGAGAAAGTTTGAGGATGTTCTCGATGAACATGAACGAAAAGACGACGAAAACTTCAGAGGTATGTTTGGTAAAGTTAGAAAGTTTGCTAGGTTTGTTACAAGAGAGCTGAGTACTACACTTGACAGCCCTATATCTGATCAAGAGATTGGTAACGAATTGGAAGATAAAACAAGAGATGGAGTTGAAAATCAATCTGCTAATTCAGATGTCGTTGAAAATAAGACTGCCCAAGTTGAAAATGAACCATCTCACAATTTTATCCAGAGCAAACTTGATGCTGTTGGCGAAACACTGGTTGAAGCTGAAAATACTATCGAAGAATTTACAAGTTTCGTTGAAGAACAGGTGGAAGATTTAGTTGAAGATCCCGTGGAGCCTGCGGAAGAAAATGTTACACATATTCAAAGCTCTCTGGTGGTTGATTTTGCATCGAAAGCAGAAGCTGTTGCCGATGAGTTCGGGAATTTTGTGGAGGGACAAGTCGAGGAGCTGATCGAGAACCCAGTTGAACCAGCTGAAGCGAATGTTGATGACACACATACTACTATAAGTGATACAGTTGCTAAAACAGAGGTTATCGCTGAAGAATTAGGTGACTTTATCAAAGACAAGGTTGAAGAGTTGGTTGAGCATCCTGTGGAACCTGTTGAAGAGAATATTGAACCTAACGAACCCATCAAAGAAACAATCAAAATGGCTGAAAATATTGTTGAAGATTTTGGAGGCTTTGTCGAAGAGAAAGTTGAAGAGCTAGTTAATAATCCAGTGGATCCTGTCGAGGGGGCTATTACAAATAAAACTACCTCAGTCGGTCATGCAATTAGTGAGGCTGAAAATGTCGTCAAAGACTTTGAAGGATTTGTACATGAAGAAGTTAAGGAACTCGTTGAGAATCCTGTTGATGATGAAGTAGATGAAGCACCAGCTGAAACGTCAGTATCTCAAGCTGCAGAAGTTGTTGGGGATTTCGGAAACTTTGTTCAGGACCAGGTTAGAGTAGCCATAGAGGAGCCTGTTGATGAGATGTGTCAGACCATAAATCAACCAACTGAACCTAAGGATGAAATTTTGGGAAAACTTAATGATGCGGCTCATGTTTTGGAAGAAAAAGTGGAGGAGGTTATTGATAACCCCGTCACTGACGAGCCTGATCATGCAACAAGCCTTGAAGATGAAGCTGGCGTGGAAAACTTAGAGGCTCGGGATTTTGAGGTTGATGAAGACCTAGCTGCTGACAATATGGAAGATTCAGGTAATAACACTGATAAAGAACATGGTGATGTTATAGTTGAAAAGACAGAGGATACTAAGGAAGAACCAGAAAGAGGATCGAAAACAAACCATAATACGAATGAGGAGGATTTGGAGAAACAACCTCAATTGAACCCAGATGATGTGAACATTTCACAGGCCAAATCACCCTTAAAGAAAGTGTTTGATTATTTTTTCAAAAGCTCCAGTAAAAATGACGGTCTTGAAGCAACGGCACCTGAGAATGATAATCCAACAAGCTCACCAGTTGAAAGACCTCCGAAGAGAAGGAAGAAAACTGCTGTCACTGATTTCCATGATCACATTGTTATGAAAACTAGAAGTGGGAAGATTATTGGTGCTAATTCGGATGCTGATATTGCTGATGCTCAAGATTTAGAACAAGAAGAGGAGGAGCTAATAGACCGTATAGCACACGGTGAAGTCCATACTGGCCATGTTCTCCATGAACTTGCTCTCGAACATGAAAGATTAGAGCATGAACATGAACATGGACCTTTTAACGAAAATGAGCAAAAAGTTGAGGAAATGGAGACAAAGGAAGAGACAGAGCAAAAAGTTGAGGAATTGGAAACAAAGGAAGAATCTATAACTGACAAGAAGTCAAAGGAGTCAAATGTTGAAAACCCTGAGACAATTAAAGATGAAAAAGGTTCCAAACTTGATAATCCAAAGCAAAGAACGAGAGGGAAAAAACGTTCAAGAACTGATGGTGACTTGGATGAAGGTTCAAAAGCTGTTGAATCTGAAAAGGAAACCAAACCAACAAAGGGCAAAGGCAAAAAAACTAAGGCATTACCACCCCCATCTGAAAGAAAACTAAGAAGTCGCACCAAGTGAAATGATTAAACTTGAATGAATGATGACTGTATATTTTTATTGTTTTTGAATGGTTTTATTTGTTAAATTTATTGTAGTGAATGGCAGAAGTCATATATTGGTCGACTACTACATTGAAGACCTTAATTGAACTAAAATCTATTAATAATTATAACTATGCTCTATCTATTTTGATTTTTAAAACTCTATCTTATGCTATGTACTTCATTAAATATTCAAAACAAGAAAAGAATGCAACACTAGTGATAACAGATCTCGTGACGCTAACACTTAGACCTCTATACATTTTTCTTGTTGGGAATGTTAGCTTTCTTACCAATAAAGGTTTTGGAGGCTTACGAGCCAATTCTCTAACGATATTAGAAACTATATCTCTTTGTGTTAATGATTTAACAGTGTCTATTGGGAAAACAAGCATCCAACTAAAGATCCCAGACATGGCACCAGCAACTGTAATGGAGAGTGTACCCATTGGTATATTTGTACCGGCAATTTTACCATCTGGGCCTGAAAAACCTTCAATTAAAATCTTTGAAGTTTCATAAACACTGAAATAAAGACCTGAACCGAATGCATCTCTCAATAAATGAAATTTATAACCAGAATATAATCCTAGAATACCTTCATACTTTCTAATTTGTCTAGCGACTTGGAATGTTGTCTTTGGCATTCTTCTTGGGTTTAGATTCAACTCACCTTGCATCAGTATATACAATTGTTGAAACAATTTTGTGAATTCGAAGGGACATGCAAATAAACTAGTACCAGCACCAGCTGCAAAACCTGAAGCAAATGAAATTGGGGCATTATTTATGGCCAATATTAAGTTTTGTTTTCTATGAGAATCCGATTCATTTGTGGGTATTGGCTTAATAGTGAAATCTTGCAGCATCGCAGAATATGGCTTAGCAGCTGTATATATTGAAACACCCAGTGATTTTGAGAATGATGTTGATAATAATGGAGCTGTGACACCTCTGAAAAGACCTTTAAGACCTTCATGTTTCACTGTTTTTCTGAAACAATCGTATATACCGTTGAATGGATGCGTTTGCATTCTAGTTTTGATGGAATCTAGTGGAAATCCAACAACAGTTGAAAATAAAGATGCTGTGTATGACAAGATTGTTGGTCTCCATGGTTGGAATGACTGAGGTAAGATGTGTAAGGCATGATTGATGTCTAGTTCACCAGTAATGGCTGGAGCAACTGTGATTTTTTGGGTCTGACTCATGAACCAATATCAGGTGTTATATTTATCCTTTTGGTTCTCTATGGTTTCTTTATAAACTCTTTAAATTGTATTTATGCATGCTCAACACCAACTTCAAAAAAAAAGGTGATGAATATAGAAAGTATATGGAAAAGACAATGTGGTTTGATGCTGGAAAATGAAAATTGAAAAAACCTTCGTCGAGGCCTGAAGTAAAGAAATGAAATATTGTAAATTTGAATGAATATTTAGTGGAATTATGCTGACTCAATGTTGATGATAATGTTGAATAATTTGGATAATTTTTTTTCGAAAATTAACCTGCTGTATTATCTAAATAGTTTGTCAGCTATTGTATAGGAGTAAAAGGACCGGAGTTTCAAATAAGCTATGATCCTTAAGATTCTAAGTAGAAAAGACAATATTCAAATGTGAGACTCACTATCTAGAGACTACCATTTCTTGAGATTGGATAATCAATTAAGAATCAAAAATTATCATTGCATTTGGACTTGACATAAACCCGCGAAAAACGTTTTGTTAGGCAAAAAAAGACAACTCTAGGGCAAATTTTAAAGGTGTTGGAGTTGAGATATTGAAAAAGCGAAGCTTCAATTGAACTTTTAGGGCTATAATTAATTGGAATTGACTGATTTGGGAAGCCAGGAGACGGGTTTTATGGTTGTGTGACATTTCAAATTCGATTAATTAAAGGTTCAGATAAGATCAAATCTTCGGTTTTTACCAGGGCACAAACCAGCCGTATCATCTGATCCAACGTTTACTCTATAATATTGTTCTTGATCTTATTCAGGTTGAAGTAGCATAAATTCACTGATTGCTTATTTGATCTATTACGTGCTTTCTACAAGCATTTTAAATTCCTGAGGCATCAATTTAATGAGCTCAATTTGAAAGGCTACAACTCTTGTTCACCTCAATAAGTATTTTTATCTATTTTACACAGAACCTACTCACGTTTCTTTGAGACAGATGATTTGACACTAGAACCTGAAGCTTTGGCAGCATTATTCTCTGCTTTAGAGCCAGATTTACCATTCTTTGGTGTAGAAGTTTTGACTGGTCCAGATGCTTCAGCAGCAGCACGTTCAGCCTCTTCCCTGTTGAAAACTTCCAATCTTTGTTGGTAATCCCATTCACCGTAAAACAAACCAGCTTGAAGTGTAATGATACCACCTAACAAGAAGATAATCATGGCTGATGAAGCAGCGATGACATTAATACCCGTGTTTGAATCAACTTCACCCCAATCACCATATAAGGCGCTCTCAGCACCAGTTTTCAAATTGGTTAAGTAAACACAGACAGCAAGGACATATAATAATAATGAACCATATTCAAAGTACTTTGTATCTTCAGATGGTTTGTATAATTTGATAAACATACCAATGAAACCAAGACCAATGAAGAAATGAAGAATATGCAAAGGAATTCTTGGGATTTCAGCCCAAGTTTGATAATGCCTTAAAGAGTTGTCAAATGCTTCTTGGGTAACTTCTTGAGTGAATAGAGTCTTACAATCATAAGGGAAATTACCCATTAATAAACCAAGGAAGAAAAAGACACCTAGAACCTGGAGTTAGAGATTGCAACAAATTGAGATCTAACTGAAACGCTATACCTACCTGCAATGATAAGCCCATTTGCGACTGGAAGCAGATCTTTATATTTGATAGCCATTTTTGATTCAATTGTTGTTGTTTTCAGCTTGGAATAATCTTCGAAAGCTCGTTATCTTCTTTTATTTTTTCAGAGGCAAAAGCCATCTGGACAGGGCTTCCAACCCACAAATCAAAGATATGAACCAGATGAACAAAAATAACACCTTAAGCTACGATAAAAAAAACTACATCCAATCTCATAAAAGTCATTATTATTTTTAAAATCCGGAACCTAATATTACTTTAAATAATGTATATACGATTATCAAAGAGATTTTTAAGCTTCAGCAGCTGGTTCAGCAGCAGCTTCTTCTTGTTCTTCAACTGGTTCTTCTTTTTGGACATAAGATTTAACAGTTGGAGCTGGAACAACTTCATCTTCTTTTGGTTCAATGATTTTAACGTAATCTGGTAATGATCTTGGACCACGTCTGTTGGTTTCTGGGTCTCTCATAATTTTAACTTTGACACCTAAAACACCTTGTCTCAATAAAACGTGACGGGTAGCAGTGTCAATGAAATCACGGACTGGTTGACCAGAGTGGATTAAGAAACCATCTTGGAATTTCATTGATTTAGCACGAGCAGCTCTTAATTTACCAGAGATGACAACTTCAACACCCTTAGCACCAGATTCCATAACGTATCTGACAACACCATAAGCAGCACGACGGATAGCTAAACCATTTAATAATTTGAATTTTAATGATTCAGCTTGAGCAACAGCTGATAAACCACGGTCTTGAACTCTTTCAGCGTATAAGACAATAGTACCTGGAGCAAATTTGAATCTTTTTTGGACTAATGAGGTTAATTCATAGATTCTTCTACCGTTTTCACCTAAAACAGCGTTGGTTTGGGTAGCTCTGATGATAACTTCAGTTTTAGTTGGAGTAACTCTAACTTCAACACCGGCATAACCTTGTTCAGCTAATTCTCTGGTGAAGAATTCGTTTAATTCGGCGTAGAAGACACCGTCAGCGACAAGTTTTCTTTTCTTTGAGATGATGTTGACCATTTTTGATTTATCAATACTGTTGTTGTACAATAAAGCCTATACGTTAATAGTTAGTTGAAGTTGTTTCTTTAAATTTTTATTGCAGTGAGAGCTCAGAGTTTTTCACTTGAGGCGGGTAAAAGTGAATTGTGACTTGTGACTTGTGTTTTTTTGAAAAATTTCATGGTGAAAAAATCTTTTGTAAGAAAACATCCAAACATTTGACTGACAGCAAAGGGGAACTCACGTGATTAGGGCTTCAATTATATTTTTCGCGTTTGTTTGTTTACATTTTCGAATCTGCGCGTACATGTGTTGAATCTTGATTGATCGTAAAGATGAACAAAACAAAGCACAAATCAGACAAAAAGTTATGTAACACGCGTGTTTGTTGCATCAACAAGAACAAGCATTTTTACCTTCGAAATGAAAACAAACCTCCAAAGAAAATGAAAAGAGTACAATGAGTGGTTTCAAAGTATTCAATCGAAGAGAGTACCTTCAAAGCCTTTGTACACTGCTAAGCTACAGAAACCTTCATCCTGAGCATGTTTATAAGAAGAGTGCTTCGCATTCACTTTTTCAATGTTTGCGTACGCTATAATTCGCTATAATTTGAATTTTTTTCCACTCGACTGTAGTCTGTAGACCGCGTACGAACGCGATCAAAAACAATTGCATCTACATTCATATCAGACGGCCTAGACAGGCCACGAGCATGAGCGTAAATAAACACTACTAGGATTGAAGCTATAAATGATCAGACTGCTATGTATAAACACAACAAAAAGAGCAAGGTCAAATGCAGTCAATCTACATCGATACGTATCTAGGTAATATTCAGCTTATAAAGCCAGCTGAGCAAATGGGAAAGGATTAAGGTCTCAAATGTGATGGTTCAAGTAAGTACTAGTCTCTAGAGTACTAGTGCCTGTGAGCAACTCCACATTCTTCGAAACCACAGTGATCAGTGATACAAGATTATACAAGTGAACGGTTTATCTCAACTTCTCGTGTAATTCACAACCCGAGAATCGAGATCAATACATTCTGTAAAGCTGGCTACATGCTACAATATACATGGCGTAGCTGTGATCTTGTTATGGTTATGTTACCTTTACCACAAAAATATCGACCACAAAAACACTAGAGTCTAGCGTAGTTCATCGAGCTCAAAATTGGAGCGTAAACAACCACACAATTGCACTTGAATACAAGAACAAAAAATCAAATTAGATGCCAGCATTCTCTTCACTTGTAGCGAAACTTTCTTTAAACGTCGTTCCCAAATTTCAACCTTCACTTTTATGGCTGGTTTCTCGGTGATTCAACTTTTCTTGGGGCTACAGAATCTAGAAGCCCAGAATCCAGATCATAGTTTTGGATCAATTGTTTACGATGGCAACCGTGCATTTGGTCCAGTCCGAATTTGGTGTTGGCGGCTCTCTTTTGGGGTGGCTTGACTTCTCCACGGGCAGCGCAGTGCTTGAAGAAAACCTGAAACCGGAAAACTCTCAGATCTGGTGCAAGCCCGAATCCGAATCAGGATGGATCAATCCAAATTGGGAAGCCACCCATCCAAGTTTGTACCACATTCTCTACCAAAACTTTTGTAGGCACCAAAAGCACATACCAAACCAACCATTTTGATACTGAATCAAGGTATCAGCTAATAATAAAAGCTAGTTTCAAAAAAATTATAAATTCAGCTTGATTTCCTCTCTTTCCAACATGAATCTTCTTTCCTTTTCATCATCATCGATCAATCATCAAAAAAGTTCCAACTTTAGTCTTTCGTTTATTACTACAACTACAATCACAATGCAATTCCAATTAGTCGCTTTATTATCTATTGCTGCTTTAGCTTCTGCTCAAAACGCCTCAACCGTTATTGTTGATAATGAATCCACCATCACTTCATCAATCGAAGACTGTGGTCCAAGTGTCACCAACTGTCCAGCTAAATCTACTGCTCACGTTAACTCAACCTCATCAAACGGTACCGTTGCTCCACCAACTGTTTCAACTTTCGAAGCTGGTGCTGGTAGAGCTATCTACGCTCAAGCTGGTGTTGCTGCTTTAGCCGGTGTTGCTGCTTTATTATTATAAACTGATCTAATGCTAAATATTTTGGGTTTTTAAAGGTTTTATAAAGGGTTTCGGTTTTATGTATATTAGAGATTACTGACAATCAATGTGTTTTCGCTTTTGCTATATCAGTTGTAGTTGTAGTCTTTATTTTGGTTCAAACTAAAAACAGTCGAGCTGTTTTTCCGAAAGACAAAAGCTAACCGCAATGAATGAATACACTGTTTATAAACAGCTGTTGTCGATTTATGAAATGATCTCATTCATGAGTCATGTCATTTCTCGCTGCTTCAGCTGTAGTACATTGAACTTTGACTATAAATGTATATTTCGAAAAGGGTAGCCTTTCGTTAAGAAAAGTTCAAAGCTTCAAAGCTCAAGTCACTTTCACTAGTTCAACATTCTCTTCACTAAAAGCTGAGCAGTGCCAAACAGCCAAAACTGGTAACTGCTACTTTCCACTGAGCATGATTGGCAGCAAATTTAGCCCAAGTAGGAACACCCGAGGCGTGTTGTGGCGCGTATCTCAAACATGGTTCCTGTTACCCTCAGATACCTTATGCCAAAATACCAATTTAGAAAGATTTGGTGCTTCTTTGCGCAACACATTCTTGTTGATCTTGAAAGAATTTTGAACATGTCTGATTGATCCTCTGTCAAAAAAAAATGTTTCAGCATTCGATTAATCTTTTGAAGTGCCAACAAAATCAGGAGAGAATCCAGTCAATTCGCTGTTTTCCAACTTGTGGTTCAATTTTGTGTTGGTCGTCAGATTTGAGATCTCGTTTTTTAAGGATATTTCACGTACCAAAAAAGCACGAAAAAAAAACCTGCCTAAAAGTTGAAGAAACGACAATAGATTAAACGTTCATTCGGCTCTTCAATACCCTTTGCAAAGAACAATACTAGTAATTGTACAATGAGAAGTTTCAAGTGTGTCGTCGTGGGTGATGGGTAAGTTTCATACAATGTCAATTAGCCTTTCCAGATATTAAAGTTGTAACTTGACTGACTTATCTTTTTATCTGTTCAGCAGAAATTTGCAGTCAACAGAACAATAAACTAACACATATATGCTTTTAGTGCCGTTGGTAAAACTTGTCTATTAATAAGTTACACTACAAACACATTTCCCCAAGATTATATCCCAACTGTGTTTGATAATTATACAAAAAATACATTATTTGAAGGTGCTCATTACAAATTAGAACTATGGGATACAGCAGGTCAAGAAGATTATGATAGATTAAGACCTTTATCCTATCCACAAACTGATGCTTTTTTGGTTTGTTTCTCTATTGTTGAGCCATCATCATTCAAAAATATAAAAAGTAAATGGATTCCAGAAATTAGACATCATTCTACAGATTCAGTTCAAATACTGCTTGTTGGTACTAAAGCAGATCTGAGAGAAGATCCACATACCCTTGACAGATTGGAAGAATCTGGTAATGAACCTATATCTAGAGCTGATGGTAAGAAATTAGTGAAAGAACTAGGTCTTTATGATTATTTGGAATGTTCAGCAGCTACTCAAGAAGGTGTCGAAGAAGTTTTCGATTCTGTTATAAAAGCCATTTTAGAAACCGAAAAAGAGACAACAGCTCCAGTATCAATGCCACAAAAGAATAATGCATCTCAACAAGCAACTGTCATCTCCAAGAAACCAAGAAAAAAATCCAAATGTACTATTTTATGAGTTGCTCAATACTCCTTCATTGTCCATGAGAGGCTGATTTTTGTTCCCTTTGAACTTTTACTCCTGCTTGTTTGTTTTGTGTCTGTAATCTCATTTTTTCTTTCATTCTTACGTTTCAAAGTGACCGTTGTTATACAACGAGTCACAATTATATTCTTTTTTTCCAGGTCCTCAGTTCAGTTCAAAAAATATAATACAATATTACAAAATAATTAAATTTGACTTTTAATATAATATACAGTTCTTTAAATATATATAAACATGATAGACTTAACGACCAATCATTTTAGCTCTCAAAGGATGAACATTACCCATTTCTTCAGGAGTTGGAGCAGCTTTCTTTTTATCCTTTTCAGCTCTTTCCTCTTTTAGTCTTTGCTTTCTTTCATCTAATAGTTTAGTATTTTTCTCTCTGATTTTCTCCAATCTATTGTTGGAATTACCCCCACCACCAACGGTTAGTTCAACATTTATCTTTCTATTTCTCAAAGTAGAACGATGCATACGCAAGGCAACTTCCATCTTATGTTGTATATCACGACCGGATCCATCAAATTCTAAAAATGCGATACCCTTTTCAGTTCTAATCCTTATTCTATCTGGATTTGCAGCAGCGAAATGGGCCAGCAGTTCAGTTTCATTAATATCATAAGGCAAGTTCCCGACAAACAGTAAGAATCTTGGGGCACTATTGGAACCTTTACCCTTTTTACCTCTTCTTGTTTTACGTTTCTTTTTAGGTTCACCATCTTCATTTGTCTCATTAGATGGTACTTTTTCTATTTGGTCATCTTTGTTTTCAGGTTTTGATTCTTCAGTCTTGTCCTTTTTGGTTTTGTTACGGAATTCAAGAGCCTTCTTTTGTTTCTTTGTAAGTTTAACTTCTTGTTCAGCCATGTTGTGGAGTTTTGAGATTGACTTGTTCACATAGAGTTGTAAGAAGTACACTAGAAATTTTTTTTTATCTAGAGATGAGATGTACCCGTCACGTTTTGACAGTTGGCTCTAAAAGATTTCACAAAGCTTCTCACAAATCAAGTATAAACGAAAATCTTCAAAACAAAACATTAGATTCCACAATCACATCACAAAGAACCAAGGATATCTGATAAGATGAGAGATTCAAAAGTAGATGATAAAGCCAAGATCAGATCAAGACGTGATTCGGCGAGCCCCTCGGGAAGAAAAGTTGATTCAAGCAATTATAGAGACAGATCAAGAGATAGATCATATGATCGATCAAGTATAGTATCGAATGGGAATCAAACAAGGATAGAGGATCAAAGAAATACAAGACAGACAGATGAAGAAAACAAAATTGATTCTAAAGACCTGAAAAATGAAGAAGAAAGAGGGCGTACAACTGATAGAAAATCTGACTCTAAGGAAGCTTCTGATGATGGTCAACAAGATATGATGATGCAATTGATGGGATTTGGCTCATTCGATTCTACAAAAGGGAAGCATGTTGCTGGTGTTGGTTCTGGTGGGGCCAAAAAGAATAAAAGGGCCCACTTTAGACAGTATATGAATAGAGATAAAGGGTTCAATAGAAACCTATCACCTGAAAGAAGGAAAAAGAAATGAAAAACTACTACATAATGCTAAGCTGTTGACAATATCATATATTATGCAATTCATTGATTCTCCAATAACTTAGTATGCTCAGAGTATAAATCTTCGTACATCTTTCTAAGATCGGTATATGCCTTGGTGGCTTTTGTAACTTTTCCTTCCAACTCTTGAACTTTCTCACTACTTGATCCATCATAAGCATCAGTCATGACAACTTCAGAGTTGATTGTAGTTAGATTTTCAAATTGAAGTGCTTCTTGAGCTACTCTATCCAAATGTGCATCAATGTCAAACAACTTTTTTTCATCATCTTCACCAATTTGGTAAACAACTTCTTGTTCTTTAGGATTTTTGTTTGAAATAATTCTTTTGAATTGCGGAATAGCTTTCTGTGTCTTTTCAACAATTTGATTAGATTTATAAAAATTAATAACTTGAATGTTCGTTATTTTACTTCCCAATTCTTTTAATTCTTTGACAACTTGTTTTGAAACAACATCGGCGACAGTAACTTTACCAATTGAATCACCAGATATTATTAAAGAGCCGTCTAATGATAATGCCAAACTTGTAACGGCGTTTGGACTATGATGTGTTAACGTGTTTGTTAATTGATGATCTTCGGATAATGTGACAACTTTACCAAACCCACCTCTAGCTTCCAAGATATTGGTTGCCGGATTTGGCTCATAAATATTAATTTGACGAATGTTACCATTAGACAACCCAATATAAATTGCTCTATCTGCAGAATCAACAACAATAGACTCTATTTGTTGACCAATGATGAATGTTGATAATAATTGGAACTTGACAATATCATATATACGTATTGTGCAATCTCTTGAGACTGTATAAAGTTTTGTATCTTGGTAAATACTATTGTTGATGAAAATGTCTGTAATTTCTAAAGTGTTATCAGAAATGACATGGACAGGTTTTATAACTCTATCGTCATCTTTAACAAATGAGACAAGATCAGTGATTTTCCATATCAAGATTCTTGCATCTTTACCAGCTGAAACTAAGAATGAACCATCATTTGTTGTTTTCAAAGCAGATATACTTTGATAATGAGCTTCTTTAACACTTAATAACAAACCCGAATTCAATTCCCATGTATAGATCATACCACTTACACCACCACCAATTAACAAGTACGGTAGTCTGAATTTAGGGATATTTGATTCATCTTCACTTTCAAAGTTCTCTGTATATAATTCTTGTGAGTTTGGACATAATGTCAAGGCAGTCAATTGTTCAGGAACTGGAATTCTTTGGTCTGGTGATTCTTTACCCCAAGTGTAAACACTGATCAAGGCTTTACCCTTCGAAGCAACAAATACTCTATCGCCTGGATTTGTACCAGTTATAGCAGAGCCATGAGGATATGATGACGATTGACGAAATGCAAGATTATGGCTTTGGGAATGAATTGAAGTAGCAATACCATTCACTTGAGCACTGTTTTTATCATCTCCAAAACCTTCACAATTGTAATAAACGACTTCTTCCATCTTTCTTGATGATGATTTATGCTTTTTAAAGGTTGAAGGGGGGTTCGTCTGAGTGTTTCCAAAGGATCTGTTTAATTTGTTTACTGGGTCTATAAATTTTTTCTCTTGCCCATCGCCTGGTTTGAAGCGATGTTGTCTTTTTTTTTTTCACCAAAAAATTGTGTCTACGCGATCTGATCCAAACTTAACAGCAAAATCGAAACAGAACAAAGATCTAGTGAATAAAGATAAAATGCCTTTGAATATCATCGGGAGTATGGTCCTTGACGGACCTGACGTGCTTCCAGGCTGGCAGTACCTCAAAAGTTACGGTCCTTTAGTGGCCTTGGTTGGTGGTTTGAAGTACTACTTCCGCGGTAACACCAACACTTGGGACAGAGACCTACACGGGGAGTTGTACATTGTTACAGGGGGTACTTCTGGGCTAGGTGCTGCTGTTGTGGATGAATTGGCTGCTCGTGGTGCGCAGCTCATCTTGCTGGTGCGATCTACTGAGGATTCATGGCTAACAGATTATGTCCAGGATTTGAGAGATAGACATTCAAATCTTTTGATCTATGCAGAAGAATGTGATTTATCATCATTGTATTCCATTAGAAAATTTGCCACTGCCTGGCTAGATAATGTGCCACCAAGAAGATTAGATGGTGTTATTTGTACAGCGGCTGAAAGTTTGCCATATGGTAAAGAGCGTGAGAATTCAATTGATGGGATAGAGATCCAAACAGCGGTTAATTATGTTGGTCATTATCACCTTTTGACATTGTTATCGCCATCATTGAGAGCACAAATACCGGATAGAGATGTTCGTGTGATCTTGACTACATGTATTTCACAAGCTATGGGTGATTTGGATATAAATGATCCATTGTCAATGACTAAACGTTATCAAAAGAATAAACCTTGGAGAGTCTTTGGTACTTCAAAATTAGAATTAGGTCTTTTCGCTAAAGAGTTTCAAAGAAGGTTATTAGCTATACCTAGAAAAGATAACATGCCGAATAATGTCAGGGTCAATGTTGTTAATCCAGGATTTATGAGATCACCAAGTACCAAAAGAGTGTTGAGTTTTGGTTCATTGTTTGGATTATTGATTTATATATTGCTGCTGCCAATTTTATGGATTTTCTTGAAATCTCCACACCGTGGTGCACAATCATTTTTCTATGCATTGATGTGTCCAGATTTTATTAGTTTAGATGGTGGTAACTTTATCTCTGAATGTGCTATCTATCGTCCGGCTAGAAAAGAGTTTGAAGATGCTGAATTACAAAAAGAGTTGTTTGATAATACTGCTAAACTGATTGAGCAAATCGAAAAAGATTCTGCTTATAAGCGTAAAAAGGCTGAATCTACAACAAAAAAGAACCACAAGCAAAATGAAAAGACAGAGAAGGACAAAAATAAAGAGAATAAATTTGATAGCATTAAACTACAGGGAAGTACTCAAAAAGATGATGTTCCATTATTTCCAGAGTTTGATTCTAATGGTAAACCTTCAAACAACGAAAACAGCAACAAAAGCACAAGTAAAACTAAAAGTGGTAAAAAGAATAAGAAGGGATCCAGGAAAGTATAGATTACTTATTGCATTGAATTGATCATAGTAAAGAATTCAGTTTTGTAGGCTAATATTACCGCTTATAACTCAATTCCGGAGCATCAAAAACGTGACTTGATTTTCGCGGCCTCGTAACTCGGCCCGTTTTTCTTTATCTTTATCTCCACCAATGAAAACCGTTAACGAGATGAGATCAATCAAATCAAAGCAGCTCCAGGCTAAAAGCAGTACCAGTAATGCGGATGGAGTAGTTAAGAATGTCAACTAAGAAGACTTCTCTGGAGAAAGCTTCTGGCAGTGGTTTCAACTCTCATCTTCAGGCCCAAAAGTCTGAGTGCAAAGCTTTTATTTATCGCCTGGAATCGTGAGAATTTAAGCAGTCTGTCATTTGAGAACTGCTATCAAAAAACAGCCCAACTCAAATCAGAGAATCAAATTTTAATCAGCTTGGATACTGATCCAACAGCATCAACATCAACTCACACACACGCTACTCTTGATAAATACACCACAAAGCCAGTGTTATTATGGCATCCTCTTCACCAATGTCATCCTTGACTCGACTTTTGCAAAAGCAAAATGAAGATAAAAAACATTCAAATCTCAAGATTGACTCAAGCAACCATTCCGATGATAACGAGCTGACCAACGCTGTATCCATAGAAGGTGTCGAAGTTCCAACCTATACAGATGATACACCCACTGACGACTATAGCCATGAGTCGAGTTATAACCAAAGAAGCCCCATTTCTATCAATCCATCAAGTTATTCTAGAGCGCCTCCAATTAGAGCACCATTACAGGCATCAATACATAGACAACCATCACAGTCTGGAGGGTTTTACACAAGCTCATACAGCAACAGTCATTCTTATTCTTCAAGCATACCGTACTCGGTACCAAATAGTGGTAATCAAGATACTAGCATCCATACTAATCCATCCTCTGTCCCAAGACATAATGGATTACCTTCAAATATATCCATGATTGAATCGATAAATATCACATCACCAAAAGTTTCCACCTCAGATATTGAACCAAGATTTGTCATTTCAAAGCAGAAGATTGCAGCGGCTCATGCTGCAAATTCTCAATCTAGATCGATGTCAACTTCACATTCAAGTGGGATGTTTTCAAGATCAAGAAAGAATTCACAAATGGATCTAGGCTCTTTCTATAACAACAACTATTCTTCTCAAAACTCACCTGCAAATGGTCATGCTCCACCTCCTATAGAGATTGTTACTGGATCTCCGTCAAGTTCTTCAAGTGTTGAGTCTTATTCAAGATCAAGACATAGTTCCATGGTTGATTTAAAGAGGTTTTTCAAAAAATCAGGCTCATCCCCAAAGACAAATGGTTCAAGTTTTGCAATGTCACCAATAGCAAGTAATTTCTCAATGGGTAGCAGTTCACTTTCAAGAGATCGTTCAGGAAGTATGAGTTCCTCTTATAGCAATAATGTTTCTGCATATACAACTCCTCAAACTTTACCATTTTCTAAAAGATATGGTAAATTTGGTGAAAATCTTGGTGCTGGTGCTGGTGGGTCTGTTAAATTAGTTAAAAGATTATCAGATCAAAAAGTATTTGCAGTGAAAGAATTTAGACAAAGGACTGCAACAGAGACAAGAAGAGAGTATGCTAAAAAAATTACAGGTGAATACTGTATTGGCTCAACTTTAAGACATCCAAACATTATTGAAACTGTGGAAATTGCTTATGAAAATGATAGAATCTTACAAGTTATGGAATATTGTGATTATGATTTATTTGCAATTGTCATGTCTAATAAAATGTCTGCTCATGAAATTGATTGCTGTTTTAAACAAATATTAACTGGTATTGAATACCTACACCACATGGGTCTTGCGCATAGAGATTTAAAATTAGATAATTGTGTCATCAATAGCCAAGGAATTGTGAAACTTATTGATTTTGGTTCTGCTGTTGTGTTTTCATATCCTTTTAGCAAAACTTTGATTGAAGCTTCAGGTATTGTTGGTTCGGATCCTTATTTATCACCCGAAACACTGGTGTTTTCCAAATATGATCCAAGACCAGTTGATATTTGGTCAGCTGCTATGATTTATTGTTGTATGGTTTTGAAGAAATTTCCTTGGAAAGTTCCAAAACTTGCTGATAATAGTTTTAAATTATTTTGTTCGGGTAGAGATTCTGATTCATTAAGTGCTTTGTTAACAAGAGTCCCATCTCCAAAGCCAGTTGAAGTTAAACCAATTGAAAAATCAAGTGGTTTATCGAACTTGTCAAAAGCTTTTTCCAAACCGTTATCTGAAGTGGAGACTGTTAAGCCTGAAGCTACAGAATCATCATCTTCACATGACTCTTCAAGAAATTCAACATTATCTCATAACTCCTCAAATGGAGCTACAACTCCACAACCACCAACCGAAGGTTCTACTCCAACCACACCAGCTCCATCTTATGAAGAAGCTAATGCTCAAAAACCTGATCAAGGTGAAGCTCATACATCACAGTTAGTTGGTGATTCCAGATTATTACAAGCATTACCAGCCCAAGCAAGATCTGTCATTGGTAGAATGGTTGATTTGGCCCCAGCTTGTAGAGCTAGTATTGATGAAGTTATGGCTGATCCTTGGTTAAAGAATGTCGCAACTTGTACTGTTGAAGAACATATTGATGGCTCAGGAATCTCAAACCATATTTATCACAAGGCAAAGAATCATGAACATACACAAGTTGATCAATCTGAAGCACATATTGCTTCTTTAGAGAAGAAGAAGAACCGTCGTTAGATACAGACAATACCAATATCCTTTTTTCACTTCTTTTTTTTTACTTTACTTTTTTGATATTACTTTTAATTACCCCCAAAATACGTTTTATGCATAGTTTTATAGAGTGTTTAGCAGAAAGCTTAAACAAAATGATTGATTTTCACTTTAATTGTTGTACTAGTAATCTGTTTATCTAAATGGTCATATATTCATGAAAACAAATGCTTTATTTTTCTCTTACTATTTACACAATCATCACACCCTTCTTATATCACAACATTGATCCCCATACTTTTAGCAGTCGATATAACGGATTTAACTATACCTTCTAAAGCTAAATCTTTATGACGTTCATCGGATTTTTTGATCTTTGCAATTTCATAAACATGTTTCAAAGAAATTTCACCAGCAAATGGTTTACCTGGACCAACTTCTGCAGCACCTTTTTCAATACCAGCAGCTTTGAATAATAAATAACCAGTAGGAGGAGATTTCAATTCAAATTGGAAACTTCTATCTGGTTTAATAGTCAAAGCAACTGGAATAGGAACACCTGGGGCATATGATGCTGTTCTTGCATTAAATTCTTTACAAAAATCAATAGCTTTAACACCTTTGGAACCTAATGCTGGACCAACTGGAGGGGTTGGGGCAGCTTGACCGGCATTGACAATAAGTTTAACAAAAATATTCTTTACTGCACCACCACGAGCTGACATTTGGGATGATTTAGTTGGATCAAAAGCTTAAAGAACCTGATCTTATCAACTGTTTTCAATGGTGGTTCTTTCGATTTTTTTTTTCATCCTTTGGAAAAGTGTTGTAATTACCATTTTGAAGAATTCGCGAACCCAATTTTTTACCCGTACTTTTTAGTTTCGGGAATTTCCGCCGCCATCGAGTAGAATAATTTTGCAAACTACAGTGAAACTCTTATTAGTTATTAATTGTAATGTTGTATTGAACTTTGAAAGTCACATGCAATGAAAATGTTAATGAATGAGTAACGGTAAACGTAGATGCAGAGGAAAAAACAAAAAACAAGAAAAACAAATCATGACTTGAAACTAATGCTAATACTTTCTAAATCTTTTAGAAGCATTTCCTGAACTATCTTTTGCATATCTTTTTTGCTGTTTACCTCCAAGATTACCCAAATTATTGGTTGGTTTTAAACCCTTGAATTTTTGTTTTCTGGAGGTTGGAGCTTGTGGAGATTTTTGAACTAAAGATGGATCTGGCACACTTGGCGTTATTATACCGGCACGTAACGATTTCATCTTTTTGGTGGTTGGTGACAAGCTTTTTGGTGGTTGACTGGATTTAGGAGTTGGAGCTTTTGAAGATGGAACTGGTGTTGGTTTCATATTTGTAGCTTTCTTAACAACGTCTGAACCCTGTTTGACATCTTTATGAGTCAATCTAGTATAAATCAAATAATAAGCAGATGGATCACGGAGTGCTTGTTTTTCAGGGATAATATTGATATATTCATCATCATAAGTTGCCCAAACACCATCTGGTTGACGACAATGAGAAACATAATGACCTGAAGAAACAGATCTACCTTCATGAACAACAACAGATATCAATTGATACAAAACAGGTTCATGTCTTGTAGTATATTGTGACAAATCTAAAATCAGTGGATATGAAACTCCTTGTTTAACTTTTGATGAAGAGTTACCATTAAATCTAAATCTTTTCAAATGAACAGCCAATGTTTCAGGGGCTCTATCAATAGTACTTCTTTTGATGGCATTTGTTCTTTTCTTACATTTTTCACAAACATAACCACTCTTATCAGATCTATCTGTTTTGATCAATTCTGGTGAAAAGAAGTCTCTTATTGATTTATTGATGGAAAATCTATGTTTTGATTCAGCTTCATCTAAAGATTGTTGTTGTTGAATTGCTGAAAGTTCTTCTTTATCAATTGGTTCAGTTTGACTATTCTTTCTTGAAGTTCCTAAATGTAAAGAAAGATCATAAAATTCTTGTTGTGTTTTAGAAACATGACCACAATTTTTGCAAGTGACCAATTGGTCCAATGAACCACCAAATATATCATAGATGATACTTTCATTCAATTTGTGACCTTTAGGTGTACTATCTTCTTGTAATCTTGATAATAGAGACATAAAATATTCATGAGAATCTTCTTGTTGCCATTCCGACATCATACAATTGATATCGTCTAATCTTCCAATCAATTTCTTTGGGTTGATAAATTTTGGACCACCTTTCTTATGAGCTATCTTTTCAAGTCCCCACATTCTTGCTGAAGTTTCAGCTAAAACTTGAGAGACTGATCTTGGATTGATTGTATCTTTATATTTTCCTTGTAAAACATCAACCAAATAATGTTGAACCGCAGGAATATGAATCATAGCTTGAACAGCAGCATTTGTGTAACAAGTAACACCATGATTCAAAAGACCTAGTGGTTTTTGAGTACTGAACTGAGCACCCCAATTCTTAACAAGTCTTTTAGAGCCGTTTGAACCTCTATCAGCTGGAGATTCTTCGATACCATAAAAATCAGTAACATCCATTCCTGATAAACCTTTAATTTTGGCGTCATCGCTATCTTCTGATTCTGATTCTGGGGAAGTTGGTGGAGTATTTGTTCCAGTAGTTGCAGCAGCCTCAGCTTTTTCAGCCAATAAGTCTCTCTTGATGGCAGCAGTATCGTCTTCTTGAGAAGAGGAGACATCATCACTAGCCTCTTCATCTTTCTCAGATTCTTCGTCTTCTTCTTCTTCATCATCTTCGTCTTCATCGCTTTGGGCGGTAGCATCAACGTAATCATCATCCTCTTCATCTTCATCATCGCCGACTTCAGCAATTCGGCTATTTAGCACTGATTCACCGTCTTCAGATTCATTTTTTGATGTATCACTGTCATCGGCATCTTCACTTGAACTCTTTGCTGGTTGTTGATACTTTTTGTAAACCTTTGTGCTTATTATATTACGTGGAGTCTCAGAAACAAAGTGGTCCGAACCTTCAGCATCAGTATAGTTTGTATCATCATCTGAAGAGCTTGACTCCTGTTGGAACGTTTGATCTTCGGTGTTTTCTGGTGTGTTATTTGAATCGGACGAGCTTTCCTCTTCTTCTTCTTCTTCGCCATCAACACCACTCGCGCTAGCTTGAACTTCCTCTTCGATTTCTTCACTTCCGCTTTCAGGTGACACAGTTTCCAAGTCTTCTCCCAAATCTTCATCATTGAATGAATTCACTAGCTTATTCTTTTGGTCAAGCTTTCTTAATTTTTTTTCTTTCTTGTTTATTGTTGAGTCATCTAACAATCTTTTGCCTGTGTACCCTGCAATTGCTTGAGCCAAAGAAAGTGGACGCGTTTTTGCCATCTCTTTTTGTGTTTTTTCTTGCTCTTGAACTGTTGAGCTTGAATGTGAGTACTCTCTATCAGTGGCAGAGCCGTGAGTGTCTCTCGAAGATTTTTGACCTATTTTGACGTATGAAGATGGTGTATGTGTTACCAAATCGGGGTGCTTTGCTGATTTGAAATGTAGTGGGTCTGAGAGGATTCTTTGAACTAAAGGTGCTATGCTTTCTTTGATGATATCTGGTGTACTCATTTGAGAATATATGGTTGTGCAATTCTAGTATATTTCCACTATGTTACTATTCTTGCAATATTAGAAATTTTTCAACACAAGTTTCTTATTCTTCTTGATAATGTTGTCTTCAACAGTCTGATGGGATGTGTAAACTTCAAAAAGGGAAAATTAAAAAAAAAAAATCCAAATTCTTCAGATTAGTTTCTGTGGTGACGTTAAAAATTTGGAAAGCGTGTTTTTTGTGCTGTTTATGCCTAAACTTTGACAGAAGGTATGGGTAATGATTTGTAGTAGTTATTGTCCTGATATCAAAGTTGAATCAGTTGACCAAGTTCCGATGGATGTGATCTTTAATTTAACTGTTTCAAAGTCTAAACTTCTTTCAAAAATTTTCTGTCTTTTTTTTTCTGAAGCCATCGCGAGCAAAAGAAAAAACCAGATGTGGCTCTTACCGATGATGTTTTTTTTTCACCAGATTGATTTCGCGACATGTACAAAATGGTGATTCCTTGAAGCCTTTGGAGAAGTTCAAATTACATAGTATGCTGTGTTGAAGAAGGATATATATGATACTGAAAAAACTGGCATCTACAAGAAACACATTTAATGGCCAAATTCCTGAAACAATAATCAATGAGAATGCTCTTCATGACGAGTTGTTGAAAAAGAATCAAAACACCGATTACACTTTCCCAAGGTTATCAGATCCTACACTTGGTAAAATAGATAGAGCACACCAGTATAACGTCTGTGATTCAATTCAATGGTGTAACGATGGTGGATCATTTGTCACAACATCTGAAGACTGTGGACTGAGGCTTTATATCACTTCACCAACATTGCTGGAAGATGATGATGAACAATTGGTGCCATTTCTCAGAGTATTCAGGCCAAGTTCAATCATATGTTCGAGAATCCATCCAACCTCCTCAATTTATAACGGCTTTTGTGCTAGTATGATTGCAACTACAGATGTCCCGTTGAGGTTTATGAGTTTAATACCCGATGAAAATGGGGTGAATCAAACATTAATGACATACCAAACACAAAATGAGCAAACTGAAAAGTTCTTGAAACTTCACTGTCTCGAATTTCTCGATTCTACAACCTTTGCCACTGGCAGTCATAAACTCATTTCTATTTTCGATGTTAATAGAGCAAATCCTCTTCTTGAGTTTAAATCAAAAGCTGGAATAACCAGCTGTATAACCAAGACAGACAATGAATTCTCAACAGCTAATGGGTTTTATACAGGTTCATTTTCAAATAAAATCCAGTTATTTGATACCAGTGGTGAAGTACTTCAAAGTGTTTCCTTGAGATCCGGAAATGGTATAACACAATTACTTGAATCTTCAAATGGGAAGTATATTTATGTGGTTTCAAGAAACTCGAACAAAATTGATATATTAGACATAAGAATGGGATTGAAGCAAATATGTCAGCTTGATGGGTTTTCAAGTGGAAACCAAAGATTGAAAGGGGATGTGTTGCCAAACTCTCAGGGTCTTGTTATTGGTACTGATAGAGGTGATTTATTATGGTATAAAGATGCTGAGATGGGAATTGAATGCCAACCAGACACTGTACAGTTATGTGATGAATCCATACCATGCACCAGTATCAATCCTCAAGAACCCTCTGTATTGGCTATTGGCCGTGGTGATCGATCTTCTGATAAATCACAAGTATCACTACAACAATTAACAATTGGGTCTGTAAGCTAAACAAATAAACCATTCATTCATTCAAAAATAAAATCTCTTGTAGCTTTAAAGCAACCATGTTTCGACTAGCCTCTGCTGCAGAAGTTCTAATCTTTTTATCATCATCATTTTCTAGTTTGGTATGAGATTCACTAGCCCCTGGATGGTGACTTAGTTTGAATAAGTTGGGCTGGGTGGGACTGGCGACTGATAATCCTGTAAAGTTTTTTCTTGAGTCTCTTAAAAACTTGAATCCTGTGTCAACATCTGATCCAGTATTATATCTAGGTACTTCATCTTCGAGATCTTCTTGTAAATTACGACTATCTGCATCACTATCATCATTCATCTCAGAATCACTATCCTCGCTGTCATTAGGTTCATTTGATTTTTGGAAATGTTTGAGTCTAGCCTTTCGTGTTGAAAGCAAACTTTGTCTTTGGGCTTGGATCATATCAATTTCATTTCCACGAACTGATTGAGCAACCCCTTTAATAAAATCAGTGGTTTTTGTTTTCATCAATTTGACAGCTTTTGACTCTGAGGTTTTCAAAAATTGTAATCTCTTTTGGTATGCATCAAGCTTACCATTAATAAACGCTTCTAATTCGTCTGCATCACTTTTTTTTGCGTCTTCTGATGATCCAAGTAGGTTGCTTATCCAAAATTTGTTCCACAAGTTTTTCAAAATCAAATGATCCATATGACCTCTAAATATTTCCACTGATAAGGAATAATATTTTGATGAATGTAGCCCAAAATCTTGAATCTTCTCACTTGGGATGTCTTGAGCTTTTCCAGGTCTTGATTTCTTCCCAGCATTTCTTTTCACAGCAAAAGGCGAAGTACCCAGACTTACAGGATTGCTTGCTGTACCTAATTTACTACTCTTGACAAATTCATCAGTGTAAGTTCTAAATGCACCAATTTCAACTTTACCATTTGCCATCGTACGTTCAGGATCAACAACAATAGCCAAATATGGATCTTGAAATTGTTGATTCAAAGACTGAGTAGCAACGTCTATACCTGATAGCCAGCACCCATATCCAGGATGAGAGTGATACCAACCAACAATGTTTTCATATCTACCAGATTTTTTCAAACTATCAAGATACTGAACCATAAACTCATAACCTTCAGCTTGAGCATTGACTCTTGTCTCCGTTCCTTCCACTGGTAATGGGTACACATCCATCACAACAATACCATTCTTAACAATTCTACCAGTAAGCATACCCATAATTTCAATTGAACCGCCAGAACGAGCATGGATTGTCATTTTCAGTAACGCAAGTGATGAAATATGAACATGTTGGAAATAATTAGGATCTTTCATCCATGGTTTAGTTACACCTAGTTCTGAATTGATTTGCTGAATATAGCTGTCATCATAAAATAGCTCAGAGCGCTCACCTGAAGGGCGGTTCAATATTGAGTTGATGTCTGCTTCAGTTGTTTCCAACGGTTGTGAATGATTGTGCTCTTTCTCGCCTTCACGATCTTCTGGATTCATTTTGGCAAAATTTTGAATAAGAAATGCATCTTTTCTGGGGTTGAGGTTTTCCAATGCAAGCGTCATCTTTTAGTCGATATTGAAACTAATGTAATAAGGTAGCTTTGTTAATTATCGTATTACACTTGGATCAGTGCCAATTCTCAAAAACAATGGTTTGTTGCACTGTCCCTCAAAATGCAAAAGCTGTTGCACTCACCGTAAAATCTCTTGTTTGGTTTTTTTCAGCAAAGGGGCGTGTTAAATTTTACATCAAAATGATTTTAGTGAGTTTCCAGTCCAGAGATACGCTTTGAAGCCTCAAGACACAATAACGTTGCTGCAAAATGAAACCAAAGTAACACCAGCACATTCCTTAGAATGTGTTTCATTGCCTTACCAGCTTATTGCCTTATCAAATTGTTTTTTTCCATAAATTATTCACAACCGTGGCACCGTAGGCTGCTCATGAACTCATACCAGAGACTACAAAATCACATAGTCGACTAACTGTTGCTACGCTAATTTTAACAAATATATCATTGTATCCATTTATATGTAATATAAAATGAGAGAACGAAAATGAAACCGCAAACAGGTGAGAAATTGAAATACTAATAAAAAATTTAAAATTGAAGACCAGCTATCATTAAAGAATAAATGGATAATTGAAATTAATAGCAACCATGAATAACTGATAACTTGAAATTTGATGATGTGTTTCAAAAGAAAAAAAAAGAAGGAATAGAAGGGAAGAAGGGGATACCAATTTTGAATAACTTGAATAACAAAATAATAAAAATAAGACACAAAATCTTTGAAAACAATCAAATTAACAAGCATCACTCGGAACAAAAAAAGTAAGGTATTGGGTGTGGTTTGATCTAGCTCAGTAATCTAATTCAGGAGCACTTTCATCAGACTCCCTAGGAACAAGATCAAATTGACCAGCATTTTGAGCATTTTTTGAATCCGGGAAATTTGGAGCTTGTGGAACACCATAATACATATAGTATGGGGTTGGTGGTGGATGAGCTGCTGAATTCAGAGATGATTGTTGAAAATCAATCAGTGATGCATCTGGATAGTAGTATGGGTAAGATGAGTATGCAAGATATGATGACTGGTCGTACAGATAGTTTTCTTTTGGTAATGCATAGTAATAATATGGAAGAGGTTGGTTTTGTTGATACATTTTGCTATAGTTTCTTCTATTGGAATGTGTTGATTTTGTTGTACCATAACCACTTGTTGGATCAGTTAAATCATCGTTAATGAGATGGTCACCAACAGATACATTAGTTGAAGAGTAAGTTGATTTAGCTTCTCCTTGTGACGAATTGACAGTATGGTTACTTGGAGAAGATGCAGGAGTATGCTTATCATTTGGCGTGTTGAAATTATCATGGGATCCGACTTTTGAAGGTGTATTGATGGTGTTTGCCTTATCATTTTCATAAGATGCAGATGTTGGATAACCAATAACTTGGCCATAACGATATTTCAGATTGGTGTTGTCATTACTGAATGAAACTGAGCGATTCAGGGCAAAACTGTTTGGACCAAGATGTTTTGAAGAAGTTGGTGCAGGTTGAAAAGGTGGATGCAGATTTGGAATCATACCAAATTTACCCATTTGTTGTTGTCTTGGATCAAATTGCTTTGAAAAAACAGAAGACCCGGTACTTGCTCTTCTAACTGGGAGGTTAACTGGTGGTGGAGCAAGGTTTAATCTTGGTTGGTTGTTACCAAAGTGTGGTTTCTTGTGGTGAAGTTCACGGTATTGGACGTGCATGGTTTTGTCTAAAAAGACAGCATGGTTTTCTCTTTCAACAGCGGCAGCAGCAGCCTTTTCAGTTTCAAATTTGATGAATGCAAAATTATTGCCTGCTCTTATAACCAAGACTATATCAACAATCTTTCCATGTCTAGAAAATCTTTCATTGAGGTTTTCTTTTGTTACACGAGCATCCAATTGACCAACGAAAACAGAAAACTTATCAATAACAACTTCAGGTTCAACCTTGGCAGCTAAGTCACTTGGTGATTCAATGTTTTGAGCCCATTCAACAATCCAATCAGGACTTAGACGTAAATTAGCGTAAGCTCTGATAGCATCATCCCTATATGCAAATTTGCAAAACCATGCTTTGTTCAAATTTGACTTTCTAAATTGTGAATCATTATTACCTACCATCTGTTCAACTTCACCATAAACTTCCAAGACTTCTTTAACATTTTTCAATGGGAGGTCAATACCTGTTGCTGTTGCAATGTACAAAGTACGGTTGACTTTTGCTGGTTCACAACGAATTGATCTACCATCCAACATGGAATGTTGAGCACCTCTCAAAGCTTTTTTGGCATCCTCATCTGTGGTATATTGAACAAAAGCATATGGCCTATTAGATGGATCACGCAAAACTTTGACTAGAGCTAATTCACCCCACTAGATAACTAATGTTAGTATGCTATACTGATTTCAAATCTTCATTGAAGATTACTTACTTGTTCAAAATGCTTGGTGACAGAAATGGATAAGTCATCATCAGTCTTACTTGAAGCGAGACTTGCAACAAAAACACATGAAGATGGTCTACCACGAAATTCATCTTTTTCATTTGATTCAGGGTTCTCGCCAGCTTTATTGTTGACTTCAGCGGCTTCTAATGTTTGATTAGGATCACAATTCTCAGAACCAGCACCTAATTCCAATTGAGCACTTTCATTATCAGAATCAGAGTCATCTTCCATTTCAGAATCGTCTGATGATGAGGAAATTGATGGGGGTGACAGTTGTGTAACTTTTGGATCATAGTTATTGCGTTCCAAGTTCATCTTTTTGAATTCATGCTCAGCGGCATCTTCAATGACTGTCAAAATAGTACTTTTAGTATCCATTGTTGAAACTTTAACTCAGTGTGGATGATATACAACTTAGTTTTGGTTGGTATATGGATGAATGCAGCTTGAATATGAGCTTTGATATGATTAAGCGCCGAGTTTTTGCCTTGATAGAATGGATTGAAATTGATTCAGTAGCTTTGAAAGTTAACTTATAATTGAGGATGGAATAGATGGAGCTCACTCGATGTATCAAAACTAGATGAAATGAAACTAACTGGATGTTTATAAAAACAAGAAGGATAGTTATTTGAAAATGGATCAAAAAGAAGGAGTTTGGTGTGCTTTATATGATTATTTGGCTTTGTGGAGGAGATGTGTTTCTTTTTTGCTCAGCGTCTAACAGAACTTTTAAAGTTATATGGTTTGATCCAAAGAAGATACAGAGCACGATTAAGTGTTGGGTTTTGGTGTATTATTATGTACGTGGGATCGGCCATGATTCGGATTTTCAAGGTGTGGTATACAGAGTTTTTTTTTTTTTCCAAGTTTTGACTGGGTCCTAAGTCTAAAGATCAATAAGGGCGGTTAAACAATGACAGCAGACATTTAAAAAATGAAAACACCATTAGAGTGCTACCATTTTGCCGATTAAGGTATATTTTTCAGCACCAAAAGCGCTTTGTTGGAAAGGTTTGTTATTGGTGTAATTGTTCGAAGTTTGAAGGGGGAATATTGGGTGACAGTCAGCTACGTACTGAGATGGCTGAAGACTGCATATCATGTGCTGTATATCATGTGCTGTATAATTTTGAATTTTTGGCCTTGGGGATTTTACAAGTGATGATTCGATGTTTGGTCGCTATGGTAATGCTGAGAACTTTTGAGCTGATGGATGTACTCAAATTACCAGATGACAAAAGCGCGTGCTCGTGATAGAAAGGTAACACCAGCTACATCCATGCTACCAGTGGGTATTCGATCCGTGTGATTATGACTGAAGGCATTGTGAAGTTAGGTTGAATATTGTTAGCTTTTGGGAATGAAGCGCTCCATTGGCTTCTGTGGTTGTAACTTGTCTTATCCATTTCATTGATGGGGCCCAGAAAATACTGAATGTTTTGTTCATCAAACTTCTAAGTTTCACCAATGTTGCCTTACATTACAACTTAAGGCCTTTTGATCGCTTTTCGGCGAGATCATGTTTTTAATGATTGAATCTTGAAGCTAGAAGTTCATGGTCGCTCGCTGAAGTTTGAAGTCTTCGAGAATCATAGCCGGTGTTTTTGATAAGTTGTTGTTACTGCATGTGAGTTTTTCTTTTTTTGGGTATTTTTTTTGATCTCTAGATTTTTGTGTGACAGAAGCAGTGGCTTTGTGAAGGCCCATCAGCCGCCCAGAAGCTCACTTCAAAACTTCAAATTTAATAATGTTACAATTGCTTTATACATTTGTCTCTTCAAATACTCCGTGGTCAGGGGTAACAATTGTTGAGATAGAAGATTTGACCTCAAAAAATGGAGTTGATTTGGATTGGTGAATTTGCCTGCTATCTAAAATGAATTTTGGTTGTCTACATAACTTTAATCAAAACCATCAGCATTGAACAATATTCAACGGAAAGAATTCCAATCTGATGTCTGGTTGGACTAATTTTGTGTGGTTATCCATTGTCGAAGGAGTCGTCTTTTGTTTAAACATCGTGCTAAGAAGTTAAAAGAGCCAACAGCTATTCAGAAGTTAGAACCGACAAGGAGATAAAGAAAAGGATCTTAACTTCTAGATGCGGGCACAACCGAAACATAAATTCAAAAAAAAAAAAAAAAAGATTGGCAAGTTTCCAAAGTTTGGTTCAGTTTTACAGTTCAATAGAGTCGTCAATGAACTTGTTTTCGAGCATGTTGTTGCAACAAGCCGAAGAAGAGTGTCCCACAGGAATCAATAGCGACAAGTTGTTAGACAAAGTTGCATTGTCTGACGTCTTGCAGTGAAAAGACATGGTTTTCTGGCTATAAAACTTTAAGTAGTCCTGTTATTTCCAAATGATCAAAATAAACCTATTCAACATTAATTTCATACATTCATCTCAGGGTTAAAAATAACAAAATAGACAGTCTGGATCTGTACAACTTTCGAGTCTCGATTTGTTGTTTTGATTATTATGGTTAACTAACAACATAGTACTAATACTAGGTGCTCTAATTTGTGCGTGCCGAATCCCAATTTATATCTTCTTGGTACATCTGTATATTTTTACCATTGATAATTGTTGTATTGAGTGCCCAAATTATTTTGTTATGAATGAAACTCCAGTATCGGCGGCCTCGTTAGATCAGAAGTAATAATTAGAATCTAGCTACAACCAAGGTATCAGTTTCAATGGTTCATTTCAAAGAAGAAGGCACAAACCTAACCGAAGCTTGATGTACACGGCGGACCAAACATCAGCCTATAAAACTGTCGAAATTTCGAAACGATGGTACTGTCCAGAGCTATTCATTGCTGTATAGTACATACGACAGGCAATAATCGGCTGACTATCGATAATGTGAAACTCTGGTTGTATATAATCAAGGAGTCATGACTCTATAAAACACACAAAGAAATCGCTAATGGACCAGCTCTCCATAGTATGTATGGATCTTAAACATGAATTACGGTAACAATAGAAATTTCAGCTTCAATGAGTCAGCCAGCTGGCAAAAATATCGCCAGGTCTTCCTGTATAATTTTGGGAGGCATATTGAATACTGAAGGTGTAGGACCGGTGGATCTTCGAGCATGAAACCATTAATTAATTAAATTTTACGAGATCAGAAAAGGCTTGGAATCTGTTGGAATTTTTGCACTTTGAGTCTAAAGTGAAGACGTTTCAAGTGCACCAACATACAGAAGCCATGAAATAAATTATACATTGAGACCTAAAGCCCTACATTACCTTGCATCGGCTGTTTCGATAAAGGATACAATCTGAAATATATCTTCAGACTTCAGCTCCACATATATAGTTTCATCCGTATTTGGACCCTTTGTGTGGTTGTATAAGATTCTTTCTAGCTGGACATTGCAACTTGTAAGCAACGAACCTTGACGTACCGTGAAAAGTACCATCAAAATTTTTGATGCCTTTTCGACTTTCAAACAGTCCCATAAAATCATGCTGTAACACCTAGTCATTCGAAAACTAGACGTATCTTTTGAAGTGCCATATTGAACTATCATCACGATTAAAGATTAGACATATGGATTGTACTTTTGTACCCATGAATCTAAAGTAAAATGATTGTAAAATGGATCATAGCTAAACAAGCAAAAATTATCATGGCCGAAGAGCTAAAGAGTTCAGCATCTGAAGTATGCGTGCGGGAATGATATTTGCTCTATAAATCTTGCACAGTGGCATGGATCCCCTTGTTAAAGGCAGCTTCGCAATTATAAAAAATGATCTTTACCATACCTTCTCCAAACAATGCAACCAAATACTTATCGACGGTCAAGCAACGCAGTTGTCATACTGATCATCAGCAAAAAGTTGTGCTATAGTGTGATTAATTATACATTGACAGGTTGTTAATGACTTCGTTTATAGTACCCTCTCTCCATGATGTTTCCACTTTGGGTAAAAACTTTTGATCGATCAACTAAAAACAGAGCTCTTAACATATGCGATAGTAACGAAAGATGGAGATCAGTTGGTTGTATTAACTCTTTGAATGCTTGCAATAATATTTTGCCTTCTATTTATATATAATTAGCTCATAGCTAGTCGATCGAATAAGATGAACATTTTGTTTTGTTCAAAGAGGATCACCGAAATATTGAAATATATAATATTCATGATATAATTATAAATGAGCTTATAATATTCCCGTAGCGACGACGTTTTAATGTATTAATTATTATAATATCACACTAGCTAAGTTTAGCTGCTACATATCAATATTTAACAATTATTTCAATATCCAAGTGCGTTGACATGGTTTCCTAATTCTTATTACATGATCTGTTTGGACTTCCCATCGCAATATTAAGCTCAAGAACTTTTGGCGGGAGAGCTTTGTTGTATATTAATATTGTCTGACATTTCTGTTATACTAATTTAATTCAAAAACAAGCTCATTGGAATTAAATTATTATATATAATAAATTGCTCATGATATTATTAAATATTATAATGAAATATATTTGAAAAGGCATGCTGTTAATAAATATTACTTAATTATATTATAATAATAAATGGCTGGCGTACACTAGATTATAATGATCTGCATTAATATTGGCTAGCTAGCTGGTCTACTATATAATTAGGCGCTAAACGCCTTGTTGATCTAATTATATAAATCAATTAGTTTAATTTAAATGTTATAAGAGACAGCCACAGTACTCACTGCTCAGCTTTATTCATGTTGTACACGTATAAAGTTTTTCGACTGGAGATTGACGCATTACATGCATAAATTTTCAACGGTTGACCAGGATACACATAATTGTACATGCACTGTACGCTTAAAAACAGAGTTGAGATTGCATGTTCGAACTTCGTACGAACAAAGTGTAAAAGTTTCACAAAGTGTCAATAAGATCCAAGTTTCATTAACGTGGTTTCGTACGCCGAATTATTCGACGGCATAGTGTATGTAAAACCAAATATCAAAATATTTCAAGATCCTTGCAGCTTATAAAACGTCCGACAATATTCACGTACTTTAATGATGCTTCAAATTAATCAATTATTGATGATAATATTGGAATTACATTAATAAGATCAACAAACAAATGATAATGAGGGGCAAGGCCGGTGAGCAAAGTTTTGCTGGATATTAATTATAATAACATGCAATTAATCAGTCATCATGTGGTCTACACGTTTTGAACAATATCTAGCTGCTTCATCAAATCTTCGAGTTATATTAAGTGCCCACAAGCCCCTTGGATTAGCTACCATATATTATGAAATGAGCAGAACTATCTATACATAATGTCATTTTCACAGCTAGCTGTGCACAAAGATTTAATAAATATACTATGGGTTGGTTGAACAACACAACCATTTCAGTGTTTCAGATGGAGGTGCTCTGGAAACTTCCGGGCTTGGTGTGTAATTATATTGATCGTTGAGTTAGTGTCGACACAAGCTACTTAATCGTAATAGTTCGATCAATCAGCTTTGCTATACATTTAGACAATATTGTTGAAGGTTCTATAAAACTTAAAGCTTAAAAGCTCATAATATTAAGTCATGGTCAGGTCATATTGCAGTATATGAAATACTATTATATATAGCTAGCTGTTGTCAGATAAGTACGAGTACCGCGTTCTGTTGATAACATTATACAGCAACCAGGCGTGTCAGGCGCTTTATAGAAATCACATAATTTTCAGGAGCGCATGAGTTATTCAACTGATTCCAGAAGCCACTAATGATCTTGAAGTGCTTATAATGACTAATAATTGATACTACATTAATATTAATTTACTACAGCCGAGCACTAGAGCTATAATTTGCGTCAGCGTCGCCATATAAAAATTTAATCAGTACAGCTGTCTATACTTTATTGAGGTGATATATATTGTTGAAACGTAAATATAATTCTGTAGGAATACAAGAGTACATGAGTTGTGGTTGTACGATTTGGGTGATTAAATCTGTAGCCTTATCAATCTATCAGAGCTGATGAAGTGTCCACTAATTGTAACTATGGTTTACACAATGTTTAGCTTGGAATTGAAGTTCATGAAAGCCCCTGGGCCCTGAATTTTATTCATGTACACTGATGTACTGCAGCTGTAGCTCTGCCAAAGATACATTATCTTGCAAGATAGTGTGCAGATTTAAATTTTACAGTGATTACAGAAAGATTCTCATGTCGCGACTCGCGACGACGTCTTCCATGATCAAGAGAAAGCCATGCTCACTGTACTGAACCTTGGCTAATGAGAAGTTGAAAGTTGGAAGTATGATCGAGTTATCAGTTTCCAATTCCAGGTTCCAACTTGCCACCGGGCCTTTAAATCCTAAACACGAGCAGTAGTAATGTGTAAAATGTACATCACGATATAATTTCATGAAGTACCATTCATGGTGACACAATTCGAACTTCGTAGTAAATGGTATTATATTGCAGATGATCAGCTGTAATTAGCATTTTACGTAAAATGTATATCCAAAATTCGCTAAGGGCCCTTTCTCCCCCGTCAGGTCGTCAGGTCTCAGGTTTCAGGTGAAGACATTTTGCGCGAAATCCTCCACCTGAAGACTTTTGGGAGAAAAAAATCAGGTTCAGGTGGCAGGTAGCAGGCTAATAAAAGTCAACACAAAAACCACATTACTGTAAGCAACAAGAGCTCAATCATGTAGCCTGAGATATCACCATAAAGCTGAGAGACAGATAGTTCATATCAAACAAATTTCTACTTCAACCTCCTACTATGTGGTGAGAAATTCGCTATTTTACGAACAGTAGAATTTACAAAACCAAGTCTTCAAGCAAGGGCTCTGTTTTCAGCAAAAGTTCAGTTATTTAGGGTTCATAAAGTATCCCTTTGAAAATCGTATCCAAAACATAGGCGTTAGGTACCTTTTCACATTTTGATATCTCTTTTTGGTTAATGAATGCTGTTTCTTTTCAGGTTCAGTTAGTGCAAAAATATTTTCGAATTATAAAGCGAGTTAGAAGCACATTGGCACTAAATGGAGCTTGATCCGGTTGGAATAATGTCTTCTATCATATTTTCTACCATTCTACACCTTTTTCTCTTTCCAGTAGTCGTGATGTATAGTTAAAATAACTTATTAACTGATGTTGTTTTATCAGTCCAGAAAAGACCTCCTAAGAAATCCTTAAATCCTCCGTTTTTAGGAGTCAGATTTCAAAAATAACAGCATAGAAAGATAGTCCATATGAAGTTCTACCAGAGCTATATCATTTACTGCTCACACAAAGCAATTCATGGTGTTTTGTTAATGTTGTTCTACAGATGGTTGTTCAGAAGCGGGTGAATTTTTGTTTTTCCCAGCCAAATTAGTGCGCGACCTGACGATTTCAAATTTGACCTGCGAGTTTTCGTTCAGGTAAAAAATTGGCGTTCAGGTGGGACATTTCCGCGAAATGTCTTCACCTGAAACCTGAGACCTGACGACCTGACGGGGGAGAAAGGGCCCTAAATTGAAACAGAGCTGTGGTCAATACGATGTCCAAAAGATACAATCACATTGTACTAGAAATCAAGTACAAGTGTAACGAGCGGCCTTTTTTGAATGGTAAAGAGCTTTCCTTGAACTATGGCATAGAGCATTAACATAATATATGTTATACTATACTATCTTCAATAAAACTAAAGTGAAGCAACCAATATTAGTTAGACTTAATTAGTCATGGGTTCGGCCGACGTTGTTTTATTTGAATTGGATACCAGAGCGCTGCCTGATATTGTTTCAACCAGACAATATCCTCAAACGCCTGGTATCCAATTCAAATTAGTCAGTCGTGACAGGTAAAGCCAATAGTTCCTTAATTGAGTACCTTCGAGCATGGTGTCTGAGTCGACGTACAGGTCCGTGACTATGAAACAGACATTAATTAACAAAAGATCTTGCAGCACAGTTATAACAAAGGAATACCGCGCAAAATCGTTCTCAGGTTATAAGTAACACAATGGAAGTTGATGCACAATACAATGCACTTAAAAATAATTCCAGCCATAATATTTGATGTAGTGCAGGCACTAAAAGATGATCTGGAATCTGGATCAATGATCTGGGTTCTGGATTAATGATTCCGGTCTTATTGATCGACCGGAAGCCAAGTTGATTATATTCAACTATTGATTTTGCACGTCGATTTAAGAGATCAAAATGATAGCATGAGCACTAATTAGTGCGCCAATTTTTAACAGTTCTACAATGTACTTATATAAAATATAGCTTCAACTTCTACAGCATTAATTATAATATTAATTATCGCAATGCCAGCTTCTTTTCATATTGGCCGTTTAATTTCCTTAATTTTTGGTCAGCTCCCTTAGCTAGCTCATTAATAAAGAATTAATTAAAAAAAAAAAAAAAAAGAAACTGCAGTAATTATATCAGTTTAAGCTGTACTATAAGACCAATATGGATAATTTAAGTGCGAGCTGCTCTGGTTAACCGCGTCTTTTTACGCCCAATTTAATTATTCCTCAAGAAAATTACATTAGTGATACAATTAGAAAAGGACATGCTCAATTCAAATCAGTTTTTGACATCTTGTCTGCACTTGATTATTGTATTCATTGTCGATTGGTTGACTTAAAAAAAGGACGGTTCAAGGATATCGAGTGCTCAACAGACGGAGATTTGAGGGTTGGCAAAGCTAGCAGGCGAAGAAAGGCTGACCAGTAGCATCCAAAGTAGTTATTTAAACTGGTCGACTTCTCCGGTGATGGGTTTACTCGTGATTGTAAACATGATTTATAAAAAAGGTGCCAATATTAGACAACCCTCAATCACCAGCTTTAGAAACATTGCTTAACTATTAACACCCATGATAACACCCATCAACAAAACAAAGATACAATCTACCCCCAGTATGAGATTACAATTCTGGTTCAGAGAAAATTGATAAGCTGAACTTTCGATTTTTTCCACCTTTGGAAGAAAATCCGAAACAATCAGTTGACAACGGAAAAAGCCCACCAAGCCCAGTCAAACACTTCTGAATCACTTATAAACCAACCCCTATCACCACCAATTGACCTTTATTCACACCCCAATCAAGCTCATTATCAAGTGGAAATGACTTTTCTCAGTCCATTGATAGCTTACCCAGCACCTCAAATCAAAGAGACATTACTTGAACATTCAAAGGGCAAATCTATTGACTCCTTACAAACTCCAGCACTTTTAATCAACAAATCAGTGGTTCAAGATAACTGTACAAGATTGTTAAAAAGAGTTGATCACTTGGGATATAGGTTTAGAGCCCATGTAAAGACCCATAAGACTATTGAGATCACCAAGCAACAACTAGGTTATGATTTACCTAATTATGAAGGGAGAAAATATGACTCAATAGTGGTGTCCACTTTAAAGGAAGCATATTCTGTGGTCAATTATCAAGAGTCCACGGGTGAAATATTTATCAACGATATCGTTTATGGGTTACCAAATATTGCGGAGGATACTTTGTTTCACATTTTGGAATTGAGTAAAAAAGTCAAACATTTTAGATTACTCATTGATAATGTGGAACATATCAAGATTCTTAAAGCTTTCAATGACAAGTACAATGTTGAGGCCCCATGGTCAATATTTATCAAGTTGGATGCTGGCACTGCTAGAGCTGGTATTGAGAAACCACAAGTGTTGAGCCATGTACTTAGCAAAGTGCTTTCGAATCCATATTTAAGTCTCTATGGGTTCTATGTTCATGCCGGTCATTCCTATAGCTCAAACAATGTTGAAGAAAGTGAAAAGCATTTCCTTGAGGAGTTGCAATGTGTGTCAGATGCCGTGAACTTGTTGGAACAGATAGCTCCAGAATTGAACTTTAAAGATATTGTTGTTTCTGTTGGTGCTACACCAACTCTTCATTCATTAGAACATGACCTTTACACGGGCACAAGTAAAAAGATAGAGGATTTATTATCTAACTTGAAAGCCACATTGGAAGTTCATGCTGGTAATTATGGATTGTGTGATTTGCAACAAGTATCAACTGGTTGTGTGAATACAGGTAATGTTGGTTTGCATGTCTTGACAACTGTTATCTCACAATACCCACAAAGAAAACATCCAATTGGCGAATTATTGACGAATTCTGGTGTTATTGCATTATCAAGAGAACCATCACCAAAGTTTCCAGGTTTTGGAAGAGTTGTTACTGATCCTAAATATGGCGAATGGGAGGTTAATAGATTAAGTCAAGAACATGGGATCCTAAGACCAGTTGGGAAATCATTGGAAGAAGGCAAGTTGATACCAATTGGAACCAAGGTGAAAATCATTCCAAATCATGCTTGTATCACTGCCAATTCATTCAATGCTTATTATGTGTTGGATGACAAAGAAACCATTATTGATGTCTATATTCCTTGGAGAGGTTGGTGAATTTACAATTTGAACATTCAACAAAACCAATAGTGTGTATATTATAAATTGAATGAATCAATTGATCAATTATTAAACAGCCTCAGTTGTACACGCACAAGCACCGCTATAAGGTGGTGAAAGGCCACGGTGCAATCCACAGCGCCCGCCAGCCCCACGACAAAGACACTAGTTCCTATCGAGAGCACGGCCAGATACTTCAACGGATGACTTAACTATAACCTATCCTCATCGACTGTAATAGTTGATAAGGAAAGGAAAAAAGTATTAAACAGAAGAATGAAAAGTTTTTTTCGTTCGCGTCCAATTTATACTTCAGCGAGGCGGCACAAGTGAGATGGCCGTTGTGAGACTTGTGCTGAAAAAAAAATTGGGCGGGATCGCATTAAAATTTTCGACAACATAACCATAGTGAAAGGCGAAACTAGTTTACAGAGATTAAAGAACTTCAATTCGCTTTGTTAGCTTTGACTAGAGAAAATTTTGGCTAGCCACCATATAGTCGTATGTACTGCTTCACAGTTATACACCAAAAGCCTCATTACTAACTCAACAAGATGTCTGATGAAATTATTTCATGGGAGCAGCTATCGTCGACGTTGGAGAAAGATTTGTTTCTTTCCTCATATCAAAACCGAATTGCTGCTCTAGAGAATCTTATATCGTACCTCACCAAATCAGAAAAGGTCGATAATACCTCAATCACTGAAATTCAAAGTGTACTGCTAAAACATTATAGCAATTTTTTGGATCTAAAATCCATCAAGTTATCCACCGAGATCCTTTCACTTACATTTCATACAAACAAAGAGTCCTTGGTCAAGTTTGTTCAAGCTTTCAATAAATTTGCCACTAAACACAAGTCATTAGCATTCAATGATCTAACGGTGTTATCCACTTGGATTGATTCCATTGTCTCAAATTTCGCCAAAGATGAAATCTATTCGAAATTGATTCAAGATATTATTCAATCTCAAATCTTTATTTTTGATTCAATCTATACCCAAAAGACAGATGATGATAGTAAGCATAAGATCAGAATACGGAATTCAATCGAAAAATCTACGAGAGGCGCATTGACCCATTTATCAAACGACCAAATCGCTCAATATTTCAAGATCTTGACCAGTGATACAGAAAGTTCAATTGACGCGATTATCACCTTGGTTGGTTTAATTTCTTTGAATTCCAGCTCAATTACTGAAGAGGAGAGAATATCAGTTATTGAATATTATAAAAAAGTTGTTTTGGCTTCTAAACTGCCATTATCAAACGCTCCAGGTTTGGATGCCTTTTTCAATAAATTTTGCACTCAGGAAGATTTCAAAGATTCAATTTTACCAAGCTTGGAAAAGTCAATTTTGAGATCTCCAGATTTAGCGCTTTCATTATCAAAGCATCTTTTCAAGGCATTACCATCCACTTTTGACTTGCCAAAGTATTTTGTTGAATCTAAGCTGATGTCGCAAATCATTTCTTCATACAAAAGCTCAAAAGAAAATGTTCGCGATCTTGCTTTAGAAAACTTTGGTATTGCAGTTTCATATGAATCAACAGAGAAAACATTGACAACAGTCGTTGATGAACTACTAAAGGCTTTGAAATCACTTTCAGCTACTGATCAAAAGGCTTTAGTTGCTAAGTCATTGACTTTGATCCCTTCTAATTATGAAGCTGTTTCCAACAAAATAGTGTCATCTTTGTTGAACTATGTTGCGAAGGATCAAAATGAAGTTTCATTGAATGAATTGTTGAGCGCCTATTTCAAACATTTCTTGTCCTCGTTCCAGAACGGCTGGGCTACTTCCAATGATGCTAAGAGCGCTGCTTTGAAAGGTTTTAAAGATCCAAAACTACAATTGAGAAAACTATGGTTCACGACCTTGGGCTCAACATTACAAAGCTTTGGATTGAGTGAACAACTGACTCATTTCCTTTCCGAAAATTTTGCTGCTTTTGTTTCATCATCTGAAGAAGTCTTCAACAATCCAACAAACAATTTTAAAGGTATTACAATCCCATATGTTGTTTCATTTATTGCAGGTTTAATTAAAGGTGCTGAAGGTAGAGATGATTTTTTTGCTAAAGCTTTGGCTGATGACAACAAACCATCTGTTTTAACCAACCCTAGAGTTTATTCTAAATTTACCACCACATATGAAAAATCATGGTTTGTCAAGGCATTGTTTGCTGCTACTAAAAATGTTCAAGTTTCAAGTGTTGATTTTGGTAAGGCATGGACTGTTTTTATCTTATCAAATGATAGTGCTTCTGAATTGCGCAATGAAAATATTGACCTATTATCTAAGGCATACCTTTTAAACCAAAAAGTCATTGGAGATTCTGTCATTAGTGCTTTACAAGATTATTTCCTAAGAAGTGACCAAGCGGATGAATACAATTTGAACATCAACATTTCACGTTCCATTGGAGCTTTACGTGCTATTGCACCACTTGAAGAAAAAGTCGATAAAGATATTTTGATTCAACAATTAAGTGATGTCATTGTCGTTGCTCATCACAAGTCCTTAACAGATTCTGCATTCTCATGGATTTCCCTTGTATTGAGCTCTAACATTGACCCTGGTTTGGTTGCCAAACTGAACCATAAGACCATTATATCATCCCTTGCTGATACTTTAGTTGGTGCTACTGAACAAACAATTTCCAGTGGTGTCTTCAATGCAGCCACCGCTGCTGCTTCAACCATGGCTTTTATTGATCCAACAGCAGTTGCTCCATTATTGAAAGAGTTGATCGTTGGTGATTTATCATCTTCTAGTTTGTCGAGTATCACTGAACAAGAATTGAAGATCTGGAGAGCAAATGAAGGCGAACTTGTCATTAATGTCTTGGAAAATAAGAAAAACATTGTTGAAAACAAAAACTCTAAAGATTACGAAACTCGTAAATGGGAAGAAAGTCTAAGGAAAGAAGTTTCAAAGAAGAATCAAGCTTCCAAAAAATTAACCAAAGAAGAGCAAGCTATTGTCAATGAACAATTGGCCAAAGAATCAGTTGTTAGATCCCGTGTTCAACATACACATAACGCCCTACGTCGCGGTGTTAGTTTAATTGATGCACTATCCAAAACCTCTCAACTTGTTGATAATGGGAAATCTATTTGGTTTGCTACAGCTGTGGATAAATTATTAGAGATTTTAAGCGTTTCCAACTGTCAAGAAATTATTGGAGAATTTCCAACCAAAGTTTTTCTTGATTTATCAAATACCGTCACCTTCAAATTGGGTCCTTTAAGATTATTTTTAGGTGTTGCAACTCTAAGGGTTAGTGAAATTGGCGCTTTAGAAGATAGATTCAAAGAAGAAGATCTGTTAGAATTAGTTTCCAGACTTTTGTTTAGAGTTAAATTTCTATCTGATCAACAACCTTTTGACTTTTTCAGTTTAATTTATGCATTGCCATTATTAACTAAAGTCTTGGAAAGAGGTAAAGCAGTTGCCATTGCCAATTCCAAGAAACCTGCTACAAAATCAGAATTTGTTGAAGAAGATAAGGAAGAAGAACAATTACTATTGGCTGTTGAAATTATTGGAACTCATGCTGAATTGTTCAAGAATACTACTATCCCTCGTGAGCATATTGTTAATGTGTTGTTATCACTATTAGCTCTTCCATCTAAAGCCAAACTTGCTAAAGAGTGCTTACTAAACTTATGTCAATACATTTCCGTCGAGTTCTCTGATGCCGATTTGAAGTTATTATTGGCTGGTATTTTGTCACCTGAGCCATTTGTCAGGAACACTGTTTTGGAAGCTTTAGATCAAGAATTCGACTTGACTGATTTATCCTATTCAGATGAAATTTGGATTGCATGCCATGATAATGATGAAGCTAATGCTGAAATTGCTTTAACCATTTGGGAAGAAAATAAACTAAGTGTGAAGCTCGAATCTGTCAAATCTTTACATGGTTTCTTAGGAAATGCTGATAGTGGTTTGCGTTTATCTGTTGCAAAAGCGCTAGCTGATGCTATTCATATTGTTGCTAGAGAGCATGAAACTTTCAAATCTACTGTTCAAGAACTGTTGGAATTATACGTTGAAAAAGCTAAACCAGCTCAACCATTGTTGGATGAATTTGGATTAGTTATCAAATCTCCTCAGGACCAAAAAGATCATTGGGAAGAACGCAGTGGTATTGCAATAACGTTGAAATACGTTGCTGACCTTTTCTCTGATAAAGAACTTATTGCTAACTTTATCAAATTTATCATTAATGAAAAAGCACTCGGTGATAAAGAATCAATCGTCGCAGAGGAATTCAAAGAAGCTGCTATTGAAATCATCGACGCACATGGTGCTGGTACCGTCGAAACATTGATTCCTGTTTTTGAAGCTGCTTTATCTACCAAAAAGGGCACTGAAAAGACCGATGAAACTATCAGGGAGAATGTTGTTGTTTTATACGGTACTCTGGCTAGACATTTGTCCTCTGATGATGCACGTCTATCCACTATTGTTGATAGATTGTTGAAAACTTTGGATACCCCATCTGAAAAGGTCCAAAAAGCCATCTCAGAAGTTATTGCACCATTGGTGCATTTGTTCAAACCTAAGGTTGGTAACTACATTCAACAGTTGTTTAAAACCTTGTTTGAAGCTCCAACTATTTCACGCAGACGCGGTGCTGCCTATGGTATTGCAGGTTTAGTCGAAGGATTTGGTATTTCTGCTCTTGCAGAATTTGACGTTATCCGTAACTTGAGTGATGCTGCTGATGATAAAAAAGATCCAAAACGTCGTGAAAGTGTGTCAATAGCATTTGAGTGTTTGTCTTCCAGTTTAGGTAAATTTTTCGAACCATACGTTATTGAAACTTTACCAATCATCTTGAAAAGTTTGGGTGATGCTGTTCCAGAAGTTCGTGATTCTACAACCAATGCCGCCAAGGTTATGATGCAAAATACTACTGGTTATGGTGTTAAGAAACTAATTCCTTTGGCTATTGAAAACTTGGATGAAATTTCTTGGAGATCTAAAAAAGGTTCTGTTGAATTGTTGGGTTCTATGGCTTACTTGGATCCAGCACAATTATCTGCTTCTCTATCTACCATTGTCCCAGAGATTGTTGGTGTCTTGAATGATTCCCATAAAGAAGTTCGTAAAGCTGGTGATCAATCGTTGAAAAGATTTGGTGAAGTTATTCGTAACCCTGAAATTCAAACATTGGTTCCAACTTTAATCAAGGCTATTGGTGATCCAACCAAACATACAGAGGAGGCTCTTGATGCCTTGATAAAGACTCAATTCGTTCATTATATTGACGGTCCTTCATTAGCATTGATCATCCATGTTATCCATCGTGGTATGAAAGACAGATCCGCTAATACTAAAAGAAAAGCTTGTCAAATTGTGGGTAATATGGCTATTCTTGTCGATACTAAAGATTTGTTGCCATACTTGCATCAATTAATCTCTGAATTAGAGATCGCCATGGTTGATCCAGTTCCAAATACTAGAGCAACAGCTGCTAGAGCTTTAGGTGCCCTTGTTGAAAAATTGGGTGAAGAACAATTCCCAGATTTGATCCCACGTTTGCTTGACACTTTGTCAGATGAGTCCAAAGCAGGTGATCGTCTTGGTTCTGCACAAGCTCTTGCTGAAGTTATTAGTGGTCTTGGTATCCGTAGATTGGATGAGTTATTGCCTACAATTTTGAAGGGTGCTACAAGTCCTCGTGCATCTACTCGTGAAGGATTTTTACCATTGTTATTATTTATTCCTGTTTGTTTTGGTGCTCAATTTGCCTCTTATATTAATCAAATTATTCCTGCTATATTGAATGGTTTAGCGGATACTGATGAATCCATTCGTGGTACAGCATTGAAGGCCGGTAGATTAATTGTTAAAAACTATGCTAGCAAAGCTATTGACTTGTTGTTACCAGAACTTGAAAACGGGTTGCTAGATGTAAACTACCGTATTCGTCTCAGTTCTGTTGAGCTTACTGGTGATTTGTTGTTTCAAGTTACTGGTATTAGTGGTAAGAATGAACTTGTTGAAGATCAAAGTGAATACTCAGGTGCTGTTAACAAGCAACTTGTTGAAATCCTTGGTTCAGAACGTCGTGACAGAGTCCTTGCGTTATTGTTCATTTGTCGTTCAGACACATCTGTCCTTGTTCGTAATGCTGCTATTGATATTTGGAAATCACTTGTTGCTAATACACCACGTACTGTTAAGGAAATATTACCAACACTCACCAACATCATTATTCGTCGTTTGGCAAACCCTGATGAATCGCAACGTCAAATTGCTGCACAAACATTGGGTGAACTGGTTCGTCGTGTTGGTGGAAATGCATTGCCTCAATTATTGCCTACATTGGAAGAATCCCTTCAAACAAGTGACTCTGATGCCAAACAAGGTATTTGTATTGCTGTTCATGAATTAATTGAATCAACTCCTGAAAACCTGATATATGAATATCAAGACATCTTTGTTAATATCATTCGCTCAGCTCTTGTTGATGCCTCTCCAGATGTTCGGGAATCTGCAGCACATGCTTTTGATATATTCCAAAACACCGTTGGTAAGGTTGCTGTTGATGAAATCATTCCTTACTTGTTGAACATGCTACAGTCTCCCGATTCAGAACATGCTCTTGCTGCTTTACAGGAAATTATGACTACAAAATCAGAAGTTATCTTCCCAATTTTAATTCCAACTTTGTTAGCTTCTCCTATCGATGCCTTCAGAGCCCGTGCTCTTGGTTCAATGGCCGAGGTTGCTGGTAAAGCTCTTTACAAACGTTTAACAACTGTTATCAATACCCTTGTGGAAGAACTAGTTAGCGGAAATGCTGATGATGAAACTGTCAATGAATTGAATAACTCATTTGATAAGATTGTCCTTTCAATTGAGGATGATGAAGGTTTACACCCATTATTACAACAAATCTTGTCTTTGATTAAGGGAGATGATTCACGCAAGCGTGCTGTTATTTATGAACGTCTTGGACTATTTTTCACTGAAACCAAATTGGATTATTCAATTTACACCCAAGATTTGGCCACTCAAGCTATTTTATCACTTGATGACAAGGACGAAGCAGTTGTTAAAAGCGATATTATTGCATTAACTGCTTTGACCAAACAGCAATCAAAAGAATCATTGGAGAGATTGGTCAAACCAGCAAGACAGGCATTACAAATCACTGGTGTTGCAGGTCAGGACTTGTATGGGTTTACTTTACCAAAAGGTCCAAATGCTGTTTTGCCAATTTTCTTACATGGTCTAATGTATGGTAACAGTGATTTGAGAGAAGCCTCAGCTTTAGGTATCGCAGATGTTGTTTCTAAAACCCCTGCTGCTAGTTTGAAACCATTGGTTACTGTTATAACTGGTCCATTAATCAGAGTTATTGGTGAAAGATTTTCAAGTGACATCAAAGCTGCTATTTTATATGCCTTGAACATCATATTTGAAAAGATACCACAATTCTTACGTCCATTCATCCCTCAATTGCAAAGAACTTTTGTCAAATCATTGGCAGATGCCAACAATGAAACTTTACGTTTGAGAGCCGCAAAAGCGTTGGGTACCCTTATTGAGTACCAACCAAGGGTTGATCCATTGGTTAGTGAGTTGGTTATGGGGGCAAAGAGTGCTGAAAATGCCGGTGTTAAGACTGCTATGTTGAAAGCTTTGTTAGAAGTTATCGCTAAAGCGGGCGAAAAGATGAGTGAAGCCTCGAAGACCAGTATTTTGGATCTTGTTGAAGACGAAATTTTAGAAGCTGATGATAAACTAGCAGTTGCATATGCAAGATTGGTTGGTGCGTTATCTCGTATCTTGACTTCAGATGAAGGTCTACATATTTTGAAATCAAAAGTTTTGGAAACTCCGTTAGATGGAGGAGATTCTTCTAAATTTGGTATCTTGACCTTAAATGCATTTTTGAAAGATGCTCCAAATCATATTTTCAACAGTGGTTTAATTTCACAAATTGTTGCTGCTCTCATTGAAGCCACCAACTCTAACTCAACTTACATCAGTGATAATGCTGTGATTGCTATTGGTAAATTACTTCTATTGCAAGATGAAAAGGGAGCACCAGGTGTAAAAGCTGTTTCAGAAGAATCTTTTGATATCCCATTCTCACTGTTGGCTGAATTAGTGAAACAATTAGCTGTTACAACTTTAAAACCACAAAGCAACTCGCTAGACACTAGAAGATTGTCACTAACAGTAATTAGAACTGTCTCAAGACAAAAGAATTCAATGTTCAAACCACATTTGGACGTTATTGTTCCTTCTGTGTTTGCTTGTGTTAGAGATACCATCATTCCAATCAAATTGGCTGCTGAAAAAGCTTACTTGAGTTTGTTCAATTTGGTTGAAGATGCCAATATGGATGGGTTCACAAAATGGTTTGAAGAAGTCACTGGCAAAGGATCCACCATTGATACAGTCATTGGTACAAAGTTACAGGCAAGATCAATTGGTGATTACACCAAGAGAGTTGCAGTCAGATTAGCTGGTGTCGAAAGAGAGAGAATTGCAGCAGGAGGTGATGAAGAAACATTATTTTCTGATAGATTTGAAGATGAGAGAGAGATATGGGCCGTTGGGGGTGTTGATCTTTCAAATATTTGAATAGAATAAAAAAAGCTTGTGTGTTGTTAAATGAACAACTTTATTATGTCAAGGTGTAGTAGAAACCTAGGTATTGGTTTAAATAATTCTTGATATTTTTATATAATAATACATCTCTAATATATATAAACAATAATAAATCAATGAAACAAACCAAAACAAAACACATATATGGACATTTTATTGACATAATTGATTTAAACGATCACTCTAAATTATGACCATTTTTTAAGGTGAGGATTTGAGTCCACCAATACAAGCAGAATGGTTTTCTCAATGACTGGAACCATTAAAGTCAAAGATACACCATTTGTTTTTCCCTTGATTCATTAACAAAAATTCGACAAATGTTAAATCAGTACGTAAAAAACCAAGTTTTAAATCCTCTATAGTCCTCACCCTTCACTTAAAAATTGAAAAAAAAATAAATACAAATGCTGATTGACACTTTTTTTGGAATATCATTTTCCCTCTGTTTCATTGGCTCTTTTATCATCAGCTTCTAATGGAGGATGAGCAGAAGAACCATCGTTGGCAGAAGCTGGTTGTTGATAGGAATAGTAACCACCTGGTGCATAAGACTGTGAACTCATTGGTTGACTTACATCTGCTGTGGTTGGTGCTGTGCTAGTTGAATGTTGTGTATATGGCTGTGAATATTGAGTAGAGTATGGATAAGCAGCCCCAGGATAACCATATTGCATGTTGGAACCAACAACTTGTTGTGGTTGAGCACCACCAAAAGGTTGAGACATTGGTGGTTGGGATGATGTATTTGGTTGTGGTAATTGAGCACCTTTCGCCTTTTCAGCTTTTGGTGTAGAATTTTGCAACTTCTTCTCCCTTGTAGCATAAGCACTTGGTGTGTATGTAGTATTTGTAACTTGAACGGGTATTATATTCTTAGGGTTACTATTTGCAGCTGCTGTTAACCCACCAGAATATTGAGGTCCTTGGTATAATTCTTTAATATCTTTAACGAATAATGGATACAGTAAATCAACAATACCTTCATTTCTGGCCAGTTCCAAAGCTCTCTCAAACGGTATCCAAACACCTTTCAGATTCATAGCACCAATCTTAACAACATAACGAACCTTTTCAGATTTTAATATACCATCTCTTCTACCTCTAGTCATACCGGCAACATTTAGTAGTTTGGTACCATTTATGAAATTTGTATCTTCACGTCTAGAAACTGATATTCCTCTTGATTCCACTTGATAACAAACAGTATTCTCATCCTCCCAGAAAGTAGTTGTCAGCTTTGGACGTTGAGGAACTTGATTAGGATCAATTAATGGAGGTGCAGTGGCACTTTGTAAACCACCTCTTATGGTCGCCATGTTGATGTTGGAGCCTGATGATGTAGGGGCCTGTTGAGCCATTTGATTGCTTGGTTTATATGGCGAGTTGTTCTCGTTGGTGTTGAAACCAGGTTGTTGATTTGGATAATTGGTGGCTGGATAACCATAAGCCGCTGCAGTTGCTTGATAAGTTGGAGCTGGTGTTGTCCCTTGATTGTACGAGCCCATAAAGGAAGATTGATTGAATTGAGGGACACCGCCGGCGTAAGGTTGGCCCGCTTGGGGTTGACCAGCTTGATAATAATTGGGCTGTTGTGTTTGTTGTTGCTGTTGTTGTTGTTGTTGTTGATATTGTTGTACTGGTTGGCCATAACCTCCATATACTTGCTGTTGATCATATTGATTGAAAGTTGGCGCCATGTTGCCATAAGCTGTTCTATTCATAGCTGGTTGTGGGTGCTGGGCTTGCTGCTGTGGACTCTGTTGTTGTTGAGGACGAGTAGCAGCTTGTGGATACTGTGTGTAGCTGGCTTGGGTATAATTGCTGAGACCTGGGCCTGTTGATCCCATTAAACTAGCGTTGTTGTTGTTGTTCACTCCGTAAGTTTGAGTTGGCTTTGAGTTCTTACTATCGTACACGTATGGTGGCTGGGACATAACACTCTATCTTCTTCACTGGAAGGATCAAATTGAGTATTGTTGTTGATTTATGCTGTTTTTTTGCTGTATGGGAATGAATAGTATTGCGACCGGTATGTATATTTGGAAATCAATCTCACAGGTAAAGGAAAATCTCAACGTCGGTGTGCAACTTTGTTTAGGGGTGTAGAACTGATCAGTGGAACTGAGAACGACAAGATTGAATTAAAAATGACTTTTTCAAATGTCTTTGGATAGTCTTGTTTAGTTGAACAACAAGCTTGATCATGGTTTTTGAGATTTCAACCAATTTTTATGATGAATTTTTTTATGCCTTCAACTCGTTTTAAGTTAACTTCCCATATTTCTTTTTAGGAAACTTTTGTGCTTTTACGACTAGCGCAACTGGTGCATATTTTGAAATGTACGTTGAATTTGCGCAGCAATTCTGCATAATTTTATTGCAATTGTGTCAGGGGCGAAGCCTTTTTCACTGGAAATTGTCGTTTAGGGTTTTTTTGCGTGAAGTCTGCAAGTGGGGCTAGCACTTTAGCAAGGTGACCGGGATTCCAAACAGCGGAATCATTTCAAAAAAGAAACGAAGCAAAGTGTTCAAGCTCTTGTTGCCATGGAAATTTGATGTAAAATAAAAAGATTTTTCTACACCTGAAATATTTGACGAAAATTTTACGTTAAATTGTAATTTGTGAGGTATGATGTAAAAAGTTTAAGACGCCTTATAGATGATTCGTACTCATCACCTATTGAGCTTTGTGAGAAAGAAAAAGAGCTTAATATCTAGGAGCCTTTGTTCGTTTTGTACACCTGAAGCGTTGGAACTTGTCAGTTGTCACTGGCTTTTGAAATTTGGCCTACAGAGGCATACGTTAGTTCAGATTTTTTTAGTCAAACACAGAAGTGCGCAACGTAGGCAGGCACACTTTACATCATGCGACGTATCGCCGTTTTTTTTGCTTCGAAGGGATCAAGAATCAAGATTGATTTGGAAGTTGGAGCTTTCCAATATTTTTAAAGATATTCAAGCTCTGGTTGTACGTCGACTGTCGAGTTTAACAATAGCGGGTCTTCAGCTCTCGATCACGCTACTCTATCTCAGAAGTTGGCTGTCTTTTTACAAAGTTCCATTGATCATAAGCTAGACACTCTTGAAAACAGTGTGATCTCTCGTGAGTCGTCGTCAGTGGTCACCACGGTTAATTTCATCCAGCGTACCAACGCCAGTCGAAAGTTCCAGAATTCAGATTTTTACTCTGAATCAAAGTTTCCTGCTCCAGACTCCAGACTTCGAGTTAAACTATGAATGGCAGTTTACAAGATTTACGCTTCGAGTTTGTGTTTAAAAAGTTGGAAACACGCGCATGAATTGAAGTCAATCACTCTTTTTGTGCAGGGAATTGAAGATAAAATTTAAGCACAGAAAGCATTCTCCGTTGGCTCCAAAAGCTTCACTACATACGTACATACAGTCAGTCGAAGAGGTGTAGTGTACATGTAGATAGACTTAGGAACGACAGCAAATACAATAAACTTATAATCGCCTGTAATTTGGTACGCTCAGCTAAATAGTAACATTCGACAAAGATTATTCCATTTCCATAGGTGTCATGGAAAAATTCGAAAGATCAAAAAATTATAATATCGACAACTTCTCCTTTGATCATGAAACACAATTTTTCTGTGAATTTGAAACCCCTTCCCGATGGAAAATTTTTTGTTTGATCCGCAAAACTTATGTAGTACCACAGCTTTTTGAATCCATAAGACAAACAATTAAAGACAAAGCTGAAACTTGTGCTTGTATTTTGTCGTGCTACGTTTGTAGAATGATACGACTGGACTCGAGCGAAATGCTAATTAAAATTGTTCCAAGGTTGATCAAAGCTTATACATATTTACAGAATGCGAATTATCGCGAGTCGCTGACTTGAACGTCGGAAAAGGAGCTTACCAAAGTTCGTGTGCATCGTTGATGTAGATGAATACTAGCTAGACTCTAGAGCAGGTGAACCATGAAAGGTGCTCTCTTTGGATTCTACATGTGCACTGGAATCTGTGTTCGTTAGTTACGTAGGGACCTCATTCGAAATGATTAAAAATTAGGATTCAAGACTCCGCGGCCTCGACTCCTGACAGCTTTACGTGCGTTGAATCGTGAAGAGTTCTAACTTCTTACTAGTTGACGTCTTGTGCTTTATTTGAACGTGTAGTACAATTTATTTAACATTACAGTAGGTTATTCTAGATTTTATTATATACACTATAGCACAGCTGATCTGTTACACCTTGATCATATAAATTTTTTGATTCAGTTGCATGTTGTACAAATACTTCAAAGTCCAGACGATACAGCAGAACAAAATTAAATTGAAACTCCCGTCAGGATTCAGGACTCGTAGCTGCGCGTTAAGATCGATATATTAATTTAATTGTAATTGGTTGTGTTTGCGAAGAACGGCCTGAAACCTCTCTACCCTGAGCCTCTTCAGTACTAGCTACATCAGCAGCATCTGCATCAGACGTATTCCTTCTAGTAGACATATTGAGCTTTACTACAGATATTTAGTGTATCTCTGGTCCTTCAGACTATTGCAAGATTGATACTTCTCAACAGGCGACCTCAGTTCTCAGAACTGGCATAAGCCTGTATTCTTATACACTTCCTGAGCAGAAAATATCATCTTCACTTATTATCTCAATAATCTTCTCGTATGAGGACTTATCACCAACACTATACAAATAGTCTCATACTACCTGTCAAAGCAGTGTTTGTCCCAGCACTGAAGCCATAGCAGCTTTGCAAATATCGATGTATCAATTTAATTGAGAGCACTTTATCTGCCTTCTTACTAGCCTCGTACTGACCCACCCACCTGTCAACCACGAGCGCCTACGGTCTCTACTGGCACCAACTAAACTGCCAATTTACTAAAGCTCAGGTTTTAATGACCTTATATCACCCTAGCTGGTAGTAGATTCGAGAACCCATGAACTTGAGCCATGAATCATGAATCATGGCTCCGTTAGTTTGGTCCAAGCTCTGCCCTTTTGGTGTGCTCTCGATGCGAGTTCGCGTTTCTTTTTCTTGCTTAGGCTGAGCATGAGATGCCGCCTTCTGTACATAGTACTTGAAAGGATCGAAATTTAGACCTTTCCAAACCTTCTTCCAATCGCTTCTGGTGAATCCAACACTGGAACAGTAGGAGTAGAGCTTGATTCGATGAGCTGAAGCACTTCAGAGTTGTTGTAATAAATCTTCGCTGGCCGGTATAAGCAATAAAAGTTTCCCCAAATTGGAGAGGATACAAAGAAATCCAAATACATATATCCTCACGAATATTGGGTTGCTACCTAGATCTTAACTGAACTCATATGTACTACCTTGATCGATATACGTCATATCGTTGAATAATTAACTTCATCTCGAACCAGCTTCGACAATATTGATCACATTGCTAAATCGTACTGGTAATTGGCTAGATATTGACCAATTATTCAATCTGACTCTAGAAGTTGTAGTGCTTGTTTCAAGATCCGTGATTCATCGCAAACTAGGTCGAAAAGCTGTTCAAAACCATTAAAATTGTTTGATGTACTTGTTATCAGATATGAATGGTTGATGTGTAGCTATGATGAATCTATATATGCTCGAATCCGCAATAGAACTCTTGGTTGATTTGAGCTGTATTACTAGGTCAATGCAAAGTTCTTCGACTCGACTTTGAATATGTAACTCGTCGAATGCAAAACTCTATCTCAACTTTTGACACGATTGCTGGCGACTGGCGAGGTAGTTCGACTCGAAACAAAATTTCAGAGGTTGCACAAATGTTTATTGTGTTGATTACATTGTCGAAGAAAACAAATAATTGTAGAAATAAAGATGACCTCTGGTTTACTCACGTCGACGATTCAGCTGAAGGTTCACAGTTTTGTCCGAAGCCAGCTGCCCTATGTACTTCGACTTATTCAAGCTTACAATCCTGTCAAATGTCAAAAAGTGCACGGTACCTACATGATGCGAAAGGAATCTGTACACATAAATCAAAGATCCAAAGATTCATATCCCATTAAATATTGTAACTTTTTGTTAAAGATAATCATGTTATACAGATGTGTCCTCTATTCAATCATAAATTGATAAATGGTCCCGCCATTTCTTGAATAGCAACACTTAATGTTTTGATGTGTGTGATCTTTTTGGTAAAATTGAAGAAAACACACTTCTATGCTTACTTTGACCTGAAGAGCCACTATCTTTTGACCCTCTTGAAGAACGAAATGGGTTACTCGAATGTTCATGATGTTTTGGAGATGAGCTTCCCTCCAAATCCAGCCCAGATGCTGATGGTGACATTTTTCTACCTGTCAATCCAGATAAACTTAAGCTTGAAAAAGATCTAAAAGATTGGAACGCATTTCTTAACCCACCACCGCCACTTCTTGATCTTCCTGAGACAATAGAATCATCATCACCGTCTTCATTTATTCCTTCCAAAGACTTATCTCCTTGGCCTGTTAAATTACCTGAACTTTCATTTCTTCTCATACTTTGAGCTTGTTTTTGGGCCTTCAATTCTTCAGCTCTTTTGGCATCTTGTTTAGCTTTGATGGTATCAAGTTCTTTTTGTTTCGATGCATTCAATTCTTCCTCTCGTTGTCTTTTTCTTTCTTCATGTTCTTTAAGCAGCAATTCCTCTTTCAATCTAACTTCTTCATATTTCAATCCATAGTTATTTAACTCAGCTAACAACTCTTCTTTCTTACTAGCAAACACCCGAGACATCTCTAATGCATTAGCTGCACGTAATAACAATTTCATATCGCAAGCCAAAGCACTGACTTCATAAATGACTTGAATCAATTGATCAGTAGGGGCTGCAGAATCCTGTGATGCCAAATTTTCTAAAGTAGGTAAAGCTGAATCTGATGGAACTGCATCAAAGTCATTTTTCTCTTTGTTTTTCTTATCTTTAGTTGCCAATTGAGCTCCATTCAATAAACCGAGACCAACACCAACATCATCACTATCACTAGTTGAATGTTTTTGATCATTTTGATCAGAGCTAGAATCATTGCTTTTAACTTTGGATATTTGTTCTTTTGGTAAGTGGAAACGACCTTCTGGAACTTGAATACTAGCTTCATTTTCTGATGTAGATTTGGAAGTATGAGATTGATATTTCGTTAAGGGGTCAACATCTTCATATTCATCGTTGTAACTTTTTGCTTCATCTTCAATCAAATCATCCTTCTGATTGTGTGCTTTATTATCAAAACTGTCCTTGGAAGCACTTCTTTGTGAGTTTGAACGATTTCTTGCATGGACATCTAATGGAGTGATTGGATCAATATCATCATAATCTGAATTAGATGAAACTTTCTTTGCACTCTTGCTTGACATTGAATCCTCGTTGAACTTGATTCTTTCACTTCTGCGGCTGGAAATTTTACCAAGAGCAGGTGGTTGATCGTCATCATTAGGATCATCCTCATCTTCATTATCAATGTCATCATCATCATCATTCTCTTCCACGTTGACTTCCCTGGATAAACTTGATTTCCCAAATCTTGATCTGGTTGAAGAAGCTCTTTTACTTGAGGCTGAACTCTTGAGTAATGACATGTCGTCTGAAAAGTTGGAAGCTTTACTGGCCTTTCTCAATAGAGTAACGTTTAGATACCCATCATCAACTGTATTCAGATAGCCTTCAATTTCAACAAAAGCTTTTCTCACATGTGGAAATTCTTCAAAAAAACCATTAATTCTAAACTCATCATCTTTAAATAACCTTCTCAAATTATCTTGATAATCATCAACAAAAACAGTATAATCTTTAATCAATGACTCCTCTTTTTTACCAATCATTGCATAGAGGGCTTCAGATATCAAATCATACAACAATGGAATTTCATAAAACTTGGCCAATAAGAAAGAATCTAATGTAGTTGGCTGGAATAGCCATTTATCACCCAATTGACCTGTAAATAAAAATTCAGCTAATGCCTGAACTGTACTAGTAGCAAATGGCAAATATAAAGATCTTGGAGTTAAAAGTGGTTCCAGTAACACTTTAGTTTCATCTTCGGCATCTTGGTTGTTTATTGAATCTATAGTGGATTGATTATCATTAAATGAACTGTTATCATCTGTTTTGTTTGTTTGGAAACTTGATGATCTTGAAGTGTTATCTCTCTTCTTGAAATTTTGTAATGGAGTTCTCAAATCATCCTTAGTCCTGTTTGGACCTGGAGAGGTGGATGGGCCAACTGAAGTTGATGGCGTCATAGAAGGGCCAGAAACCGAGCCTCTTGGAGAGTTGGAAAATGAACTGAATCCCATCCCATTCTTGAAAATTTGGCCACTTGAACTTCCAGTTGGTGTAACAGATGATCTTGGTGATTTTTCCAATGAAGGTAGTGGCTCACTTGGTGGTGGTGTTGGTGGTGGTAAGTTTGAGAAATTTAAATTTGGTGACAAACTATTCGACTCACCTGTTGTGGAATTAGTTCTGCCTGAAACGTTGCTAGTATTTGAAACAACTGATGCCTTTCTTGAGTTTGGCGCTAAACTTTGCTGAGCTGAAGGTGGTGGTGTTGATCTTGCATCTTGGAAAGGCAATCTGAATTTTGGAACATCTCTCTCATCTCTAGAACCACCGCTTTTATTAAACACCATCATGGATTTCTTAGCATTAACAGATGAAGAAGTGATCGAGTTTGTCTCACTGGCTTCAGTGTTGTTTTCTTGTTGCTGGTTCTCTAACTTATAAACAGCCCTAGCATAAGCTTTTGATAACAGCATATCAAAACATCTACCCCATCTTTTTCTCAAAAGCATAATTGGGACATTAACTTTTTCACCATCTGCACTAATAAACTCAAAATCAGCTAAAGAAGATCCATATCTCTCAAATGCATTTCTTCCCAATGCAACTGCAAAATTTGGGAACACGGATCTAATTGATGAGATCTTGGTATTTGGAGCCACGTACTTAGAATAAGCTTCAAATGATGTATTTTCTTTCATTGTTGAAGATTTTGGTTTCACTCTTCCAGTGCTCATCTGGGGAACTGTTGATGCATGATAAATATTTGTGATTGGTAAACCAACAGTGATAACTAAATCAAATAGCTGAATAGTAGGATAGATCATGTCTCTAGGAATGTTAGAAGATCCAAGAAGCAATACTTTATGATGTGATGGCCATGAAAAACTTTTCCAAAGATAAATTTCACAAGCTTTTTTCTTGGAGTCAATGCTCAATCTTGTCCATTTTTGAGACGGTCTATTGAAAGAGAACATTTGATATTCGTTCTTTATAGCACTATTACCACCAACCAATATATTAGAGCCAAAAACACCACCTGTTGGATATTTCAAATCTCGAGGAATTGCACTGGAATTGTATTTCAAAGTTTGTGATAACGGAAGTCTTGAACCTGTACTGCTTGGTGAAACAGGTAGAGAAACTAAAGGATTGTTGTACTCCGTTGACTGTTTGGTGGAATAAATAAGCAGCATGTCATCATTATTGTTGGTTCCTTCAGGGTTTGAATCTCCAGAAATAATAAAACCTTTATCTGAAGTGACCGTAAGTTTGGATTTCTCAGATTCTTGGGCCTTCAGTTTTGGATCACTATTATGTCTTGCCGGTATTAGCTCATTAAGATTCAAATTCATCTGGGAGTTATTAACATAAGCATTTTGTTCTAGGTCAAAGACCGTTATATGATTCAATTCTTGATTTAGATCACTTCTACCACCAACAATAACCAAAGCAGGATGAATGTTACCATACTCTGGTGAAACGTAGTTTGTAGTCAATAAGCTCAGATCATACCTGTTGACAGCACCAGATCTTGAACCATCATCAATACAAGTCCACTCCTTATTGTCAATGTTAAATTCCCAAAGGTCGTTGGTAGGAACCAATTGGTGCTCCTCCTCGTCAACAACTAAACCACCAAACATATACATTGAGCTTCCATATGTAGTGATTGAATGAAACAGCCTTGGTTTTGGTTTTTCTTTGTCCGATTCGAGCTCAAGTCTTGCCCATTTTCTTGTGATTATATTTAGATAAAATATTTCATTGGATATCAACTTATTCCAATCTTTTTCTTCGAGTTCTTCAAGCTTCAGTTCTATCTCTGGTATAGTAATGTTTGACAGCTGGAAACCATGGATTAATCCACCATGAACAATCACAGTTGACTTTGTATAGGTTGAGGCTGCACCTGTTCTTATTGTTAAGTTTAAACGATCATCATCAGACTGCTCAGGCAATGTGACCGTGTATGCAGTACTTTCAGATGGGAGTAGTGGAGCCATTGCTGTGTCAATGAATATACCTCCTCCGCCTCTCTTTTAAACTAATTTAATCGTTCTGAAGTTTTGGTACCCTAAACCTGAAAATTGCAACCTTCTTTGTTTTTGAAGAGCTTTTTTCCCTAGAGAATGCTGCCACGAAAAACCAAAGAGCACCCGAACACCTTTGGAATTCGCGAATCGCCATCTCGCTTATGTCAGAATTGAGTTTTTCCAGGAATCTCGGACTTAACAGGTGTCGGAGATAAAACAAGGCCGACGGAGAGCACAAGTGTCAAGTGTCGACTAGTTTACTTATCATAGTTTCTTGTTATACTTAGTGCTTTGTATATTTAATAACTTGCATCATTGTATCTTATGACTGTATTTACTGGAAATGAGAAAATTTCAAATGAGAGCTGTCTCTTTGGACTGATGCTTTGATACAATTGATACAAGCTCGTATCATGGCAGCTACATTTATAAAAGCTAGTGTCGATAGAACTTTTGATGAAGCTGATACATACTAAATATTAAGAGCTCATGAAGTTATAGTCAAATCCAAGTATATTAATCAAAAAAAAAAGGTTTTGAGAGGATAAGGAGCTTTCGAAGGGGTTTGAAGGTCACCTTGTGAAGATGTTTCTCATCATGTTGGACTGAAATATATATTAGATATTATAACATATAATCCGGTTGTCGAAAGCACGGAAAATATAGTACAGATGATTTAATATAATGAGGCTGCCAGATACGTAAAGCTCAAACGTTACCCAATACACTACTATGAAGATGTCAGTCAGTTAGCCACCCCATTTGTTGATTGAACAATTCTTTTTTCAATTCTATTTGTAACCATTTTTTACGTCTTTTATTTCCAAATTCATAACGCATTCATGCTCAGCTCCTTTAAGCTAGTGATTCAGTCAATCTAAAATCGACTTGTAAAAAACCACAATTAGGATTTCATTATTAGGAATATCTAAGTTAACTATGAGAAAATGAAAAAAAACCGGCGCCGACCACTTGAAATTCTCATTTTCAAGCAGCATTAATCAACACACTTTGCTAAATAACATATATAATAAAATTCATAAGTTGTCATAAAACTGAATTCTCTATGAGATGAATGTATTTTTGGGATGTTTTGTTTTTTTTTAATGTATCTGATGTGTATTTATAAAATGCTAAAATAATGTACAAAATCACTGGGGACTCAGTCTATGACTGATTTATAATAAAAGAGATAAATCAGAATAAAAACAAGTAAGAATGAACTAAAAAAGCTGGCCATTGTTATAATTGGAGCAATTGTAAAATTTGTGGAAATCACCAAGATATTCCTAATACTTTTCTTGATGAAGTCCTAATGGTTTGTTAATTAGTTGATTCTAAGGTGACTGAACCACTAGCTTAAAGGAGCTGAGCATGAATGCCGGATGAACCTGGAAATGGAAGTAAAATATGGCATAGGAATTGAAAAAAGAATTGTTGATCAATCAACATATGGGTTGGCTAACTAACTGACATCATCATAGTAGTGGATTGGGGAACGTTTGAGCTTCAGGTATCTGGCTGCCTCTTGCTCTATCTTGGCCAGGTCTGTGGTGGGTGGGCTAAGAGTGCGACGTCTCTTAGTTCTTAAGTACCAAATAAGCCCAATATAATTAGATAATTGGAGCATTTTGGTTTTGTCCCCGTCCCAAGGAGCCACCAGCTCCTCAATTGTATTTTGATGTGTGAAAGTTGTTGCTAAATGCCATAATGCTTTGGATATGATGCAGTCTTGAAATAGGTGGACCACTGTTTCTGGTTGGTCTTCTTGTTGACAGAGCGAGCAGAACGGTAATCGTAGTCTGGGTGCTTCATCTGGAATAGTTGATGAATTGAAGTGATATTTATGATCAAACAGGCCTAAATTGAACAATTGTAGTGGTTCTAAGCTTCCCGGGGCAGTTATTTGGTGCTTGTAATGCTTGTACCAAAATGTTTCCCACTGTTCCCTACCAGCTTCATTGTCTTGTAACCTTGGGGTTAATTTTTTTTTTTTTTTTTTTTTAAATGGCTGTAATTTATTCAATAAATTGTACTTATAATAAACGACAAATTCAATCTAGTTAATTTTCAATAATTCAACATCAAAGATTAAAGTAGCATTTGGAGGAATTAAACCTGGGAACCCACGGTCACCGTAAGCTTTTGAACCTGGAATGGTTAGGATAGCTTTTTCACTGAGAAAATATAATTTTTTCTAGCAAACAGAGTTATACCCTTATTTGTATTATAGATTAGAGATATATACGTCGTTAAAATTCTTAAAATTTTAAAAACAAAAATACAAATGTCAAAAAAAACACGAATTGTACATCATTATAATCTATAAAGGCTGAAGAATCTATACGTGTATTTTATTTATATTCGTGTCATATAGTATTGTTTAGTTATTTATGTTTGAAAAGTTAGTCATGTGATCAGCGACGACGACGTCGTGGACGTCGTCGACTAGTAAGAATGAACTAAAGAGGGCCCTATTTGAAAAAAGTTTATAATATATAATAATTCTGCTATTGATGTAATATTGATGTACTCATTTTGCCATAAACTGACGTCGTCAAATATATATTAATTAAGTCGACGGCGCTTAAATCCGATAGTATACACACTAGCGCTTATTAAATTACTTGATTTCTCTCACATTAATTACTTGGACCCCAGTTTCAATACAACTGTAGTCAAGCCGCTTTTTAAACGTTTCTCTATGTCCAACCAGATTGAATCTGATCAAAAGAATGTACGAATCAGTAAGGCTTATTCGAGCTGGAATTGATCTCGTTATATATTAAGTGCAGTACAGCCAACTAATGATTTGGACATACTGGATATTCTTTCCAAAAATCAAAGCAGCTTCTCAAATTTATATCTGACTCATGGTGCTTGAGTTACCGACACGCTGCTAGTTACTTTCAATTGGTTGAGTGATGATTGTACCGCGTTCACAGCTTTCAAGTTCAAGATCATGAGAACCGTCGAATAAAGTGTAGCACTCAAAAGCTCCCGCAACCTATATATCTGACGAGTGTAAGGCCTAAGCATAAGCGAAACGATCAAGCCTTTATTGTGTAATTGTAAATCATTGTAAAACGCTGGAACGTTGCACGTTCTCTCGGTAAAAGAACGTGGTTAATAGCTGATCACACAGATATCAATAATTATATCCATTGCCCTAACCCGACAAAATCCACCTGGAACCTCACATTCAACTACCAAAACAATATACCTAGTTCCTGGCCCCTGGCCCCTGAGACATGGTTCATTGTTCATCGGCGAGTCATGTATTTTCGTGAGCCCTTGACCTGGCGTTTACGCTGTAGTAAATATTGTTTAATTGTGTAAAGATCTCAGTCCTCGGAGGTTTGATTTTTAAAAAAATAAACACAAAAGTAAACACTGCGACTGATTATCCAAAACCTACGCGAGTTTGCAAAAGATTGTGTACACAATGGTCCGATAGTAATTGATTTTCATAATGAAGCACAAGATTCTGGTGATCCGTGGTGCACTTTTCAAGCTGTGGTCGTTATTTTCAAGAAGAGTCGGAAGGGTTTCAAGCTCAACTATGTTCACATGGATGCTAATATAATACTTACTAGAGATGTCTGAAGCTGATAGATCTGGCTTCAGCTAATATGAGCAAAAAATCGAGTCTCTGGAGTTACTAATTTGTGAGATGCTTGCCGCCATAGTTTAACTCTTCCCTTGAGTCCAATAATTGTGCAACGTGTAAATCAGACACATGAGAGATGTTATTAAAATAGCGACGTTTTGCACCCACGTTACCAAATATTGTTATCAGTCAAATATGCGATCATTGAAAACACGGTTTGTGAATATATACCACAAATAATCACAAAGATGAACTTGAAGACTTAGTGTTGAACAATTCCCCAGAAAGTACGAGATGTTATTCAAGTTGATTGTGATTTCAATCTACTCTTTAGTGGTTAGAGCTGCAATCATTGACCATTCCATACTTGAAAAAAGGCATAATAAGGCTGGAAGAGGTTTATCAAAAGAAGTTGATGTATTTTTTGGAACTGAAAATGGTGGTAATGTGTTTCCTGGTGCAACTAGACCTTATGGTATGGTAAAAATGGGAGTCGATATCATTGGCTCAGCTAGTGGTAATGCTTATTCAGGTTACGCCAACGACGGATTCATCACTGGTATTTCAATGATGCACGAAAGTGGTACTGGTGGTGCTCCGCAATATGGTGTTGTTGGTCAATTACCTCTAGTTGGTGATATTGATGTCGGAATCGATAACGCTCAACAGAGATTTGCTAACATCTCTGATGAAGCTCATGTTGGGTTATACAAGACCCACTTGGCTAATGGTGTCAATGTTACTTTTGCTGCAGCTGATAGATCAGGTGTTTATGAGTATGACTTTCCAACTGGATCAACCCCAAATATTGTCATTAATGCTACTCATCATCTAACCGCCCCTGCTAGACCTTGGTGGACTCAATACTTTGTTAACGGCTCTGTTGAAGCTTCACAGGATTTGAAAAGCTATTCTGGTCATAGTGCCATCAGAGGTGGCTGGGGTGAACAGGGTCCATGGACTATTTATTTTTATGGTGAATTCGAGACCGCTGCAGATAGGGTCATTTCATTCTTGAATACAACATCCACAGAAGGCCCACTTGATGTTTCTTCAGCTAACCAAGACGAAGCTGCTGGATTGATTTTTAGATTTACTTCTGGTGCTAGTGTTAAAAGCAGAGTTGGTATTTCATTTATTTCTGTTGAACAAGCTGAACAAAATTTAAGAAATGATTTTGAAGGCCATAATTCATATGACGCTGCACATGTTGCCCGTGAAACTCAAGACCTATGGAATGATGAAGTATTCAATAAAGTTCAAGTCTCTAATGAAAATAGCACACTGGTTGAATTGATCTATACTGCTTTATATGGAACCCATCTTTTACCCTCTAATCGTACTGGTGAGAATCCAAAATGGGACACCGGTGAACCTTATTATGATGATTGGTTCACAATTTGGGATACTTTTAGAAGTACTTTACCATTGTTTAATATTTTACAAGTTGAAAGGGCAAGTGAATTGGTTAGAAGTTTGATTGATATCTATAGACATGATGGTTATATGCCAGATGGCAGATCTGCAAATCAAAATGGTCGTACTCAAGGTGGTAGTAACTCTGATATTGTCCTTGGTGATGCTTTTGTCAAAAATATTACTGGAATCAATTGGGAAGATGGATATGCGGCAATGGTTAAAAATGCTGAAGTCACACCTCCATATTTTTATGATAGTTTCTCTTCAGATGCAAGCACCAAAGAAGGTCGAGGCGGTCTATCAGATTGGAAATCATTGGGCTACATTTCTAGAAACTTCAACCGTTCAGTCACCAGGACTGTTGAATATTCATATGATGATTTTGCGTTATCGGTTGTTGCAGAAGGTCTAGGTCATCTTGACGACCATAATAAATATCTAAAAAGATCAACTGGATGGCAACATCTTTGGAATTCCAACGCTACTGTCGCTAATAAGGATTATCAAGGTTTCATCCAACCTAAAAATGGCGATGGAAACTGGGCTACTAGTAACTATAATCCAGTATCGTGTGGTGGTTGTTATTGGAGTGATGATGAGTATGAAGGTTCACCTGTTGAATACGGCTGGGCTGTTCCACATGATGTGTCAACGTTGATTAAGTTCATTGGAGATAATGAAACCGTCATAAAGCGTCTTGATGACATGTTTAAATTATATGGTGAAGGTTATGCTGACATTGGAAATGAACCAAGTTTTTTGACACCATATCTTTACAATTTTGTCAATGCTCAACATAGAACAACTGAAACATTGAGATATATTGTTAACAATAAATTTTCAATTGGGCCAAAAGCTTTACCAGGAAATTCAGATGCTGGTGCTATGCAGAGTTGGTTGTTCTTTGCCTTGATCGGGATTTATCCTATTTCCTCAACCACAACATATCTATTGAGTGCACCATTCTTTGAAAAGATCACAATGACAGTTGGAAATGGTAAACAATTGGAAATTTTCACGGAAAATTTATCTCAAGAGAACTATCATGTTCAAAGTGTGGAAGTAAATGGTGAAGCTTGGAACAAAAATTGGGTCACACATGATGATATTATCACTAATGGTGGATCAATAAAATTTGTCCTAGGAAGTGAGCCAGTTCAATGGGAGACTGGTCCAGAGCCACCAAGTCCTGGCCATTATGATTTGGGATTGATTTGAATCAGTGCTGCAGGTTTGTCACAATCTTTATATTCAAGTGTGGATCTCTTTATTCTTCGCAATAACATTTAGATTTCCTTTGTAGAAAAGTTTGGTTTGTAATGTTAGAAATAGACACAATTGTCTGTCACTTGACTCTCTATAGTCTGTAGAGCATTAAGTTATCAAGCTTTTCTGGAACGGCTTGAGTTGATACATGGAACGTTTGTTCCTAATTCGGATAATTAATAACCTCTGCCATTTTCATCTGGTCACTCGACTTCCGCATTGGGAAAGCAATGTTTACAAAAACGTCATGTTTGAAGCGTTAAGAGCCACACAAATCTGCGGTGTTTGGGTTTTACTGTCTCCAAGGCAATTTCATTTTTGGTGGTAAAAAAAAGTCATATATAGAAGGATGCTGCTTGAACATGAAACACTAATATACTTTAATAACGGCCAAACAAAATACATCAAGACTGTTTAAACGTTTAAAACAAACTGGAAATTACAATTGTCAAGATGTCTTCCATCTCAGATGAGAATCAGACGGTTACCAAGCCGGTGTCTGCATTTAGACAGTCGGTGGGATCCATGACAAAAAAGAGTAAATGGGTTTCTCCCTTTAGACAGCAAGCTAATGCTGAAGCCAATGTTTCAACAACTGAAAAACATGAGAAGTCAGATTCACTTGATACTTCAGCACCAGCTTCTAAGAAGCAAAAAGTTGATGCTGAAAAGAAAGTTGTTGATAGAACTATAAATCCAAAGGATTTGGAGAAAAGATTAGGTGAATTATCTACAACTGCTGAAGCTTCTGCTAACAAAAAAATCAAACCTGAGGATAGAATTGTTGATCTAGGTGGTGGATTGAAGATGAGTCAAGCTGCTATCGATAAGATTGCCAGAGAAAGACTAGGCAAAGATCTTCAACAAATTGATGAAAGAGCTTCAAGTCAACAAAAGTTAAGAGAGTTGAAGCACCAGAAAAAATTGGAACTTCAAGCTTTGAAAGATCAAAACAAAGTGAATTCTAAGTTTGCCAAATTCAAAAAGAAGTTGGATCTTGAAAAGAAGAGCATCACATCTGAACATGATAGAAAAGTGAAAGAAATTGAGTCTTCAATTGCATCATTGGATAAACAAATCAAAGACTTCGATAAAAAGACCAATAAAGAGATCAAACAGTCAATTGAAGATGCTGAGACTCAAACCAAGACAGCTGATGAAAAGTTAGTGGATGATAAGCAGAAAACTACAAAAGAAGCTGCTGATTTGGAAAAGGAACATTTACAAACTATTCATGATCATCAAATTAGCCAAAAAAGAAGTGAAATCACCACAAGAGTCTTGCACGCTAAGCAAAGTGAATATGAGCTAGAACTAGAACTTTTGGAACTGAAACTTGCTCAAAGTAACAGAGAATTAGCTAAGCAACAAGAGCACAATACATCTCATTCTGGTATTAAGGAAGATCTTGAAGCTCAAATTGCAACCACTAAACAAGCTATTTCCGAGAATAATGCAAAGATTGAGCAATCAGAGAATCTCCAATTAGAATCAGCTAAAAGCTTGAAGTCGGCCGAAGGTGAATTGGAATCATCAAGGAAAGCTGTCGAATCCTTAAAGGTCCAACTGGCTGAGTTGAAAGCTGGAAAAGATGACAGAGAAGCTAGATTACAAGAGGCAATCAGTAAAAGAAAGGTTTATGATGAAGAGCAAGAACAATTGCGTAAAGAAGCCGAAGAAAAAGCTAGAATTGCTGAAGAAGAAAGACTTCGTAAGGAAGAAGAAGAAAAGCAACGTAAAGCCGAAGAAGAAGAAAGGCTACGCATTGAGGAAGAAGAAAGAAAACGTCAGGAAGAGGAACAGAAACGTTTGGATGAAGAGGAAAGACAACGCAAGTTGGAAGAAGAGGAAAGAATTCGTAAAGAGAAGGAGGAACAACTACGCAAAGAGAAGGAAGAAAAGAAGAAGAAACATGATCTTGCGGCTGTCTCATTTGGATCTGACTTGGATGCTAGAAAATCTGCTTTGGACAAAAAAATTTCTGAGAAGAAAGCTTCTGATGCTAGCGTTGATGAAATAACTTTGCTTGAATTAGAAAGAAAGCATTTGGATGGTTGGACTTATGAAAACCAAGATTCTAAGGCCAGAGAATTAGGATCATCTCTTGCAGTGACAAAAAAAGACCAACAAGCCAAAGCTAAGATTGCAGAAAAGAAAGCAAAGAAGAAGGCTGCTGCAGCTGAGAAGGAGGAAAAGAAAAGAGCTGCTGCTGCTGCTAAAGAAGAGAAGAAGAAGAAAGCTGCTGCCGAGAAGGAAGAAAGAAAGAATAAGAAATCATCCACTATTGGTGCTGTTGCTGTTCCGGCCGCTGTTATCACAGGAACCGGAGCTGCTGTTGGAGCTGGAGCTGGTGCCGTTGGCTCTGGTGCTTCGAAAGGTGTTTCTGGTGCTTCCAATGCTGTTTCAACTATTGGTACCAAACCTTCAAATGGTTTACAATCCAAAAGCGTTGAACCTGCCTCTTCAACTTCAAAAGCAGTCTCAAAAGATGATACTGCTGTCCCAACCGCTACTTCCAATAAGCCAGCATCAAAATCAACTGCTCCAGTCGCTAGAGAACGTTCTTCTTCACCAAAAGATAGCGATAGAAAATCTAGAAGAAGTTCATTATTTGGTTTTTTCAAAAAGAAGAGCAGAGATGAATCCGAATCTCCAGAGCGCGAAGACAAGAAGAAAGGTCATGGTGGTGCTTTAGGTGCTGCTACTGCTACAACTGCTGGTGCTGGAATCGTCGGTGCTGGTGTTGCTTCAGAGAGTGCTACAAAACTTGCTTCTAATGCTCCAGGTGGTCCAGTTGCCACTGTACCAGAGACTTCCTCTAAGAATGTTGAAACTTCAGATGTTCCTCCTGCTGCTGAGTTGAGAGATGTTGAACCACAAGGTGTCGTTGGATCAACAGATGCTATCAAGGATGAGGTCCCAAAGCAAACTGCGGATGAGCAGATTTCTGCACAACCTCCAACTGCTGATAAAGATGTCCAAGTTGAACCAGTTGCTATTGCTAGCACTACTGATGCCGAACCAGTTGCTGCTGAAAAGACTACTGAATTAGCCGATGATTATCAAACCCCAGTCCCAGCTACTCAACCTGTTTCAACTGCTAATGACTCAATACCAAAAGAGGGTATTTCTGCTGGTTTGAAAGATGACAAACAAGAAAAAGGTAGTCATGCTTTTGCTGGTCCTGAGATTGAGAATGTTACTGGCTCAGAATTTCAAACTTCTGTTATCCAAGATGGCGAAGATCCAATTTTGGCTATCAAAGCTGCAGATCCTAATATCAGTTTGGAAGAGATTACTTTGGAACAAGCTAAACATGAAGATAATGTTTTAGCTGTTGTTGCGGGCCATGATTCCACATTGCAAGAAATTGAGAAATCTGAATTATATCATGCTCAAACTTCTGCTCCTCAATCAAAAGCTTCTGATATTGTTTTTGACAGATCCAAGGCTCCAGATACTGCTCCAACTACTGCTGGCGACGACTACGCTAGAGTTCCAGAATCTCAAGGTGGTGCTGCTGCCCATGCTGGTAAATATGGAGAAGTACCAGCTGATGTTGCTGCTGGTATCACCGCTGCCACAGGTGCTGCTGGTGCTGGGTATGCTTTGGGTCATGATGTTTCCAAAGAAAAAGCTCCAATTCAAGAAAAAATTCCTCAAAAGTACCAAGATGATGCGAAATCAACAAGAGGTTTGGTTAAATCAACTGAAGAAGACACTCGTTCATCAAGTAAAGTTCCTACCGAAGTTGCGGCTGGTATTGCTGCAGCAACTGGTGCTGCTGGTGCCGGTTATGCGTTAGGCTTGTCTAAAGCACAAGAACTTGAACAACCTTCAACCCCATTGAATTCTGAAGTTGAACCTGAGAAGGGTTCCGTTATTGAACCAGCTCCAACCAAAAAAGATACCGTTGGTGAATCTGCTAATGAAACTGCTCCATTGAGTGCTGCTATTGCTGTCCCAGAGAATACTTCAACTGGTATTGATGCGTTAGATAAAGGTGCTGAAACTGCAAAGACTCCATTGAATGAAAGTTCATATGTTGAGCCAGCTCCTATTTCTACTCCAAAGGAACAAAAATCAGCTACTGATTATTCCACACCAGTCGCTGGTAGTGGTGTTATTGGCTCTATTGAAAAATCAAAAGATGAAGCTCCATTGAACAAAGGTAAATATGTCGAGCCTGAACCAGTTTCCATTCCAGCTAATCAAAAATTCAAAGTCGTTGGTGGTGATCATATCGCTCCTAAATCAAATGATATAGTCGAGCAACCATCAACTCAAAAGGACTCGATTGGTGCTGCTGTTGGTACAACCACTGCCGGTGTTTTAGGTGGTGCTGCTATTTCCAGTAAAGATACTGCTGATAAAGATATTCCAAAATCTGTTGAACCATTAGTTGACTCGTCAAGTGCACCAAAAGTTGTCAGAGCCTCAGAACCACATACTTTACCAGCTGTTTCTCATGAACAACCAGCTGCTGGTCACAATGAACAATTTCAAACTTTAGATCCAGGTGCCCCAGCTGAAGTTCAAGACTTGAGTACTGATGATTACACAACTTCACGTGAGGCTACTCCAGAACCAGGTGCTATTTTAGCTACAGTTGCTTCACCAACAAGTAAAGGTAAGAATGCAAAGAAGAACAAGAAGAAGAGAGAAGCTGCTAAGAAGAAGAAAGCTGCTGCTGCTGGTAATGGTGCTCGTGAATTGGAAAGCTCCCCAGAACCTGAAAGTGCTCCTATTGATACAACAACTGCCGGTAAAGATGAATCAACTTTGGACACAATTGGTGGTACAGTTGCCGGTGCTTTGGCTGGTACTGCTGCCGCTGTTGGCTTAACTTCTGGTAGCGAAAAGGATGAATTGAAAGATTCTGGTGTTGTTCCAGGTACATATGAAGAACCAAAACCTGTTGAAATCCCATCAGACCAAAAATTCAAAGCTACATCAAGTGTCTCAAAAGAAGCTTCAGATGTTGATACTAAACCTTCCAGTTATGAAGAGCCAAAACCTGTTGAAATTCCATCAGAACAAAAATTCTCAGTTGCTCCAAATGTTTCTAAGACAAGTCATGGAGAAAAAGAGCCAGTTTCATCAACTTCAGAAGCTGGTTCATCAGAAGGCCCAGGTATCCTTGAAACTGCTGCGATCGCTGCCACAGGTGCTGCTTTAACAGGTGCTGCTGTTTTTGAAAGTACCAAAGACAAAGTTGTTAATGCAGTTAGTGGTGAAGCTGATAAAGATAAAACCACGGATGTCACTTTGAAAGATTCGAACGCAGCTGAAAACTTAAAACAAAATAAAGACGGTTTAGCTGAAGAGGTCGATGCTGGTTATTATAGCTTGGATCCAAAGAGAGCTTCAAATAGATTTTCACAAACTGATTCTGCTACTGAGCCAACTTCATCTACCACTGCCAAACCTGATGTTGATACCTCTAAAAATGACAAGTCTAGTTTGTTAGGTACAGGTACTGCTGCTGGTGTTACAGGTGCTGCTGCTGTTGGAGGTGCTACTGCCGCTACTGCTAATGGTACAACCCCAACTCAAAAGGATTTATCAAGCGAGTCAAAAGCTAAATCAACCACAACAACACCAAAGAAACCTGTCGCTAACGCTAAACAACAACCAAAAGAGGAGCCAAAGAAGAAGTTTGGGATCAAGAGATTCTGGAAGTCTGATAAAAAAGATTTGAAAGATGAAGTTAAACCTGTTGCTGCTACTGCTACTCCAGTGAAAAAGAGTACTAAACCAACCACTTCTTCTACTGAGAAACCAACTGCTTCAACTAATAAATCTGCTACTACTGCTACTGCCGCTTCGGTCCCTAATAAAGATACCAAATCCTCAACTTCTAGCAAGCCTGTTGAAAAGGCTAAAGATGCTGAATTGAAAGAAGCTGACGTTTCAGAAATCAAACCATCATTAGCTGCTACAGGCGCTGTCACTACAGGTGTTGTTGGTGGTACTGCTGCTGGTGCATCCGATCCTAAATCAACAGAAGCTGCTGCTGCAACCAAGAAAGAATTTCGGGTTAAAAATGACAATGATTCTTTATACTCTTATCGTGAAGTTTACGTCTATGAAGATGTTACAGATGACGAAGATGAAGGATTAATCACCAAGGCAGTCAATACTGCTACTAAATTATCAAGCACCATCATCTGATTTGAACTCACCATATTATACCATTCATTGTTTTGTGACTTTTTTTTAACGAGCTACCATGTTGCCCTTGATTTCATTTTTGTTTTAATCATTCTCTTGTTAACCTACGCTTTTAATTACTATTAATATAATTTTGTCATATTCTTTCAATCATCTTTTTTTATATTTGTTTTATTATATACCTTTATGTTTTACTGTGGGTGCTTTTGTAGATTTCATTAATCAAATATTCATGTAATCACACATAACCAGCCCAATGTTGCATAAACTAAACCAACAGGATAAATTGCTAAGAAGACCCTCCCAGGTAAAACACCACTGACCTTAAGATTGATTGTTGCAGCATATATAGCCCAAGCAACGAATAAAACATAAATTATAAATCTAATGAAACTCCATTTGATAAATATTGAAATAGTGGCAGATAAAACCAATGGGAACAAAGCGTAACCTTGAGTGGACAAAGCACTGAAAAAGGAGATTGTACCCCCTAATAGTTGAATATTTATAGCAACAACTGCAAAAGTCAACCAGACTAAAGCAAACACACTTGAGAAAACTTCAGAACTATTTGTTTTTGGTGACAAATAACCTAATATCAAAGAGAAAATCAAAATGAAAATCAAAGGACCCCATAGATCCCAGTCTAATTTTTTCAGGTTAGAGTCATCAATAGGCTGATTTTGTAGGTCTTGTTCAATATCTTGTTCAATTTGATCATAATTTATCCCAATATTAATCCCTGAGTTTCTAGCAGCAATTATTAAGTTGTGTTGTTGAACTTTAGCCAATTTTGACAATGATGCAGGCCAAATGACACTGAATAAACGAAGACCAATAGCAGAGAGATCTCTTTGTAAAGTTTGCCAAACTGGTTCATCTAAAGTATCACCACCAGAGAATTGACGTTCTTTAACTTGTTCATTATTTAAAATAGGGTTCAAGGAGTTTGACAAGTCAATGTTTGGTTTTGTGAAAGTTGTGAAGTTGAAAAAAGAGCTTTGATTAGCCTGAGATGAAGAGCCCTGGGCTTGATTCTGTTGAGGTTGATTTGATGATGAATATTGTTGTTTTGAGCTGGCTTTATTTATTGGTGTTGTGGCATCATCTGGTTCAATTAAATCTGGTTCCAGGTCAAAGTCATCAGCTTCATTAGGGTCCACGTTAACAGGTTTCCACTTTGACATTGTTTATTGTGAATAAAGTCCAAAAAAAAAGAATTGAAGGGGACTAGTTTATCAGAAGGAAGGCAACGGTTTTTAATCACAGTGAGGTTTTCACTAAGAGATTGTTCACATCGATTTAGATCATCATTGAAACTAGCCATTTCGCGAAACCCGCGAATTTTGACCCTTCCAGGTGTGCAAACGCACTGAAATTCGAACTTGCGCCCTTTTTCAACTGCGAGAACTCTCTAGTTCTGACAACCTGGCCACGCAGGGTAAGAAACAAGTTCAAAAGCTGCTGAACTACTACGCCGTATTGGCGCGGTCGGGGCAACATAACCATTACCCAAATAGGAAATAGCACACCGCAAAAACCGACTTCTCGGAGCGCCATTTTTTTTTGTTTTTGATTTTTTTTCTGAGGTGAATTTTTCTTTCCAGAGAAAAAGGAAATTGATTACAAAAGATTCCAAAATTGAATCTGTTTGAGAATTGATTTGAGCCAATTCACGTTTTCAGAAGAATAAATCCTCACCATCAACAACTAGTTACAACCATACAAGTTGACATTACCGTCATCAGAAAGTCATTACTATAACCGCCAGATTTCCCCGATTATACAGTACTAGAGAAGCGGATCATTTCTAGCCTCTTTTTTTTACTATAGGAGACAGGACCAAAAATCGGATGCTTTTATAGGGCCCTAATATTTTGATCAAGGAAAAGGTTAAAGCAACTGTGTTTGTTTTCAGACTATCGTTTTAACTGGTTCACGCGGCTCATACAGCACTGCTAGGTATTTGCTTCAGATATTGTTCAATTCGTGTCTAATTTTGAGGGTTCAACGTGTGGCTGCTTTGCGTATCAATAATAGATTCACTATTATACCGTGACAATGTCATCAGAGGATAAGCTAGTCCCTATGAAGGATCAGAATGCCCTTGTAATGGGTGATGGTAAAGTCTACAAGATTCAGAAGGTTCGTCAAAGGAAAATCCATAGTTGTGTGCCTTGTCATCAACGGAAAGTGAAGTGTTCGAGAGAGACTCCAATATGTTCAAATTGTATCAAGAATGGGCTAGATTGTAAATATTTTGTGAATGATAGAGTGTCAAGAGGTAAAAAAACCAAAGATTTAGATAAGGAAGCTGATATGAAGCGTAAAAAAGAATTGAAACAATACATGGCTAAAGCAAAGATTATAGCATCGACTTCACCCCCACCACCTACAATATCATCGTCTTCTCAGGGAACATCTTCATCACCACAAGAACCTCAGCAATTGAAGGGACTTCTAAATGATCAGCAACCAGTTCAAGCACATTCTCATCAGCAAGTGGAGGATCCATCACCTAAGAATAAGAGTTTAACGTTTTCAGATTCAGATAGCTTAATAAGTAATGAGAGTTTATCACCACCAAAACTTCATAACCCACAAACGCTGCCCACAGAGAAAAGTGTTCAAAATCCATCACATTTAAGTCAACAGATTGGTAATAATTCATTCCAATTAGATCAGTTTTCACAAGGACTGAATTCAAATCTTTCATTTAATGGAACATATTCACAAGTGCATTCAATACCTTCAAATATACAACAACAACAGCAACTACTACGAAGTGATACATTACAAAGTAATCTTTTACAACATCCCCAACCAATAACTCAACCATTGCAACATTCCCATCAATACCCTCAACAGATACAATTACAACAACATTCAGCACCACCTGTTCAACAGCAGCTGCAGCAGGCTGAACCTTTAGTTTTGACAAAGGAAGATGAAATCATACAAGCATTACCAACAAGACAACGTTCTTATGGATTAGTTAAAAGATATATCAGCACTATCCACCCAATTATTCCAATAATAGATATAAATGAATTTTTAGCTGAACATGATCAATTTTGGAATGATAGACATGAGAATAAATTTGAATTTTTAGGTTGTCTTTTCCCCATATTATATGCTGCTAGTAAAGCTGAATGTTTTGAATTTAGTTATGATGAAATTACAAAATATGAGTTGAGTAATGAGATTCATAAATATTTGAGAGTTGCAAGAGAAGTTTTAACATTGATAAATTTCCCATTAAAATATTCATTAAGGATTTTACAAAGTGCTGTTATTTTACAAAGTACATTAGAAAATCCAAGTATCACAGATATTTCCATTTTGGTTAGAATTGCTCAATCAATTAGATTACATAGAGATCCTGCAACTTTCCATAATATAGCAGACCCTGGATTAGTGCAATCAAGAAGATTGTTATGGTGGCAGATTTTTTACTTGGATGCAATCACATCATTGAACCAAATGTGTACACCATTGATAAAATTGGATGAATTTGATACATCATTACCTGTTGAATTTGTTAATAATATTTTACATTGTGAAACATGTTTTTTGAATGGGAAATTTAGATTTTCATTGATTTTAAATGAATTGACAAAGTTTATTTATGGGATTTCAATTTTACCATTCAATACTATTCAATTGTTGAAACAAAAAATATTGGATTTACATATTAGTTGTAATGCATCAATCATGAATTTATCAAGTGCTCAACAGATTAGAAATTTAACATTTGATGAATCTAAATTTATCAATTGGTCCAAATCAGTTTTGAATACTTATTGTGATCGTGCTTTATTATTATTACAAAACAAGATCATTTTATCAAATGTGCTGAATACAAATGAAGATGATAATAATCATATTTTCAATAGTTCATATAATCAAATGATGAACAATTCCAAATTAAAGTTTAATATTGAGGCATTATTCAGATCATCAACAACTTCAAGTGTTGATGGGAATGCAAATATTTTGAACAATTATTCATATGATGATTTATCAAATAATTTGATTCCTGCTTCATTACATTATCTTTATGAATTTTGGAAAAATAATAATGATGATATTTATAATTCATTCAATTGGGAAATCAGAAACACAGTCCCATTTGATTCCATAATTTTAATTTTAACTAATTTGATTTCAGATTTGGAAAAAAACTATGATAGTTCATATGAATTGAAGAATGATATCAGATATTATTTATTGGATAAGTCAATAGATTTAATTTTCATCAAATTTGATAACAAGAAAAGATCAATTTTCAAAAATTGTTTTACATTAATGAGATATTTGTTTCAAATTTTAAGATTAAGATATCTGAAAAATAATAATGGTGCTGGTTCAAGTTATTTAGAGTTCAACAATCTCAATACTGAACAAATCATACCAAAACCTATAAAGAGACATATGAATGATTTTAAAAAGAATGGTATTGATAGTCATAATTATCTTCAACAACAACAACAGTTTGAAAATAGCTCATTAGGTTCCAAGGCTAGTATTGATTTCATTTCTCCAGCTGCTAAATGGGATATGCAAACTACATCATGTTCACAAATTGCACCAAGAACAATGAGAGCAATTGCTGCATCATCTACAAATCCAATTTCATTCAATCAAACTGCAACTAGTGGAACTAGTGGATTTGGTGATGATTTAAATGATCAATTCAATTTTGGACCAGAAGATGATTTTACAGCTGAAGATGTTTGGAACCCTACATCTATTGTTGGTGGCTCAAATATGTCTAATTCAACTAGCTTGAATAATAGTAATAATAACAGTACAAATGGTATGTTTAATGATGATGAGTATAAGAGATTGGAGTTGCAAAGAATTAAGTTACAAATTACAAAATTTTTACAAGAGGAGAGATTGAGTGATGATGATAAGTTTAATAACAAGTATTATATTTGGTGTGAGAATGAAGTTAAACAATTGATTGAGAGGTTGATTTGAAAGGGATAGAACGATTTGATAGATATTATGGAGTATAGATTAGAGGACTACGTTGTTTGTTTACTGGATATTATTTTATTTAATGGGATGATTCATGGAGTACTTTGAGATATTGTAGTTTATTGTTTCTGTCCTGCTCTCCACGTTCAAGTTGCGTCATAGCACAAATTCGCGAATTCTAATTTGGTTTTTCCGAAGAGCACCCGTCGATTGGCAATATCGGGAATGGACAATTAAGTTGTTATAAAAGTAGACGTTAATGAAGATGATTTATCTTAAAGAACGTGTAATTGCAATCGGCTCTATCTATGATCTATCCTCTGGTTCTTACGTAATTCTATTTATAGCCAGCACATTCCTTGACTTCCTCTTTCGGCACTTTGCGAGCACCCGTTCGCGATAACAGGCAATTAATTTTATCAGCCCAATTCTCTGGCAGTGCTGAAACTTTTATACTCACGTTACAACATCCATCATCAACAAACAAAGAACCAAACACACAATTCGCTTTATCAAACAACTGCACAGGATACACTGCTAACACAAAGGGTATACACACAGAAAGACAAATGGAGATTCTATTCGACGAACAGCTGAAACAATATGGCAACTCCCAGGTTCCCAGTTATCCCGAACACCAGATGCTCGACGACAAAAACAATGTCACCATCAGCAACAATTTGATACTCACAAATGAAGACTACAAGAATGATACAGCATCGCTACTATCCTCTGTGAATGAGATGCAATCCCTCAATGAAAATGAGTTCAATTTTGAGAAAATGTTTGACTTCAACCCAAGTATGATAGCAAACAACAAGCCAGCCAACAATGTTAATGCTACCCAGAATAATGGCTCAGGTGTGAACTTTCAGTTACAAGCTATCCATCAAGGGTTTCAAAACAACGATCCAAACCAACAACTATTTGATAATGACCTAAGTTTAGTGAATTCAAACAACACGTTGGTTAGTAACAATTATCAAGCTGCTGATGTGAATGCTGCTGCTCAAGTAAACAATCAGAACCATCCAAATTTATCAGATTATTATAATAGTAATAAGGAACTGAATGATTTCGCATGGGATTTCAACTTTGATACTGCAAGTTATAACAATTTACATGGTGATAGTACCACCTTGGGCAGTTCAACAAGAGAATCACATGAATTTTTTGAGAATTTGAATAGTATGGGATTAGAAGATATTGGTGATATTGATCAATCAAGAAGATCAAGATTTACTTCTTCAATTTCAAATTCTATCTCTTCAATCTTTAAAAATTCTTCAAACAATAAGTTCAATTTAAGGGTTATTAACCCGTTATCAACTCATAGGGATCCAAAAGTCTTGGTCAAGACATTACCAAATTTAGTGGAGAATGTGGAAAATTTATCAATAGATCACGATGGAGATCAAGAAATGTCTGATGCTTCCAACATTAATCATGATAATTCAATTTTGCATTCGAAAAAGAAGAAGTGCTTGAAGAATTCACATTTAAAGAATTGCAACTGTACAAATAAACAACCTAAGAAGAACAAAAGTTTGGTTAGCACTTTAACTAATGGCCGTATCGGTGGTGATAAAAATGAACAACAAGAGAAGGAGAATGTTAAAGTTGAAGAACAACAACCACAATTACTTCCACAAACTGAGTTTAAATTTGACGATGAGTTAACAAAAGTCATTTCTTTAGCAAGCTTAAACTCTTCAAATTACAATTTTAATGAATCTCAATCTGAAACTGTGGAATCCTGTGATGTTGATCAAGAATTAGTGGAAGATCCCGAAAACAATTCCCCAGATTATGGTGCATTATTCTCAGAAATTAACGTTCCATCAAAGAAAAGATCCAAATCAATCTCATTCAGAAAGATGACATCTTCCAACGCACCAACACAACAACAACAGCCATTACCACCAAGAGAATCCATATCTTCAAGCTCTTCACTCCCAACCCTACCAGAAGAGGGATCTTTAGACAAACTAAACTTCACTCCACAACCACCAGCAGATTATCAACCACCACTTCATGAACCAACAAGAAGAGGTCGGAAACCAAGTTTAGCTTATGATGCTACAAAGCAATTTGTGTGCACTTATTGTTCAAGAAGATTTAGAAGACAAGAACACTTGAAAAGACATTTCAGAAGTTTACACACTAATGAAAAGCCTTTCAATTGTGAATTATGTGGGAAGAAATTCTCAAGAAGTGATAATTTGGCTCAACATATAAAGACCCATGGGAATGATGAAAATTGAAGGTGGAGGATATTGTGATGTTTGCTATGAAAGGAATGTTTTTTTTTGGTTTTTGCTTTTGATTCTACTATTTTTTATACCCCATTGAAGATTTATTTGGACAATGTTTTATTATTAAGATTATTATTATACTACCCTTTTTTTACTCACCTATATTTTTATGATTGCTTATGGAAGCCGGTTTAGAAGATAAAATAATGCGTACTGCAGTTTATTGATGCTGTAACGTGTACTGAAAGTACTTTTTTGCTAATATTTATTCATATTATATTATTAACGTAACCTCATTATACACCTTGCTCAAATTCATTTTTTTGCTGTAGAGTTGAAAACACCAAGATTAATTTTCAATAGTTTCAATCTTAAGATACCATAGGCAATAACAAATCTGTAAATGAATGCAACAACTAATAAAACTCCAAAAAACTTCTTATATGGTGCTTTAAGAGCATATTGCCTTAAAACATCACCACCATTATTGAAAACACAATCACCATTGACATCTCTTGATGATGCTTCATCACATTTAAATGTAACATCATCTGAAAATGCCATATTTAATAAAATACTCATCCCATATTTTAACGGACTAATCCAATTAATGCCTTTCAACACACTATCCATTTGTAATGACATTATACCAGCCATAAATGTACCAATTGATAGAATAATGGAAACAACATTAACCGCAAATCCAGCATGATGGAATATAGTATTTGTAATAATACCTAAACTTTCACCACAAAATGTAATCAAAAATGAAACATAGGCAATAGCGAAAAACATTTCAGGAGTACGTGGTAATCCAACAACTGGTCCCAAAAACGCTGCAAATATAAAACTTGAAATAATTTCAAAAGGAATCTCCACAATCATATAACTTAGGAAAAATGGTAAAATCCCATAAACACGATCATCATATTCATGATAGAAATAATTTCTTTGATCAGGATATGAACTTAAATTATTTAACATACCACAAAAATAAAGACTTGTAACTTCTTGCACTAAACCTAACCTATTTGAAACACCAATATAATCATTTTTCAAAGGTGCAAAGAAAAGTGCAATAATAACACCCATACCTGCAACTTGTGAAATCCTTGCAATGAAAACTTGTTGATTTCTTAATGTTGTTATACCCAATTGTTTAACACATGCATAAAATGCAACATGGAATTTGGCAGGTTCTCTAATAAAACTTCCAAAAATTTTAGGAAATTCTGATTCATTAATAGTTCTGACATCTTGAGGTGATGTTGATACATTCATTCCGCTCCAATTGTTTAACAACTTTTCAACACGTTCTTTTGTTATTTTTTCCTTATGAAGAGTTTGATTATTAACCGAAATCAAATCTAAAACATGATCAGCAGAATTTGTTAATTTTGGACATGGATAACCTAATGAGGCAAAATAATCAACCATTTTAAGTTGTTCTCCATTATAACCAACTTTACCACCTTTTGCCAGTAGCAAAACCTGACCAAACTTCTGGAAAAGATCTGATCTTGGTTGATGAATTGTTAAAATGATTGTTTTACCCTCATATGCTAATTTTTGTAAAATTTCCAAGATTGAAGAAGCTGTGAAACTATCCAATCCAGATGTTGGTTCATCTAGTAATAAGATTTTGGGATTGTTCAATAGTTGAATTGCAATGGAAACTCTTCTTTTTTCACCACCTGAAATACCTTTAATAAACTCACTACCAATCAAAGTATTTGCACAAGATTTCAAACCCAACTTGTTGATGATATCTTCCACTATTTCGAATTTTTTATCTTGAGGTAACTGACCTAATCTTAAATCAGCAGCAACTGTCAAAGTTTCACGAACACTTAGAGTAGCCAACAAATGATCATCATCTTGAGAAACATATGAACATATTGAGTTAACCATCTTGGTTGTCACAATGTAATTGTTAAAGAAAATTTCACCACTTGAAGTGTACCTATTAATAAGATCTGAGGATAAACGTCCTGAGACAAGATTCAACAATGAAGATTTACCAGACCCTGAAGGACCCATGATTGCATTAACTTTTCCAGCTTTGAAAGTTGCTGATATGTTATCCAAAATGATTTTTTCCTTGGAAGTTCTACCCTTCTTGATACGAACACCCAGACACAAGTTCAATAAATTAACATCAATGTTCAATTTTTCAGGTGTGTTGACTTCTTCTCTAACATGTTCCAGTTGTTCTAATTCTTCATCTTGCTTTTCTTCAGGAGTTGAAGACTTAACCTGTTTTGATAATGCGACATCAACTTTGTTAAATTTTAATATCACACCAGCAACTAGATAAAACCCAATAGCCCAACACATAATAACAACTATAGGTACAGTTATCCAATTTTCCCAATACCCCAGATTATGAATAATGTATTTCCCCTGATATGATGCACAATCTTGAGGATTTTCATAAGGACAACTTCCGATGAATCCAGTGAATTGATTTGAAACCAAGGCACCAAATCCATACCAAACATAAGCAATATATTTTGTCCAACGGACATATACGGGCATTGTCTTCGCATTAACAAAATAACCACAAGCCATACTTTGTAAAGTATAGTTTAAATTTGAAAACAACGAAGCATTTGCAAAATTTCTTGATAATGAAACTGAAAACATTGCACCAGTCATTGAAGTTTCATGGATAAGGAAAATTGTAGCAAAATAAATGAAGAATTTCTTTGCAGTATAAATAAACCCAAACATAAAATATGTTGTTAATGAAAAGAACAATGGAACAATAATATCTTCAGTAAACAGCTTGGCAATCCTTCTAGACAATAAGAATCCCACTATGGAAACACAATTATCTGATCTTTCTCTATCATACAACTTTATATCCACTGAAGTTAGCCTATAAACTTCGAATAATAACATTAAATAACCCTGTAAAGCATTAGCAGAATAAGCAGCACCGGTCATTGTTCTTATACCTGATAAGTCGTGTTTTGGTTTATAAAAAACCCACCCACAAATAATCCCCATGAATAAAGCCTCACAAACCATTGACAACAATGTTACCGAATCTCTTATTGACAACAAAAAAGTTCTTCTTGTCAACACTGTCAGTTCTCTCCAAAATGGAGCTTTATGTTGTGAGTTGGCCGGATTCACAGAACTAGCCATTGGAATACCCTTTTCCATCTCAATATTATCATTTATTATTGTCTTTTCATAATTTTGCCAATTATTAACAAATTTCACCAATCTTTTAGAGCTTTCCTGTTCAGCTTGTGTGGTCCTTATATCTACTGCAGTTATATCAATCAAATAATCTGCAGGATTGACATTTTCTGGAACGGTATAACCTAGTTGACCAAAATACTCCAAGACTTTATCAACTTTATAGGAATAAACCGTTTTCCCCTGTGACAAGATACACAAATAATCAAACAAAAAGAAGATATCAGACCTAGGTTGATGAATACTTATAATGATTGTTCTTCCTCTATTAGCCAATTGTTTTAAAGTCTTGATCAACAAGAATGCAGAATGAGCATCAAGCCCAGTTGTTGGTTCATCCAAGAATAATAATGAAGGATTTGACAAAATTTGAATACCAATACTTAATCTCCTTTTCTCACCACCAGATAAACCTTTATGAGTAGAATCACCAACAATAGTATCCGCACAATCTTTCAACCCTAATTCCAATATAACTTCTTCAACCAATCTTAATCTTTCCAATTTTGTAGTGGAGTCAGGTAATCTTAACTCAGTAGCATAGACTAATGTTTCTCTGGCTGTCAAGTTTGGAGAAAGGATATCTTGTTGGATAACATAGGCATTCCTTATATGATTCAAACTTTTACCGCCGAATGAAATGTCACCTTTTCTAAACAGCGTTGAAGACGAAGATCTATTGGCCAGAACGTTTAACAAAGTTGTTTTCCCTGAACCTGACCCACCTATTATGGCCATCAACGAGCCTGAAGGAAGGTCAAAAGATGTCGTGTCTAATATGGTCTTGATATTGGCGTTTTCCAAATCATCTTTATTTTTCTTGTTTCTGAATCTGTGAAATGGGTTGAGTCTTTGAAAGGGATTATCTAGCCTGGCAGAGATTGAGAGATCACGTACTTTGACTGGAACGGGGTCAATATTGACGAATGAAAGTTGCGGTTGATCTTTGGACTGGTCTATTTCATTTGATTCTAGCTCTATATCATGTGAAGAGGAATAACTATTCGTTACCGTGGGATGCCATTTTGAAGTCATGATTGTCTATCACCTGAATATGTAAGAGAGTTGATTGAATATTGAGGTTAGCGAATATATATGATTAAGCAGTGTCTAGTTGATTGATTATTCAATTTGAAGAATAGGGCATGATTGTAAATGACTTTTATAGGTTTTATCTGTTTTCCTTTAGAAGGACACTAACTACAGTTACGAGCTTTTTCAGCAGCTTTTCTCAGTTCACGGTCAACACACGCCAATTACGATTTGAGCAAAAGCCGAAAAATGCCATAATGGATTAAAATTTAAGATTCGTCACTTTTACTATGAAGTCACCTATTATTCTGATGAGATTTGAGATACACGACTCTACTGAAAGCCTCTACTCTCTTCCTGTAGCACTTTAGTTAAGGAATTAAGTGTTTAAATCCTGTAACGCGCTTCCCTTTTGGGTCATCGTAAGCCTCCAAGACGTACGTTACAGTTTTTTAAACAAGTCAGGACCAATAAGATGAACCCTGAACCAAAACATCATGAGCTTGATCTTGATTAGAGATCTGAGGAATGGCTGAAGAGAATGGGAATGTATACAAATAGAGATCATATTTGACCCATAAACTAGCTCCTATAGGACCGAAAAGCTTCCCCTAATTATGGATCAGTTCTACAATCAATGATGAAAAACCGAAAAAAACCAAACGTTCTTTTTAAACACTTCTCAGCTTGTACTCATTGGTATGAATACCCATTGAACCCATTATTAAACTGATAACCTTGCTGTTGTTGTTGTGATTGTTGTTGTGGTTGACCACCAGTGTTATATAATGAAAGTAGTTGATTCTTATCAACACCAGTTCTTTGAGGCATAACTCCACCAGTTTGAAATGGTTGTTGGTAAAAAGCACCGGTTTGCTGCTGTTGTTGTGGTTGTTGAAATATACCAGTTTGCTGAGGTTGCTGAAACACCCCTGTTTGTTGTGGTTGTTGTTGAGACGTTTGTTGAAAGAACCCAGTTTGTTGTTGTTGTAATTGTAATTGCTGCTGTTGTTGTAAATATTGTTCTTGTTGAATAGGATCAACATAGATAATACCAGTTGCTGGGTCAAGATATTGTTGAGGTGGTTGAATCAGCCCAGTTGCTTGTTGAGGGTTGACACCTGTTGTTCCGTCAAATATTGCTGGTGAAGGAGTTTGTTGTGATGCACCATTCCACCAATCACTAGATGCACTAACTGGTTGTGAAATTGATTGTGAACTGCCTCCTCCATTTGAAACTGAAGTCCCTGGCCTTCTTGGTAATGCTGGTTTGGCTTCAGGACGATCATCAGCTGCAGAATTTGATAAAATATCAATTGCAAGGTTGAAATCACCTTTAGCTAAATATAAACTTTCATAATTATCATCAGTATTGGTAAAACCTTGTTCTTCTAGCCTTTTCTCCAAACTACGAAGTTTCAATCTATCATATTCTGAAATGTCTCTATGTGATAATCTTGGAATTGAACGGCTTGAGACACTTGGTCTTGAACTTGGTCTTGAATTCACTGTGGAGGATCTTGATCTTGATTTGTGGGAACGTGATTTTGGGCGAAGGTTATAATCATCTTCATCTATTGGGTCATAACGGAATTTACCCTGGATATATTTTTGCCTCAAATATTGATAAATTTCACTATTTTATGGTTAGTTGTGAATTATTAATACTAGTGGTTTAATACTCACTCTTTATCATCATCATCAAATGGGAATGGTACCTTTTTTGGATTCCAAATTTGTTTAGCTTTCTTATTACCAATTCTGGATAAGCTCTGAGGACGTGGTTAGTAGGGCTAGATAAGTTTTAGTTTTCCGTTGTATACATACATCTAAATCTTCTTCATCCCATTTATCTAACGACAAACTCTTCACAAATGAAACATCTTCTCCTAGTTTCCTATGTAAGGAAGCACATCTACCACATAAGAACACACCAAGCTATCACTCGGTTAGTAACTATTGAAATACCAGCTTAAACTTGAAACATACATTGACACTAGCCCATGCTAAAAAGTTACTGTTAGTTATAGGCCCCAAAATAAAAGGCAAAGATAACACATACTCGGAAACCCAGCACCACATTCACCACACTTATTGGCGTTTGATCTGTCATTGATCAAGTCCTTCAACTCATGCTCAATTCTCTTTTGGTTTCTTTTACTCATCTTCCAGTCCTCGTTATAATGAATTTGAGTTTTAGATTAGTTTAGTTTGAGGTACAACAAAGTAAAGGCTCCGTTGCAACTTGATTTTTCGTTCCTTCACTTACTTCGGTTTGAAAGGTGCACTCACTGGGTGCTACGGGATTAATCGGCCTGAGCTGTTCTACACAGAATGAATGAATAAAATTTAACAACTGAAAGGTTGTTTTGACTATCTGAGGATTCTATCCATCTTGAAAATTGTTCAATTGCTTATGAATTATGGCAGTGAAGGCATGCATTGGATGAATCTACACAAGAGCACCTTGTCCACGGTCAATTGCACCAAATAATACCACCACATAGCGAACAAACACCTGCAATTCCAACAATCAATCCATAAATTATTGCCTGATGCCTTTAATTACAAGACTGTTGTGCTGTGTCTTGATCTTGGGACCTGGGTCCCTGTCTTTAGTTGTTCATTCTCATAAAGTTGTTTTACGAGTTTTTGAACAGGTGAAAAACATTTTGCTCATCAACCGCGTTGCCATAGAACTAACCACTGGCTCAACAACAAAGCCAGCGGATAAAGTTAACGTTGATAATGGTTTGTTCATACCTTGAAGAACACTTATCAGCTCTTTTGAAAAAGAGCGCTTACAGATTGACAAGATGGTGAAATACTAACTTCATTCAGCCACCAAAAGCAGGAAAGAAAGGACTTTCATTAGATGAGAAACGCTCCAAGTTGTTACAATTCTTTACAAAAGACCACATGTTTTATAATATTAAAGAAGTGGAAGCGCAAGGCTCAAAATTTACTGGGGTTCACTCTATGCAAATAAAAGATCTTTTACAATCTTTAGTTGATGATGGTTTGGTTAATGCTGAGAAATGTGGTGTAACTACTCTTTATTGGTGCTTTGAATATGATAAACATAAGAAGATGAAGATTTTGGTCGAAAAAAGTGCAGAGAAGCTAGGTGTTGTTAATAATGACATTAAAAAGATCACTGAAAAGATTGAAATTGAAAAAGCTAAGAGAACAAAAGGTAATAGTCAAGAAATGTTGAAGCAGATTGATTCTTTGAGAAAACAGAAGCAATCATTAGCTGAAAAAATGTCCTCTTCCGCTTTTGATATGGATAGGGTTGATTCCATTAAAAAGGAACTCCAAGATGAAATATCAAATGGTGAGATCTGTACTGATAATATTGAATCGTTGATTTATTATTTCCAGAAAAACAATGGAATCAATCGTGGTGTATTCAAACAGGAACTCAACATTCCTGAAGAGTTCAAAGATTTCCCGAATCTTGATGAAGTCTTTGCAAAGCTAACATGATGTGTTTTGGTGATTGAAAACTTCAATTAGCTAGTAATGTTTACTTTATGAGAATTTGACACATAGCATCATTTTTCATTCTTAACAAATTAATAAACGAGATATAAAATCGTTTAAGTTATCTTAACGTCTTTTCAAATGTTGACACATCTTTCGGGTTGATTGTTTTCGTAAAAAGGCATTGTAACGGGGGTTTTTTCAGTGTAGTCTATTTGGTGTAACTCACAAGCTAGCCAACAAATCCTCCGCTATAAAGCCATCAGGCTATCAAGATATCAAATAAATAAAGTCCAATATCTGGAGTATATATAAACTAAAGAAATACCTGGTCCTCAAATAAATAAAAGGGTCTAAAGTGCCGGTTACAGCAGTCGTGTAATTTGTTCTGTAATGAGATGGCGCGAAAATTTTGTGTTGATCTGAAGCCAAAAGTTAAACGACATCGTCAGTAGTGAACAATTACCATCAACAAACAATTGGGAACAGATAGATTACAAATCTGCTATGTGCTATCTGTGGTTGATATTAGAGTGAATCAATAGATTATTGAACCTTACCCTCAGTAAAATGAGTTGGGCTAAGAGTTTTTCTTCTTGGGCACCTTGTCCATCAAATTTTAATTCAATCTAAAGCTGTTTAGAACTAGAATCCTCTGCCCAAGTCCTATTAGTTCAATCATGGTGAAACGGCTATGTGTTACATATTTCTCAAACGAGAACTATATATAACAGCTTATCGCTCTATTGGATAGACCTCCAATTGGCGCACATTGTCCATCATATCCAACTTTTTAATAATGTCCAGTAAAGAGGAAAAATTTGATATGATTGCTAACACTCATTCGTCTGTGAGCAGTAACTTATCACACAGGGATTATCATATCAGGAATAATTCTAATGATGATTCAACAAAAATTGGGTTTGATATACCAATTGATGCTGATCTGGCTAAAATTTCATCAATTTTCCAATCTCAACACCATGTTTATAACTCTGAAGTCAAGATAGGGTTCCAGCATTATGTTATCAAAGGTTCCAATTCACAAGTTTCACCTGTTAACGCTCTTATAAACCCCGGTGAAATGTGTTTAGTCATGGCGGATGATTCTTCAACTACCTCAACGTTCCTAAAATCTATCAATGGTGATAATGAGACATCAAATCAGTTTGAAAATGTGATTTTGAAAAAGCATAACTTGATCTATAATGATGAAGTTGATGTTCATTTCCCTCATTTAACGGTTGATCAAACAATTCAGTTTGCCATTGATTGTAAATTCAATGTTGATACAGAAACAAAAAATCAAATAAAGTATACGTTGATCAACATGTTTGGTTTAAGTCATTGTTTGAACACCATTGTTGGTAATGATTACATACGTGGTATCTCTGGTGGTGAGCGTAAAAGAATATCCATTATCGAGTCCTTGATTGCAAATGGTCTTGTTTATTTATGGGATAATTCAACAAAGGGATTAGATTCATCAACTGCTTTGGAATTTATTGAATCATTGAAGAAAATGACAACTTTGAATCATGTTACTCATCTCATTGGGATCAACCAAGTTAGTGAAAAAATGGTGAATTTATTCGATAAAGTTTTGTTGTTTTATCAAGATAGACAAATTTTCTTTGGAACGATGACTGAACTTTTGTCCTTTTTGAATGAATTGGGATTTCAGAAACAATCAGATCAAACGGATATTGAATTTTTAAATGAATTTTTGGGATCCAATTTAAGAGTTGATGAAATTGAAGCATTTTGGAAATCGTCTAAAAACTATACCCAACTATTACATCAATTGTCAACGTCAGCAAATATAACAAATATTAATACCCAGGAAAGACAATCCACCTATAAAATTTCATTGTTTAAACAACTCCAGTTTTGTCTCAGAAGAACCTTTCAAAGAAGTAAAGGTGATAAAGCATACCTTATCGCACAATCCATCTCAACAGTGATTCAAGCTTTAGTCATTGGCTCCTTATTTTATGATATGCCTTTGGACACAATTGGTTCGTTTTCAAGAGGTTCAATCATCTTTTTCTCACTATTATTCTTTGCCTTTGTGGCATTAGCTGAAGTCCCATCTTGCTTTATTCAAAGACCAATAGTTAACAAACAAAACAAATTATATTTTTATCACCCTTCAATCGAAACTTTGTCCAAAATTATGAATGATGTTGTTTTCAAATTTGCGTTGGATTTGGTATTCTCATTGATTCTATACTTTTTATCAGGTTTACAAAGATCAGGTGCAAGATTCTTTACATTTTTATTGTTCCTGTTTCTCTCCACTGAGAACATGTCATTGTTATTTCAAGCTGTTGCTTACTTATCACCAACTATTGCCATTGCGAATGCTCTTGCTGGGTTATTAATGTTATCTATTGCAATGTATGCTTCTTATGTCATCTATTTGAATCAAATGCATCCATGGTTCAAGTGGATTGCTTATATTAATCCAATCAAATATGGATTTGAGAGCATGCTTTCAAATGAGTTGTTCAATGTTAATTTGGATTGCTCGAAATCTATTATCCCTTCAGGTGGTTCATATGATTCAGTTCCTGATGATTTTAAAGTTTGTGGTTGGCAAGGTGCTAATCTTGGTCAAAAATATGTGGAAGGTAGAAATTATTTGCTTAAAACTTTCACGTATAGTTATGCTCATACTTGGAGAAATTTTGGTATTTTGATAGGATTTATTATATTTTTCCTATTTGTTTGTTTAGTTGCTTCTGAGTTTTTAACAATTAGATATAATGTTAAGAGCAATGCCAACTCTGAAACTAAGAAGCCAATTGATGACGATGAAGATGACTTAGATTATGAAGCAATGGAGAAAACAGAAGCTTTGAAATTTGATACAAATCTAACATTATCTTGGGAAAACGTTTGTTATAAGGTTAATGGTCTTGACTTATTGAATAATGTGGATGGTTATGTTTCAAGTGGTGTATTGACAGCACTTATGGGAGAATCTGGGGCTGGTAAAACAACATTGCTGAATGCTTTGAGTAAAAGAACAGATTCTGGAGTTGTCACTGGTGATATCCTGATCAACAATTTACAAACAGATGATGATTCATTCAAGTCTAACACTGGGTATGTTCAGCAACAAGATTTACACCTTTTGGAGTTGACTGTCCAAGAGTCATTAGAATTCAGCTGCAAGCTTAGAGGTGATGGTGATCTAAAGTATGTGGATAGTGTTACCAAGAAGTTGAAGCTACCAGCAAAGAAACTAGTTAGGGATTTATCACCAAAAGATCAAAAGATGTTATCAATTGGTGTTGAGCTAGTTACAAAACCAATTATTTTATTCTTGGATGAACCTACTTCAGGGCTAGAGAATGATTCAGCATTAGCAATTCTCAAAATCTTGAAAGAACTATCTTCCTCTGGTCAAGCTATTCTATGTACAATCCATCAACCATCAACAGCCATGTTTAAGCATTTTGATAAGCTGTTATTACTGAAGAAAGGTGGTGAGACTGTTTATTTTGGAGATTCAGATGAATGCTGTACAGATTATTTCTTCAATAATGGTGCTGAACCTATTGGTGAGAATGAAAATCCTGCTGAATACATCTTGAAGGTTATTGGTGCAGGTGCTAGTGCTACCACTGATAGAGATTGGTCATTCATTTGGAACCAGTCACCGGAAATTCAAGCATTGAAAAGAACCATTGAGACATCTATATTTGCTGAGAGATCCTTAGATGAATTATATGTTCAGCATGCCGGACCAGGATATTTCAAGCAATTTGCGCTGGTTTTGAAAAGAACTTGGAGACAGTTTATTAGAGATCATGTTTATCTCACAGCTAAGTTAGGTTTGATGATTGTGGCCGGTCTGTATATTGGCTTTACATTTTGGAAGACAAAGTCATCTATTTTAGGAGTTCAAAATATTATGTTTGCAATGTTTATGATTTTAGTGATTTCTTCTCCTTTGATTCAACAAATTCAAGCCAAGTCATTAGCCTCTAAAAATGTTTTCATTGCCAGGGAACATAAATCGAATACGTTTCATTGGTCTATCTTGGTTCTGAGTGAAGTTATTGTGGAAATTCCATTTGTGTTTCTAGGTTCAACTTTATTGTTCTTGTGCTTTTATTTTACAATCGGTGTTAGTGCTACTCCAAGTATTGCAGGTGTTTTCTATTTGAACTATTTGTTGTTCTCGTTGTACTATTTAACTTTTGGATTATGGTTGATTTATTCTTGTTCTGATTTAGAAACTGCTCATGTTTTCGTTGCATTTTTGTTTTCATTTACTGTTTCATTTTGTGGAGTTATGCAACCTAAGGAATTGATGCCCAAATTTTGGTTATTTATGTACAGGATTTCACCATACACTTATTTTGTTGAGACTTTTGTCAGTTTGGTCATGCATGATAAACCAATTGTATGCCAGTCAACTGAATTAGCTTTATTCCATTCATATGGTGGTCAAAGTTGTGGTGATTACATGGCTGATTATATTAAAGAAAAAGGTGGTTATTTGTTACATCCAGAATCTATGTTCATTTGCTCATATTGTGTTTATGATTCAGGGAACCAATATTTAAATCAACAAAATTTCCACTATGAACATATCTGGAGAAATTTTGGTCTTTTATGGGTATACATAGGGTTCAATTTTGTTGCAATGATTATTGGGTTTTATCTGTTTAGTATCAGAAAGATTGATTTTAGAAATGAGTTCAAGAGATTGGCTTCAAAGTGTGGGTCAAAGTGAATACAAGCTTCTTATTTATGGCAAAATCTGGATTCAGATATAGCAATCTTTGTAGCAGTACTATACGCCTACAATACTTTATACATATTGGCATGGTGATTGTGAAATATTTCTAGATAGAGCATGAAGGCTTCCAAAAAGTATCAATCTTAAATCTCACAGGATCTGGAACAACTAGTACGTGTTTCGGTATATTGCCTGGCTTATGTGATGGGACGTAATATGAGTGAGATAAACTGGGGTAGTGAAGCAATCAAAGTATTTTCTGAAAGCACTATTTTCCTGATCGTGTGAGATACAAAATAGCCTAAAGCGGTGTGTATATCAATAAATATCCCTTCATTGCCATGCAGCTAGTACTCTCAGTTGGGATGATATATGTGTATTTAGAGGTTTTGTCGATTGTGTAAACTGCTATTGGCTGGAAGGCAGTTTAGCTACAAAATTTCGGCAATAGAACCGATTCTTTTGATTAACGAAGCTCGTTTAACAATACTTCACTGTAGCTCCACTGCCTACTGTGGGTGAAGTGATAAGATGGTGAATTATGTTTTCTTTGGGGTGTGGTGAACCCAGTCCAAACCCGTCTTTGTGGAGCTAGTGAAATAGCAATGAATGGAATATTCATACACCCATTTGAAACTAGCGTAGCTGACTCTTTGAATTGTCATGAAAGCGTGATCTTCTTATCAGTATGAAGTGTTTTGTGTCACTCTATCAAGGGATATCACGTGACACCCTCAGAATATAAGCAGTAGAAACCAGGTTTAACCAGCCTAGAAAAAGATTGAAATCACTATGAAGGCATTAAATAAACCACTTCTTCTCCCATGATCCCATATATTAACCCCCCCTCCTCTAAACGTCACTATTCTGCAGTGGAATTGCACACTCTGATTCCACAGGCTCTTCGCGAATTTGTGTGTCACACGTCATTTCTGGCACTGATTAGAAAGCTATAAGCATGTAGAACCAAAATATTACTCACACGTCCTCTCACCAACCACTGTCCAATTAGCACCAAGAGCTGTCCGTTCACACTTACAACAGGGAAGTCATCCTCAGAGAGCCCCTGCAATCCAGTTCAACTACTACCTTCACGTCTGAGAGCACTGTCTGATTCAAAGCACAGAGCCTCTATTTATACACGTCTTATCGTCACTTTCTTAAAAGAGGAATTCTAAACAAAAAAAATTAGAATTCATAAGACAAAGCAATTGCCATCAACACCAGCACCAACTCAACATAGTGATAGTGGATATCCTGCTGGTAATATTGTTGTCATCACCCATTTGCCACCCTCTTTAACTGTTTCCAGTCCACATAGCTCATTGAAGCTCGCTCATCTGTTATCACAAGGGTTATTTTTGTATTGAATCGCCTCCCAGGGCTTAACACTTCAAATTCATAGAAACATCAAAATTTGTCATAAACACTCTCCAATCATTAGAACCGCTAAGGAAAATTTATAAGGGCGCACGCGCTTAGGGTTTCAACAACTTTTACGTACTCCAAAAAGTCGCCACATCATAGCATTCTATCAAAGATGTCACAGATATCTAATGCTTCCATTTCTTATCAAGCTGAAAATAGTCAGCTAGATTCTAGAATTATTGGTGAATATAAAATAGGGACAGAGATTGGAAGGGGTAGTTTTGCAAATGTTTATAAAGGTGTTAATTTGAAAACTCATACACCAGTTGCTATCAAGTCAGTATTAAGATCAAAACTAAAAATAAAAAACTATTAGAAAACTTGGAAATAGAAATATCTATATTGAAAGACTTGAAACATCCTCATATTGTTGAATTGTTGGATTCAAAACAAACAAGTACTCATTTCCATCTTATGATGGAGTATTGTTCTTTAGGTGATTTGTCATATTTTATCAAAAAGAAGGATGAATTGATCAAAAAACACCCTTTGATCAAAACTTTGTTCAACAAGTATCCTTCACCATCTTCAAATCATCATGGATTGAACAAAATTTTAGTTTTGAACTACTTGAAACAATTATCTTCTGCTTTGAAGTTCTTGAGAAGTAAAAATTTGGTTCACAGAGATATCAAGCCTCAAAATCTATTACTATCACCTCCTATTTTCCAAGCTGATAAATTTGAAGCTGAAGGTTTCGTTGGATTACCTGATTTGCCAATATTAAGAATCGCTGATTTCGGGTTTGCAAGATTTTTACCAAATACAAGTTTAGCTGAAACATTATGCGGATCACCATTATACATGGCTCCTGAAATCTTAAATTATCAAAAATATAATGCTAAAGCTGATTTATGGTCTGTTGGTGCGGTTCTATATGAGATGTCTGTTGGTAAACCGCCTTTCAAAGCCTCAAATCATTTGGAGTTATTCAATAAAATCAAGAAGGCAAAAGATAGAATTAGTTTCCCTGAATCTGCTTCAAATGTTGATCCTCAAATTAGAAGGTTGATCTGTTCATTATTGAAATTTGAACCAACGGAAAGAATGGGTTTCAATGAGTTTTTCAATGATGAAATTGTTAACTATGATTTGAACCTATTATTGGAAGATGTGAATAAAGATATCAATTTAGAACCTTCTCAAGTTGATGATAATTTGTTTATTTCAGAATATATCAGTAAAGGTGAAATTATCAACAATAATAAGATTGAAAATCCAGATGGTGATTATCCAGAAACAATTGAAGAAAGATCAAGTCCAGGTCCAGAAACTACGGTGGTTAAAAGACCATCATCTGCAGATAAAATGCCACAAATTAAGCAAATTACTCAACGTGATATTCAGCCAATAACACAAACTTCTTCAAGTAACACTTCACCAGCACCATCATCTCAACGTCAACCATCTCAACAACAAATTCAACAAAGACCAAGTTTCAGATTCAATAACAGAGGTCAGTCTTCAGATGCTGTTATGGAAAAAGAATATGTCGTTGTGGAAAAAACTGCAGTTGAAGTTAATGCTTTGGCTGATGAATTGGCAAATGCTGGAACTGGTGCTGGCGCCATTGCGTTACCAAACAATTATATGACTCAGAATCGTCGTCGTTCGTCTAGAACCTCATCTGGTGGTTCATCTGGGCCTGGTAGACGTCCTTCATTTAATGATAGACGTGTTTCAATCTCCATCTCACCAACAAATGCTTTATCAAAAGCTCTAGGTTTGGCCTCCACCAGACTATTTGGGAATCAAACAAATCCAATCACTGTTTCTTCAACTTCAAATAACCATGCGCTATCCACTATTAATAGCTCCAATAATTCATTTACAAACAATATCATTATGAATTCAACAAATCAAATCATTAATTACAACTCGTACAAGGCCAACAATGGAAATGATCCTGATATAACTTTACAATTGGAATCATTGGCTACAAAAGCCCATGTGATTAATTTGTTTGCTGAAGTAAAATTTTCTCAATTGATTCCATCACCACCTTCTTCAAATTCTTATGCAATTGAAGATGAAGATGATGTTCAAGCACATGATGATATGAATAATCTACCACCAGATGTTGTCAAGAATTTAGCTGATGAAGCATGTTTGTTGTATGTTAAAACATTATCATTATTGGCTAAAGCTATGAACATTGCAAGTGAATGGTGGCACAACAATGGTAATAAACCTGATCAAAGACTAAATGAAATTGTTCAATGGATTAGAGAACGTTTTAATGAAGTTTTAGAAAAAGCTGAATTTGTTAAAATGAAACTACAAGATGCTAATAAAAGATTAGGAGAATCAATGGATTATTTTGCTGATAAAAGAACTGATGATAAAATATTTGCTGAAAGATTAATTTATGATCGTGCTTTAGAAATTGCGAAAAACACTGCAAAGTCTGAAATGATGGGTAATGATTTATTAGGTTGTGAATTGGCTTATTCTACTTCAATTTGGATGTTGGAAGCTTTATTAGATCAAGATAATGATTCTGAGAAATTGGAAGAAGCTGATAAAGAAATGGTTGAGAAATACATTGAAAGTATTTCCAATAGATTAGGTGCTTTAAAGAAGAAACTTGAAAGTCAAAGAACATGAAGCACTTCAAGTATTCTAATGATTACACATTCAATTCTGTTTTTTTTAACTATATTATGATTAACGCGGGTTAGGAAATTTTTGGGAAATTTTTGGGTTTAGTTGGTGTTCGTTTTTTTTTCATTAAATGGTGGGAAATATTACTATTATTAATTATTATTAAACATTCAAGATGGTCTTGACTATCATTTTTTTTTATGTATATTCAGTGGCTTTAATTTGTTGGTTTCAAATGGAAATTATTGACTCAAATGGTGAAGTGCTGCTGCCAAAGTTTTGTTGTCTTGATCATTTTAACACATTTTGAAATTTGAAACTATATATAAATATTACTATAAATACGGTTTGTTATTATATTATTTGCTTTACAAGACAATTCCATGCACGATTGCCAATAGTAGACTACTTTGAGTACGATACCTTCAATAATAAAACTGTACATTCTTTTTTTGTTAAAACTAAATCAAATCTAAATAACTCAGAGCTCATGATTGAGTTGCTTTACTTTTAGCTTCTAGCAATTCTTTGAATCTTTCATTACCTTTAACATCTTTTGTTAATTCTAAAGCTCTGCTCCAAACATCACCTTTACTGAAAAATTCATCTCTTTTGGCCAAAAATTCTTTTTCGGTATTTCTAGCTTTTTCAATATCAGCATCTTTTTTGTTATTGTAATCATCGTAGAAATCATCTAATTGTTTTTCTGCGGTTTCTTTAGTTTCTTTAGCCTTCTTTTCATCAGCTTCATCTCTTTTAGAAATTTCTAGATTGTAACGTTCTCTCCATTCTTTAACAGCATCTGATTCACCTTTTGGTGGGTTGAAAGCTGGTTCTGAAAACTCTTCCTCTTCTTCTTCAGCTTCAGCTTCTTTTGTAGATTCTTGTTCAGATTCACCAACGTCTGGGAATTGCTGTTCAAATTTCTTGACTTCGTCATCTTTATCTTCATTTAGATATTCATCATCTTGCTCGGTTTTGAATTGTTCTGCATCATCACCTAGTATTTCTTTCTCTCTTGATAGGAAATCTTCACCAACATCATCTTGTTGAACTTCAACATCATCAATTTCTGGGAATTTATCAGCCATTGTAAGATTATTGTTTCTAATATTAGGGGTACGTTTATAAATTGTTGATCTGGATCGATATTTCAGCTATTGTAGTCAACACTTAACCAATTCTTGAATTATTTCACTTTTATGTTATTCTTTTTGATTGAACAATCAACAGATTCACTAGTACTATGTTTGGGTGATAAACAATTGCTGACACAGTTTATCGGTAGTGTGTTCTTTTTGGTTGAGATCCTGGAGCGATCAAGCATCAGCATTCCGCGAACTTTACCCGCAAATAAAATGGATCGCGAATTCTTCTATCGAAAAATCAAGAACAGCCATAGAAATTAAATGATTTGGGATCAAGCTTCATCAATTGTTAAGATTTGGTGTGAGAAATGTCTTTTTCTGAAGATAAACTCAAGGATAAGCTTGATGCTTTAGAGGAAACCCAAGATTCTATTGTTTCTACGTCACAATGGGTACTGTTCCACTATAGATATGCTGAAAGAATCGCACCAGAATGGGAGAAATATCTAGCCAAAGCCCCAGTTCAAAAGAAGCTGGCAGTTATTTACCTAGCCAACGATGTTGTTCAACAATCTCGTGCAAAGAGAAAAACCGAATTCATCGAAGCTTTCAACAAAGTATTGCCTGGAGCATTGACACAAGCTTATGGTGAGGTTCCAGAACCTATAAAGAAGAAGATACTGAAAATTGTCAATATTTGGAAAGAACGTCGAATTTTCCCTACTCCAATTGAATTGAAAACCAGTGGAGGCACATCTAATGGTTCAAGCGAGTCTGGATTAAGTCTTTCATTTGATGACAAGCTGAAATCAGTTGGTTCAAGTGCACAAAAATTTCAAAGATTTTATCATGAACTGTTACTAGGCTCAAATGGAGCTTTCAAATCCAAAGATATCAAAACTTTAAACACGCTCAAAAAAGTTATAAATGATAACATAATACAATTACAAGATTTAACAGAGACAATTGAAGATGAAATAGGACATATTGGTGAGAGAGAGAAAGTCACAGAGGCCAAACGTATTGAACTTGAGCAAAAACAACAAGAACTAGAGGCACAGAGAATTGCAGAAGAACAGAAAAGGATCGAAGAGGAGAAAAGAAGAATCGAGGAAGAAACTATGCTGCCGACTTATGATAATGATTCAGATTCAAACTCAGATTCAGATCCAAAAGATGATGATAGCAGTGATGAAGCGCAAGAAGAAGAAGAAAAGGAGAAAGAAGAGACACCTGTTGAAAAGGACGATAAAGAGGAGCTCAGAGATCAACCTCCAGTTAAGAAACTAAGGTTTGCAGAGTAATTAGGATGCAAAATGTACATAATCATAGACGTTTGTTTGAAATAGTTTGAAATTTGATTTGTAGTACTAAAAGTTTTGACGTTTGCACGACTATTTTTCAAAATTTATAGGTGAGCTCCAGAAAGTCTGAAGAAAACAACTTTTTCCAATATCACAATTAGATACACATACTACGAATCATGGTGACTACAGCGTATGTTTCCATCTATCTATGTCTAATTTTCTTTGTTCCACTGGAAACTAACCATTCTTTAGAGTCCTTCTAGTTGAGAATGCCTCACCAAACAGTATAACAGCTTTTCATGATGCTATATCGAATGAGATTCCAAACATCTTGGGGAGATGGTCCTTTGAACTAAAGATCTTCAAAAGCAATACACAGCACTTACAATCTTCACAATCAAACTTTCTCTATAACTTATCATTGGGTCATCAGCCCAATAAAGTCGTCACATTAGTCAACAAATCGGCCATAGTCACGACATCTGACATTCCAAAGCCATTGATAGATAATGGATGCTCCAATGGATCAGTTGATAACCTGGATCATATTATACAAACAAAGCTACAAAGTCTATGGCTTCTAAGGCAAACGTTGAAAGGTGAAAATGGGAACAGCTATGAATTGATGAATAGTAACTTGATCATTAGAACCATAAATGTCTTTTTACACGGAACTTTCAAGGCCTTTTTGATTCAATTGGAATATTCTGGTACAGGAAATGGACGTGAAAAGATTGAAGAGTTCACAAGTCTGCTGAATATACCTGGTGGTAAACTATGTACTGGAATTTTGAATGAGAAACCAGATTATTTGGGAGATCTTGCGTTACAGTACACCGATGCCCTTCAGTTTTGACCATTGTTACCAGTAGCATTGTCTATATAATATCATATTAGTCTTGAACTTCATTACTCTGTAATTCATTTAGTTACGCTTCATGTCGCGTTTGGTTATACATGTTGATTCGCGAACCTGAATCTTGAACAAATTCAATTGACGTGTACACATAGAACTTAGACACCTTTGGATAGTTCCACCTTCAATTGCGCACTCAAACTTTACCAAAGAACCATGTCTAGTAAGGTCACAGGCTCTTCCAAAAATGAGTCTGAAGTGAGAGCCAGAAAAGTGGTTATTGATGAAGTCACAAACGATGAAATCGTCACTGATCAAATTGAGACTGATGAAATTATTCAAGACAGTGATGAAAAAAAGTCACGATCAACCAAATGTTCACAGCTTTGTCAAAAACTCCTTAAAATTGAAAGCGTGCTGGGTCCTCTTTTATTCACATTACTCGCGCTATATGTTCGATTTTATAAAATTGGAATAGCAGATAAAGTTGTCTGGGATGAAGCACATTTTGGTAAATTTGGTTCATACTATATCAAACATGAATTTTATCATGATGTTCACCCTCCATTAGGTAAAATGCTTATTGGTCTTAGTGAATGGATCGCAGGTTTCGATGGTGACTTCGAGTTCAAATCAGGTACCAAATATCCAGAAAATCTGGATTATAAGACCATGAGATATTTCAATGCTCTATTCAGTGCTGCATGCGTTCCAGTGACTTACTTTGCAGCTAAAACTTTGGATCTAAGCTTAATAACAGTCTATTTCATAGCATTGATGGTCACTTTAGAGGCTTCATATATTGCACTAGGTAAATTCATCTTGCTAGATTCCATGCTTTTGTTTTTCACCATTACAACTTTCTTTGCATTCGCAAAGATGCACTCATTAAGAAGGGCAGGACAAGAGTTTACAAAAAGTTGGTACGGCTGGATGGTGTTCTCAGGTTTATCTATTGGGGCAGTATGTTCAGTGAAATGGGTTGGTTTGTTCATCACAATTTTAGTTGGTCTTTACACAATCCAAGATTTATTTGAGAAACTATTTGAAAAAGATTTTGAAATAAAAAAATACGCTAAACATTGGAGTGTTAGAATTGCAACATTGATATTCATCCCATTCTTAGTCTATCTCATTTCTTTCAAGGTTCATTTCCACTTATTGTCCAAATCAGGTACAGGTGATGCTTCAACATCTTCTTTATTTCAAGCAAATTTGGAAAATAACAACATTAAAAAGAGTCCAAGAGACATTGTATATGGCTCTGAAGTAACCATTAGATCTCATGGTATGAGTCCAAACTTGCTTCACTCACATGTTCAAATTTATCCAGAAGGGTCCAATCAGCAACAAATTACTGCTTATGGTCATTCAGATGGTAACAATAACTGGGTCTTCAAATATTCTAGACGCTCTGGTCAAACATTGGATGAAAATGATGATACTCTTGTCAATGTCAAAGATGGAGATATTATTAGATTAGTTCATAAATTTACTGGTGTCAACTTACATTCACATACCATCCCTGCCCATGTTACAAAGAAGCATTGGGAAGTTGGTGGTTATGGTAATGAGCAAGTTGGTGATTCCAAGGATGACTGGGTTGTGGAGATTGTGGAACAATTACACTCAGCCAATAAATCATATCCAAAAGAAGATGGATCCATTCTACATCCATTATCAACAAATTTCAGATTGAGACACGCTGATTTGGGCTGTTATTTAGCAACCACTGGTGCTTCATACCCAACTTGGGGGTTCAAACAAAGTGAAATTGTCTGCAAGAACTCATGGTCAAAATATGATAAATCCACCTGGTGGAATGTTGAAGATCATATGAATGGTAAACTGACAATTGATGAAAATTATGTTGCTCCAAAATCAAACTTCTGGTCAGATTTTATGTTGATAAATGTTGCTATGGCCTCTTCAAATAATGCATTGGTCCCTGATGAGGATAAATTTGATGCACTTGCCTCAAAAGCATGGGAATGGCCAACTCTACATGTTGGTTTAAGAATGTGTGGCTGGGGTCCAAGAGATGCTAGATATTTCTTGATTGGTAATCCATTCAACACATGGTTATCATCAGTATCTCTTATAGTGTTTATTTATTTGATTCTCCATTCCGTTATCAAATATCAACGTCAAACTTTGGAGTGGACCGAAGATGAATACTGGAGATTCATTGTTGCTGGTGTTTACCCTTTGATTGGTTGGTTCTTACATTATATGCCATTTGTGATAATGGGGAGAGTTACATATGTTCATCATTATGTTCCGGCTTTATATTTCGCCATTTTTGTTTTGGGATACTTGGTTGAATTCTTTATTGGAAAAACTAAACCAATCATCAAATACCCAATTTATGCCATCTTGTTTGGTGTTTTGATTTTCACCTATTTCTTCTTTGCGCCATTTTATCACGGTATGGTTGGTAGCAACAAAGATTATGAGTATTTGCAACTGTTTTCTTCGTGGAGAGTTGTTTGAGGAATCATTGAATATAGACTTACAAAATGTACATTAGTAACAAAACAAACAAGACCATATAATCCAGTTATATATAACTAATTAACCAATTTAAAAGCATGTGCTTCAGTATTCAAAACATAATCATCTAAACTTAAAACAGAAATATCATCAAACAACAAATAAAAGTACTTCAAGGTTTCACTAAACCAAAATGATTCAAGACTATCCTTAAAGTTATCAGGTCTTGCACCTCTAACTGTAATATCTCTAAGAGAAGCAAATTCACCTTCTGGAGTTTTACAATACTTGACAATATTTTCAAACATCATCCAACCATAATCTCTCCATTTTGAGTCACCAGTAAGCCTATACATATAAAACACAGATTCTATTGCTTCTGGTCTCAAAATGTATTCAGGAACCATACTGTTAATCCACCTAGGTTGATTGTGAGTTTCATCAACAGTCCAAACAGTTTTGCCATCTTCCAGAACTTCAACTGGAGGAAGTTCATTACCCCACGGAATTGCTATTTGGTAAAGAGGATCCTCCTTGTGAACACCTTTATCCTTGGTTGGATCCACAATGACACCAGCTTCTCTCTTTGAGTTCTTGGTTTTGAAGCTACTCAAAATTTTCTGCTTCACATCATCAAGTTCTCCAGCAGTGATAACCCTCAGGCCTCCAAGCTGTGACTGTGATCTTTCAACAAAGGTCAATTGGTTTAGTCTGTCCTCTTCTTTGTACAAGTCATCTTTGTTCAGTATCTTATTAACGCGTAAGACTTCTGGCATTATATTCAATTTTTCATAAAGATGAACGCACCCCATTGTCAATTTTTCAGCAATTTCCATATCATCTGAACGATTGAAAACTCTGGCTCCTAATCCAAACATACCACCAGCAAAGCAAGTCAAATGTTGCATATCTAGTTCTTGCTCCACGATAATTTTATCTTCATTTTTGTAAACACCAATAGAGCTTGCAAATAATATCTTTTCGCCGCCTGGGATCTTTGGCATGAAAAGCATATAATTTTTGATATCATTCAAAGCTGCTAAGTATAGGTCCTTATAAACTTTTGCGTGTTTTTCATCACCACGTAATAAATGGTACATTTTAGGCAAATATTCATAATATGAATCAGCCAAACCACCTAATGAATATCTTTGCTTAGCTTGTCTTGGAAAGAAACCTGGCTGTAGTAAACAATAGACATAAGTTTTGTCAAAAATGGATTTGATAACATTTGGATTGTGTAAATGAGCACCATTGTCAATTTCCTCTTTTGTTAAAAGTTTGCAACCGGATATGTCAAGTTTGTTAGGGACCAGCCCTTTCATAAAGAACCTATCAACGGATTTTTGGAAAAAGTCTGTTATTCTTGCAACAGCATCATAGTATTTGTTATCACCTGTTAATTGTGTTAATCTTGAGAATTCTAGTGTTAGTGAACCAACTTCAGCAAGACAAGCCTCTCTAGAAGCCAATCTATTTGGCATTTCATCTTGCCACCTATAATATAACAAGGGCATATGATTTGGTGTATCGAATGCTTCAATCAAAAAATCAGCAAATTCAACGGCACTATTCAAAAGGATTTGTTCATTGGATAGATCATAACCACCAATGAGACCACCCAAGATTCTAATGATATTTTCAAAAATAGGGATATCTTCTCTAAAAGATTGCTTAAAGTTGATCTTTTCAATAAAGTTGACAGCTTCTGCAAATTCCTCCTTCTCATTGATAATCCATAAAGTATCCAATGCATCAATTATGGTGGAGGACCAACCATTAAAAGGGTCACTTGCCTTATGTGAGATAGGGCGAACCTCATCATGACCATAACCGTGTTTCTTATAAGTACTCCATGAACTTCTGAAGGCCTCTTTGATAGAATTCAATTTATCTTGGACTTTTCTACCTCCATCATTGAAGTATGTAGATTGAACACCTGAATAATTCTCCTTTTTACTGATTTTGGGGAATTTGATCAAATTTTCTTTACCAACAGGATACAAATACTTCTTTTTATGTTTTCTTAAGTTTGTTCCCTTTTGATTCTTGAAATAATCATCCGGCATCTTAGCGCCCTCTTTTCTACCTTTTGATTCTTCAATCTCTAAAATCGGGAAGTACTTGTTCTTTTCCTTCAACACATCTGGATTGCTCAAATCATCCTTCTGGTTCTCATCAGCCAAGATATCCATTTGGCTCTTGCCATCCTTATTGGCGCCCTGGCTATTGAACCCTTGACCTTCATTCTCATTGGTGATTCTTGGTAACGTTTCCTCATCAGCAAGTTGGTTCAACGAGTACTCTTCGTTCAAGAAGGAGTAGTAAAACAGACCCACCAGCGTGGCAGCGATGAGCAGAAAGAACCTTATCCTTCTGAGCTTGTAGCTTAAGTACGATGGACTGAACAACTTGGTCATTGTCCCCGTCTCACCATTGATTTCTCTTTGAATAGCAGTAATGGTGTCTGATTGTTTTTCTCTCTATTGTTTTTGGCAGCTGAAAAAATTTAAAGCCGGTATGAAAGTTTGTGGGTGTACTATCCTTGATCCAAGAAAAAACTTTAATAGGAAGTGTTTTAAAAAGTGAGGGAAAGTTAATGAATAAGTGACTTGTGTTGAAGTTTAAGCTGGTTTAGTACAATTAAATGTTCCTTTGGATGTTTTTCCGTTGCTTCTCAACGATGAGCGAGAGGCTGTTCAGCGAATCGTGTCTCTACGACTAAATCAAATTGACTAAAACTAGATTTGTTTATTTACACAAGCTGTCTCTCTATGGAATAGATACGTGTTGAGTGGTCGTGACTGGCAACTGCTAGTAGCAATTTCTCTGAATCAATCAAACTCCAGTTGATTCTGGCAATTCTATCTGCTGGGGTGACTTCTTTATCAAATGAATGGATTTGTGCCAAGTTTGAACCATCAAAAGTACTAATCAGAATATCACCATTCTCTAAACCAACTGCAATTAAAACCTTCCCATTAATGACCTTCTTGTGAACATCAATGGATGTAACAGGGTTATCACATTTAATTGAAGTTATCAATTCAACCTTATCCTCAAGTTGTTTCCATACTTTAACTGATTTATCTCTTGAACAAGTGAAGAAAAATCTTCCGAATTCTAATGGTGACCAAGAACAATCCCAAATAATTCTAGTATGAGCTTTTGGATCACTATGGACTAAATTGAATGAATTATCTTCAAAATTTCTCTCCCAAATACCGTATTGTCTATCTCTTGAAACGGTTAACAAATATTTATTATCTGGTGAAAATTTAACTCTAGTAACTGTCAAATTGTGTAACTTCAAGTTTGGTTTCAACTCTTGCCAACTCTTGGAGTCAAATATTCTTATAACAGCATGTTGCTGAGTATTTGAACGACATGAACTAGCAATCAAAGTTTTATCAGGACTTGCATCAACTGATATAATTTCATAACCATGACCATAAAGTTTTTCAATCTCTGGCCACAATGTATGTCTTTGTAAATGATCTTCTAATGGTGGTGTTGTTGATGAGTTCAAGATCTCATAAGAGATATTGTTTGTGTCAGCAGTTTCACGAACTTGATGATCTGTATCAGCAGGAGCTTCTTGATCATCAGAAGTTGCCTTATTGGATAGACCTAAAGCAGGTAATGAAGCTGATTCTGGCATTATGTCACTTTCAAGATCAACATTACAAAATTTCTTCAAAATCTCTGCAACACCTTTTGGTTCATCAAATGAACGAAGAATTTTTTCATCACCACCTGAAATGAATCTTGTGTTTGATAATGTGGAAATACAAATCATATCGTAACCATGGATTTGTGGTCTAGCAAATTCTTGCCATGTTGGAATCTGTCTTTTAGTTCCATCAGCTTCATTTAGCCATTGTGAATACAATCTTGTAGTTTGATCTAATGAGGTTGATAATAAATATTCTCCGTTAATAGACCATGAAAGATCTGTACATTTCTTTGTCGACCCCGTTACTGCTAACTTTTGTTCCCAATTAATTTGATCATTTGAACTCCATAATCTCCAAGCACCTGTTTTACCATTGGTCAAGATATATTCATTTTCTTCCGCATCATTGAACCATAAGGCAGCCCAGAACCCACCAGAAGAACCAGTAGCTGTACTAGCACCTTTTGTACTGATTTCACCCAATCTTGAACTACAAATCCAAATACCTGAAACATCATCTGGTTCCCAAATCATTAATGCAGTGTCAGCACTTGATGCTAATAACTTCAATTGAGTATCATGCCATTTCAATGCAGAAATCCAATCATCATGACCCATAATCAAGGCTTCAAAATTTATGGCAACTTTGTTTGATTCAATTGAAAATTTGTATTGTTTGTTGGATAATAGAACTAATTTATTTTCATCTTCATCTGAATTGTCGATAAGATCATTGGTTCTTATTCTCCATAGTCTAATGTATCGATCTTGAGAACCTGATGCTAATAAGAAATCACCATCTGATAATTTTTTGAATGCTAATGCCTTGACCCAATCCTCATGACCTTCTAGTCCGGAAACCAATTCAAATTCATTTATTTCTGCTTTGGAATACGTAAATTTGTAGATGAAAACATTGAATTTAGACCCACCAATAGCCAAAACGTATTGATTTGGTTCAATTTCTTGAATTGCAATGGCTAATGGTAACACACCGATTTTAGTCTTGAACTCTTGAACTAATTCAACTTTCCCTTCATTTGATTTCCATAGACCAATATTACCAGTACTATCACCTGTAGCAAAGAAGGACTCAAACACGCCAATAGCTATGATTGAACTTTGATGGAATTGGAAAGTTTCAACAAATTCCAAATATACAGATTCGGATGATTTAAATTTCCAAATCTTGATCGTTTTATCTTCAGAGGCTGAAACCAAATAATTGAAATTGTCAATGAATTTTACACATGTGATTTCACCAGTATGACCCTTTAGAGTTGAATAAACCCCTCTTGAAGATTTTGATAATGGATCCCATAATGCAATTGTATTACCTGCACCAAATGAAACTATACGTTTTGATGGATGGACATCACTAACATGTGTCTGTCTATTAGCACCAATGAAAATGGCTTCTGCTTCGGCCATTTTCAATAATAGTCAATTAAATATTATCAACTTTTAACTAATGTCTTCACAGTCTTTCAAATCTTGGTGATCTATGGTTCTCTTTGAAGCTCAAGAAAAAAAAATTTAAGACCAGAAATTACATAAGCGATGGGCATATTGACACTTAAACTGTCAACTACATAACATTCTTTTTATTAAAAGCGTTTTATTTTTCCAACAACATACCTTTGATATTATTGAGGAATTTAAAATAGTTGATTAACCAAACGAGCAATTCCTATGCTTAAAATTTAGTGCCAATTAATAATAAATAATGATATACATAAGTATCCTTTCTAGGACAAACCGAAACCCCATTATGAACAAGTTGATATAAAAAGAACTTCAATGAAACAAATAAACAGTTATAAAAAAAATGAATGTAATGAATTGAAGGACACCTAAGCTTCAACTTCATCAGCATCTAAAACACAACCATGGGAGGCATCTGACACTAATTTAGCATATTTAGACAAAGTACCTCTAGTGTATCTTGGTTGTGGAGCAACCCATTTAGATTTTCTTTCAGCCAATTCTTCTGGAGAGACTAATAAATCTAATTTATTATTATCAGAATCGATAACAATTTCATCACCATCTTTAACCAAACCAATTGGACCACCTTGAGCAGCTTCTGGGACAATATGACCAATTAAGAAACCATGTGAACCACCAGAGAATCTACCATCAGTTAATAAGGCAACATCTTTACCTAAACCGTAACCCATTAATGCAGAGGAAGGTTTCAACATTTCTGGCATACCTGGACCACCTTTTGGACCTTCATATCTAATGATAACAACTGTTTTTTCACCTTTTTTAATTTCACCATTTTCTAAGGCCTTAATGAAGGCATTTTCTTCTTCGAAAACTCTAGCTTTACCTTTGAAGTAAGTACCTTCTTTACCAGTGATTTTACCAACAGAACCACCTGGGGCTAAAGAACCATACAAGACTTGTAAATGACCATTTGCCTTAATTGGGTTAGAAACTGGATAAATGATTGGTTGGCCTTCTGGTAAACCTGGGTTGGTTGCAAGATTTTCACCAAGAGTTTTACCAGTAACAGTTAAAGTATCAGGGTTCATGAAACCTTCATTTAATAAGTATTTCAGAACAGCTTGAGTACCACCATATTGAGCTAATTCAGCCATAACATATTTACCTGATGGTTTGAAATCGGCTAATAATGGGGTCTTGTCAGAGATAGCTTGGAATTCATCTAAAGTTAATTTAACACCTGCTGAATGAGCAACGGCAATCATATGTAAACAAGCATTTGTTGAACCACCTGTAGCGATAACATAAGTAATTGCATTTTTGAAAGCTTCTTTGGTCATAATATCTCTTGGTCTAATGTCTAAATCGATGATTTTTTTGATAGCTTCACCAATGTTATCACATTCAGCCAATTTTTCTTCAGAAACTGCAACAGATGAAGAAGAATTTGGTAAAGTCATACCTAAAACTTCAGCAGCTGAAGCCATAGTGTTTGCAGTGTACATACCACCACATGAACCAGCACCTGGACAAGCATGTTGGACGATATCTTTTCTTTCTTCCTCACTGATTTGTTTTGAAATATATTGACCATAAGATTGGAATGCAGAAACTAAATCGATATTTTCTGGGATTGAAGCAGAACCACAAGTTGGGTGACCTGGTTTAATTGAACCACCATAAACCATGATGGAAGGTCTGTTATGTCTACCCATGGCCATAAGGACACCTGGCATGTTTTTATCACAAGATGGGATGGAAATGTTTGCGTCATAATGTTGAGCCATCATGATAGTTTCAAAAGAATCAGCAATGATTTCTCTTGATTGTAAAGAATATCTCATACCAGCAGTACCCATTGAGATACCATCGGAAACACCAATTGAATTGAATTGCATAGCTTTTAAACCAGCGTTATTAACAGATTGAGAACATCTGAAATTTAAATCTAACAAATGCATATTACATGGATTACCAGACCACCAAACAGAACCAACACCAACTTGACCTTTGTTGAAATCTTCTTGTTCGAAACCAGTGGCGTAAAGCATGGCTTGGGAAGCACCTTGATCTTTTGGTTGAGTGATGATCTTTGAGTATTTATTGTAAGCTTTTTGACATTGTCTTGATGAAGTTGAGAATGATCTTTGGGTATTAAATGTTAGTAAATGGTTGATGATGTGAAATATAATTCATCACTCACCTCTTGGACCCTGAGGCCAAATGTGATAGCATGCTCATGGCTGAATACGGTGGATTAAGCTTTTGAAAAAGAGATCAAAGTTGATCTGAGTTAAGTTGTTGATTTATGACTGAACCATCATATTAAATTTTCCAGGCCCGTTGCAGGAACCAGGCTCTGAACCAAAAAAAAAAATGTTTTTTTTTAAACAGCCAATCAAAAGACAGTTGAAGGTAATAAATTCATGAATTTTGAGGTGTTACAAGGTGAAAACATTGGTTTATGTGAGATATAAGGGTCGATTGAGTTGATTTATTAACTAGATGATGATTTATCCAACTTAATTGGACGTTATACTTCAAAAATTGGGTCAATTTGGTGTAAACTATGGAAAGAACTAGTGGTTGGTGCACTCTGTGAGATTTAACACCTCTTGTGATGAGATCCACTTTTTAAAAACATTTTGCTCAGAAAAGTACCTTGATTATCAGATCATAGTAAAAGCAATAATTCAAACTATCCATGAACTTAAATAAACCTCTCAAAGTCTCTTAAAATCGTCTTTATATACCCAAATCAGAGGGTAATCTGACACTAAATTTTGATCTGGTCGCGAACTTTACCCGCATTTACACCAAAGTCGAAACAAATTCGCGGTTTTTCGCCAAAGTGAAAAATTTGTGGAAAAAAAACCATTGAACAACAACAAATTGGATCAAATTGAATAGGTGAATAGATCTTCAATCCATCTCATACTCTTCCATAAATTCCAAGCATGCTCACTAGCCATCAATCTTTGATAGGAGGATTGAAACAACAAGTGACGGCTGTTTCACCAGCTACACAACAACAAATTCGTCATTTCTCAAGAAGACGTATAGCATATCCATCATATAAAGCACCAAAGCTTGGACGTACACATAAAAAAGACCATCGTACTACATTAAGATACCAAATGCAATGCTTTTTAGGGAAGAAGAATTATAAGAATGAATATCTAGATAATAGATATTTTGATGCTCCAAAAGATCATAGACCAAATTATATTACTCCATTCAGTGAACAGGGGTCACCATTAGTTGATTACAAAACTGGACAAGTTAAGAATTTGAAAGGTGAAGTTGTTGAAGGAGGGTTCGTACCTACAAGAAACTTTGAAGATGCCTTGCGTCCATTCCCACATAATTCACATTGTAAAACTGGGTTCAATTTATCCAAGAGGGATAGAGATCAAATTTATAAAAAAATAGCAGTAGATGGAATCCCTGCACAAAAAGTTGCTGTGGATATGGGTATTAAAATCCCAAGATTAGAAGCAACTGTGAAACTAAGAGAAATTGAAAAAAAATGGGGGAAAAGAGTGAGTATTTTACTGAGAGAAACTTTGGAATGAAATTGTTTTTTATTTTATGATGAGACTACAAAAAAATATTCGATTAGTCTTTAAGACAACATAGTGGTTAAAAATTTTTGTTTTACTGATATTTATAAATTTGTTTCATTGAGGTTTTATGACATGGTGTTGAAATTTTATTTACTAACTTCTGATTTAGAAACTAATAACACCAGAATTAAAGAAAATGTCTGAAACTATGTACAAGATGTTCCCATTATTTAGCACAAGAAACACTAGAGAAAACTTGTCTGAAATTCCAGTTCCAGAAAAGACTTTAAGTTCAAGGTTTATGACCATTGCAGAATCTGAACCTTTTGGTCCAATTGAAGCTTCAAAAGTTTATGATTTACCACCAGCTGTTGATTTGTTGAAAAAAGCTGCAGAACATGGTGAGCATTCAGAAACTACACTAGATCCAAAAGAAGAAGCAAGACTTCAAAGAGAACAATTCAAAAAGAAATTTTTATTTGCTAAGAAGAAGACTGATAGATATGCCTTTGAATTTAAAAAGGCTAAGGTTGGTGAAGTTGGTTTCCGTTATGGTACTACTTTACGTGATAATAAGAAGGACCGCAAGATTGATTTCGATAATTCCGGTAAGATGATTTATGCTTTACCACAATCTGGTTAAAAAGAACATTGAAGCATCATTTCTTGATTTTGTATATAGGTATTCAACAGAAATGGTGGTTTTGGTGGTTTTCGGATAGATCCGATATAATGATAAAGTACATGTTCATATTATGATTGAAGCTTTTTGTAGTGAAATTTTCGATTTTTTTTTTTTTGGCATTTATTTAACCGATTTGCATTGACCAAAGACTGTATCTGAAAACTGAAAATCATTTGGAAATGGTTGATCCTTGAACAAGGTATATTATAAAGGCTTGTTGGTATCCATGTCGACAGCTGTTACTTGGTAATTAGCTTCAGAAAAGTGTTGAACATAATTTAAATTCCACTCAACCATTTGTTTTCTGGCTATTAATCCAATCTAATTCCAGATCTACACAGTGAAATTTAATCCTTGATTAGTCAAACTTCAAGATACAATCAAAAGGTGCAAAAAGCAAGAGACGGTTACTTCAAATCACACAGTCCACTTATTCACACTATATTCAGGCCATAGTCCACTCGTTGACTCGTCGACTCCACAACTAATTCAGTTACGGTACAAACTTTCCCATTTGAGGTTCGCCTGAACTAAAATTAAGTGTGGCTTCAATATACAGACCAATCAATAAGAGATCTAAAGAACATAAAACCCATTAATATCCCATTTTTCATTCTTCCGCAAAGGGTTCCCAGTTAAGTTCATCAATTTACACCTTTTTGCTATTTTGGAACGGCTGAACCATGACGCCAACCAAAAGTGAGAATCAAGTTGCCACAAAGAATCAGCAATATTCACATGAGATAGCTACTCTTGAATCAATAGATGATGATTGTTGGTTGAAAAGGGATCCTCCAAAGAAAGGTTGGAAAAAACATCTACCTGAATATTTCACTTCAAATAGTGAACATGCTAAATTCATGAGAAAGTTGGATATCCTAGTATTTGGATATTCTGTTCTTTCGAGTTTTATTCAAACTCTAGATACTCAGAATATTAATAATGCTTATGTCTCAGGGATGAAAGAAGACTTATCATTATATGGTAATGAATTAAACCTATTCAGTACTTTTTATTCCTGTGGTGTTATTGTGGGTGCTGTTCCGTTGATTTTCCTAACAACTTATATAAGACCATCAATCATTTTACCAACATGTGAAGCTACTTGGACAGTATTTGTAATGGCTTGTGCTGGTGCTAAGTCTTATAAAACTATATATGGTTTAAGATTCCTCATAGGTGTTGCTGAATCTATTGCATTTCCAGGTTTCACAGCTTTAATATCATCATGGTATTTACCAGATGAATTGGGTAAAAGAGTTGTATTTTATGAAATTTCAGGTAATGTGGCGTCCATGTTTTCAGGCTATATTCAAGCAGGTCTTTATAGCAATATGAATGGAGTTCATGGATTGTCCGCATGGAGATGGTTATTTATATTTGATGGTTTAATAAGTATTGTTGTTGTCGTGTTTGGTTTTATCGTTATACCTGATACTCCAGCAAACACAAGATCTCGTTTCTTGAATGATCGTGAAAGAAAATATGCTGTTAAAAGAATGGAATTGGCTGGTCGTAAACCAATCAAAAGGGCAAATTGGAGAATGATCAAACAATCGTTATCGACTTGGCACTTGTATGGATTTGTCATTTGTTATTATCTTTACGGAACATTTTCCTGGGGTGATTCATACTTCAACTTATGGTTACAATCTCTTGATAAATATACCGTTCAACAATTAAATCAAATTCCAACAGCTTCACAAGGTGCTGCAATTGTTAACTCATTTATAAGTTCAAACATTTCAGATTATTTCCGTCATAGACCAATCATCATTGCAATTAACATGGCTATCTGTATGATTGGAAATTCATTTATTGCACGTTGGAAATCTCCAGAAGGTTTAAAATTCTTGGGTTATATGATGATTACAATGGGATGGCCCGCTCAAGCTTTAACGATGGCTTGGGCTAATGAAGTTTGTCAAGGTAATCCTTTAACAAGATCAATGATTGTTGCTGTTGGGAATACATTTGTTTATGCAACTAATGCTTGGTTACAAGTTGTTATATTCCCAGCTTCAAAAGCTCCTCATTATAAAGCTGGATATCAAGTTTGTGCTGCATTCTTAGGATTGGCCATTGTTTCTGTTGCTGTTTGTTATTACCTGTTACAACGTGATTATAAAAAAGGTTATGCAGTTAAAAGTTCTGAAGGTTTACCAGTTTATCCTGAATGGGAGAGATTTTTCCAGGATGAGGCTAAAATCGATGAGGAAACTAATATTAACCACTCAAAGGATGAAGCCAATGTGGTACAAAATGCTGTTGAGCCAAATTCAGGATCAAATTCTTCAGCTTCATTGAAAGGATCCCAAAAATAGTTTTGAACATCATTCCATTTGCGGTAGTCGTTCTTTAATCAACAATTAAATTTCTAATATTCTACAATTCACTTGTAACAAAAAAATTCTCTTCTCATTATTAATTAACGTCCTTTAAAGATTTATCTCATTTTCATAATATATTCTGGAGTTTGAGAAAATCTACTCAATCTCTTTTTTGGCTTTGGTGGAGGTTGGGCTAGTAATCCTTCAAATCTGAATAAATCTTCTTTTGAAAAATTTGGTGAAGTTGGTGTGGATGATCCACTATTTGGACCACTTGACATCTCCCCTCTAGATCTCATTAATGCTTCACGGGATGAAATCCCACTCAAATGACGATTCTCACTAATTGGGCTATTGCCAAATGAATCAGCAAGTGAAGTTTTGAATGAAGTATTTGATTGAGTTCTTGCCAAACTTCTATTTAAGATGACCGAAACTTTTTTATCATAAATTTGTGGAGCAGATTCATAAGGAGCTAATTGATCATTATTACTATATCTTGTATCGACTGAAGTAGAACGGAAATGATGACCAGCACCATTGTTACTAGTATTTTCTGAAAAATTATCCTTTGTGAAAAATGAATCCAAGTTATCCAATTCTGCCCACATGTGACTTAACGAACCATCATTCTCTTCAGCAACTGATGCACTATCCTGGAACTCATTATTGGATGATGATTGTCCATAAGCATAATCTTCCATATGGAATTTAATCTGTTCTTGCTGTTGTTCAGTCTCTGGAATTTCTGATTCAACAACAGTTCTGCAGGTGGAGAATACTGCGTGAACATTATTTCTTGTTGTTGCAGCTGTGATAGCAGGCATTGGAATTGACCAACCAGTCTCCTCAGGAATACCAAATAATGTAGCAGTCTTCTCATAATCTTTTCTTATAGTTTTATTACCTAAACTCATTCTCAAGATATCTTTATCCAATTTACTACCAGAAATACTTGTAGTTTCATCAAGAACTTCCAAAGCTTGTTGGGCATAAGGTGTAAGTAATAATCTAAGTAATGGAGAAATAAGATCAGCACCACATCCTTGAAATTGGGGTTCCGACAAATCAATTTTAGGGAATAATAACTTGAGCACTTTCATTGTTTCAATCTTGACCCAATCGATCTTATTGGATAGTAGGCCTAACAAGAAAATCACAGTTTGGCCACTGTATTCACCAAGGAAATTCTCAGAAATGAAATTGATAGTTTGACTTAAAAAGTCATTTTTGGATCTAAACCTGTTTTTAGCAAAAGAATCAATAATACGAGCCAAGTTTGGTTGGTTTTTTGCAAGAGCCATTTCACTCAAAGTCTTTGCAGATTCCAGAATTTGTGGTGTTAGTTCAGCCTCCTCTAATGCATGAGAGAATCTAGGAATATTGGCCAATAAAGCAAATAATAATCTTGATTCACCAGCAATGACCTCACTATCTTTCAATTTATTCAATCTATCAAGCAGCTGTAATGATGCATCCAATGAGACAGAAGATCTTAACCCAATCATAATTATTTGCTGCAAGCCTTCGAATTTACCTTCCCAGTTTGAAGGGAACGTCGAAACCAAGCATGACACGGTATCCTCAGAATCCAAATCAATCTTAGACAAGAACTTAGATAAAACAGATAACAACTCCACATATTCATGTTCATTGATTGTATTCAAAGAAGCAACAGTGACCCAGAAAAGTTGAGGAAAATCAATCAATTTTTCAGCATCTAATTCAGAAGTAATAGCATTCAATGTCATCAAAATTTGCATAGCAAAACCTTGAATATCATGAGTTTCATCTGAGATGGTATTTGAAAGACGATGCAACATATCTTTGAGCATAGATTGATCCAAAAATGACAAAAGTGAACGGAAAACTTGAAATGAACGACACGCAATATGTCTAACAGCACATGTTGTGGCCCAAGATAAGGCAACTCTACCCCATTCCTGCTGAATATTTGGATAAGTAGCACCAAAAATTTCTAATGTATTTCTGACCAGCAGATCCATATCCTTTGGTGACCGAGCTCCACTTTTATCATGATTCAAATCATCATAAATCCACAATGACTTATGATTCTTTCTAATCAACGCTTTTGTTTCGGATAATTTTGAATGTGAATTCACAGTACTCAAAAGATAAATTATCACCTTAGCAGCAGATTCTTGTACAACAGGTAAATAGTGATCCAGTAAAACAAATGAAGTATGTAATAACAATGGGATCTTGGGGGTTAATGACTCTTTAGGGATAACCAATAAATCAGAGAGAAAGATCAATGAGAGTTGACCTAATGAAAAGACTGAATCTTTTCCTGAGTAGTTCAAAGTCTTCCAAATATTTGCAACGTGTGGCAGACCAATATCATTTGTTGGAAGTTCAAGATTTGAAATTTGAGGTGGAACCATTGCTTTTGGCTCAATAAATGAAACCAAGGAATCAGCTAAATTCAAACTAGTCCCTGACAAGTAAACAAGAACTTTACTTGCAAATTCAACAAATAATGGATTTCTTTTTAATAAACTTGCTCTAACTGAAAATCTCAAAATGGCATCAATGTTAGCAAAATTTGCACCATTACCTAAAGATATCCAAAGAGCTTCAATTTCATTTGGAATAGAGTCAGAAAACCTAATGGTTATCTCAAATAAGTTACTCAAAACCATATACGACTGAATATCTATATCATCATCAGCGACATGCAACTCAACTGTTTGTAACCAAGGAATCAAAACAGTTAATATATCTCTTCTAGACTCAAAGCTGACAATATGAAAGTACATTGTTAATTCAGAAATCAAAAATATGTTTTCTTCTGGATAGGATGAAGCAAAATAAGCAGATATATCAAGTGATGCTCTCTTGTAAATGGTTTTATTTTTGTTCATAACTCTCTCAGTGAAAGAATTCACAAGCTCAGTGCCGAATAATTTTTTCTCTGCATCAATAAGAAGTTTCATAGCAGCTGTACGAATTTCATAATTATTGCACCCACATCCATAGAATCCAAGCAACAAAACCTGGTGTCTTTTGATAGGGTATTCATTTGCCTCTAGTAGAGCCTCAGTAATGATGACATAATAATTTTCAATGATGGAAATTTTCTGGTCAAAAATGCATTTTTTGAAAACTTCATGATATAACTCTGTATCAGAAGTGTTGAATTTAAATAAACTGTGCAATGCCTTTTTAGCCAAGGAGTAAATCCTTTCATTTGAAGAACCAAACAACAAATCAATCCAAGAAAGCAAACCTGGTAAATCAAATTTCAACATGGTTTGGCCCCTAAGTTCATGAATCTTTCCGTTCAACAATGCGACCATTGCATTTGTAGCAGCTATACTTAAAATTTGTCTTTCAAATTCGATTGCAGAATTAAGAGCAGCATGTTCTTGTGAATTTGTAACATGTTTACTCATTTGAGCATACCTTTGCTTGGAAATTGCTGAATATTTACCATATCCACACCATTCTTCAAGATATGTAAAACAAGCAACTCTGGCTTCAAAAGGTAACCATTTCCCAGAATTTCCAGTTTTTTGAATACCATTATAAACATTTTCTAACAACCCACAAAAATAGCGACGAAGTTTTTGAAATTCAAAACTATGTTGAACCTCTGATTGTGACAAAAATGACTTGATAATTTTGATGAAACTAACCAACTTGTCCACAATCCACTCATCTTGAGCAATGACATCTTCTTCCATAAACCTGGAAACAATATTCAAAACGTGTGTGACTTCTATTCTCAGCTTGCTGTCATCAGAATGTATTTGTTTCCCAAGCTCTTGTTCCCATTGGGCAAAAATTGGCTCAACACATTCGATAAAAGTTCTGAAAATGTTGATATTCATGCAGCTCAACCCAGTAATGATAGCATCTCTAACTGCTTGATTGTAGCCATTCAATAAATTCAAAGTCAATTTGAACACACTTCGAGCACTTGTGATAGTACTGTGTTGAATTGTTAGCAGCTGTTGGGATTTCTTTTTCCCATGTGAATAATTAGCAGGGATGTGAAGCCTTTGCTCACTAGTTGAAGTTAATGAGGTGCATGCAACAATCAAATATAGTTTCCATTGCTCTATCAAAACCTCAGGTAGGCCATAAGTCAACTTTTGTGAAGTGCGTGGAGTCTCAGCAAAATCCAAAATAAACTCATGGATTTGAACAAGTCTAGTGCAAACAATTGACCGACACAACGCCATAGTAATTGGACATCTTTCAAAACAGACATTCAAGAACTTTGGAAAAACTCTAAACCATAAAGCAGAATCCACGCCATAGTCAGATTCCGCTAACCTAATCAAAACATCTCTTCTTTGCTTCTGATTCAACTTTGACAATCTGGAACGTTCAGCAACACTTAAATATTGCTTTTGTGAGCTAATAAGTTTGAAAAAATCAGTGGTTTGTAAAATGAAAATAACTCTGGTTCCAATATCAGCAGCAAACTTGGAGTGAGATCTTGAGTGTGTATCTTTAGTCTTCTTTGTTTGTTCATACAACGCCTGATCAAAACTCTCTGTGATTCTCAATATGTCCAGACCTAGTTTCCGAATTTCAAAATCTTGTGAAGCTAGGAAAAACAAACCATGTCCTTCAACTTCCTCTATAACTGTGATGGTATTCTTCCATTGAAGCTCATCAACAATCTTATTTTCGCAATCATCCATCCCATCACCATCTTCCTCTTTCCGTTTCTGTATAGAAGAAAGCCAACATTGTAGCAGATCCAAATATAATCTGAGTAACTCTTTTGAGATGACGTGACTCTGTGAATACCCTGATCTTTCACTAAAATTGAATGCGAATTTTGCAAATGAAGTAATTAGCCCATTAGGACTCTTTCTCGATGCTAAAATTTTCAAGGAACTTGAAGCAGCACTTGATACTCTGAAATCACTATTCAGTGAGTTACGACAAAGTAATTCAACAGTCTTGCGCGAAGGGCCTGAAGCACACCATGGGACAGATTCCAAGACAACTGCAAATAATTCAATATGAAGACTTTTACTAAGTTGAACCGACATCTCTGAACCGAATCTAAAGCTGCTGAAGGGCGACTTGGTACTGTAGTAAAATGGGGTACTTGGTGTCTGTTGTTGTTCAGACTGTTGGTCATAACTAGCACCAATTGATGAATCCAATAGGAAAAGTAGTGAATCAACGTACTTGCAAATCTCATCATGGTTACCAGATTTGATGTCAATATCAACATCAGGCTGAGCAATGCTATCATTATCTTCTGGAAAGTTGGGTCTCTCTTTATCAGCCAGCATAGCAGTATAAGCCTTCACTGCTAAAACAACCTTCTCGTGTTGGACGCTATCTAAACTGTGTCCGCTAAAAGCCGATCTCAACAAGGGAATTACAAAATTCTCAACAGTTTGATTATAAGCAGCAAACCCAATAGCTCTGAATATTTGAACACACGGCAAAATCAACGAAGCATCAGACACCAACCAAGACTGTTTTCCTTTACCTAAAAACATTGACTTCATGATGGATTCAATCTTTCTTGTTGTGTTGTTCAATGTTTCAGTACATCTAAAGATGTAAACCCAAATCAATCTTGCAATACATGTAGTAATAGTGACTCTCTCTTCAAGTGTAGCGTGCTTGGACTTTAAGTTCCTTATATTGGATTCAACCAGATCATACCACTGAGATAAAAATAAATCACTAGGAGAAACACATAACACAGATGTAATCAATGTCAAATTAGTTAACCAACTCTTTGGGTTTAGCTCTATTGTTTCACAGGTTTTGTAAATGGTGTTGACAGCTTCTGCCCATGTTGGATGATTAACCTCAGCAGTTAATGATTCAGCTAATGGCAATAAAATATGTGACAAAACTTGAGAATATGCCACTTTGATTGAATGACTTTTGGTCTTGCTGAAAAATTTCGCTATCGATTGAATGAAGTCAGCACTTTCTTCGAAATCTTCCAAGGGATAATTCTTAAGTTTCAAATATCTCATACCATGAATTAACAAATGTATTGATGGTTCAATATCTTTGGGTACCACAGCTGGTATTTTCTCCAAATCAGCAATGAATCTATCACTTACGCTTAAAAATCTTTTATCTGACATGTACCCTAATAATTCTGCAAACAAATTCCAATTAGCTGATCTAATAATTGATGATGAGATGAGAATAGGGTCGGTACTTCTCAATTGTGAAAATACAATCTCCTCCAATTTATCACCCAAATCCTCACCAGTTGAGTCTGAATTCAATTGTTTCACAACTTCGATTAAAACCCGACAAAGAATGTAAATACTAATCAATGACTTTCGATCACCTTGAATAGCAGTTTCACGTGAAGATTGTACCTGTTGTTCCAAGTATCCTGATCTTGAATCAGTAACATTGACAGTTGATTTTGAAGAATTGTTTCTTTTATGAGAGAATCTGCTGACCGAACTTGAACTATGGGTATGTTTACGGAATGTTGTAGATTCCTTATGTTCTTTGGCAGCAATTATTGCCTTTTCCGCAGCATCAGCAGCCATTGCAGCAACTTCTGATTTAGACTTCCTCCAAAACATTACTGAATCAATAACTGGTTTTGGGTTGTTTTTGGAAATGTACCCAAGTGATGCTATTATTTTATCGAATTGCGGGTCAACACCTTCAGCCAACAAATCAACAATTGGAGGCTCTGTATTTAGGGGATATGTCAAACAAACATTAAGTTTTCTTTCGGCATGTCTGACGAATTGTGTAAATAATATATGAAGGGTGTATTCTGTTGGTGTTTTAGAGTCTGTAGCTAAACGTTTCCTTATAGTGTTTATTTCATCAATTGTTGCATTGTTGGAAGTCAATCTGCGGCTTTGAAAAGATTCTTTTTGAGTAGGAGTGGTAGTGGTTGCATTCATGTGTGTTATAGCTGAGGATTCGTCTATTGGAGTTTGAAGTGCATCTAAATCTATCTGATTGTTTTGCGGTTCATGTTGTGTGTTGAGCTGAGGTATTCTCATTTGTTGTTGTTGTTGTTGTTGTTTCTGATCTGTGGGACTGAAAGGCTGCAACTCAGGCTCGAGCGCCCGATCCAGATCTATTTCAAAAGAGGACATGGCCAATCTCTGATACGTCTGTTGATGTATTGATATCGCTCAGAGATTAGTTGGTTCTCTTCCTATCTCTTTAAACCTTGCTTGTAGTTTGTTCTGGAGGGCTGATTTTAATTGTAGCGCTATAATTTTCACAGGACCATCCCAACACCACAGTCCATCTTGGAAAATGAGCCAAAGTCGCGTATTTGCAACAACAATGAGTTTTCCAGTATGAATACTTTGTGTTTCTTACTCTTTAATTATGCTGGTTTGGTTCACTGTTTCCATCTGATTCTAATAATCTAATTTGCATGTAAATCTACAATATTTTCATCTCACTTTGAGGCAAGAATTCTATTTTTCCATGCCGGCTTCAACCAAACTCCAACGATTCTGCCCATCCACTGCAACTGGCCCAAAGCGGTTAAATTTGTGGCTCGTGGACAACGGTCAACAAAAAATAAACAGGCTCATACAAATTCAATATTCGTTAGCGGTGAGCACCTTGGAAATGAGCCAGAGTTCTCATCCAATTATTCACTAATAGGACCCAAAGTAGTAGGAGTCATACGGCTCTCGCTTGTGATTCATACAGTGCACACCCTGGTAGATTAGACGAAGTACAGTACTGAGCACATACAAATGAACGATCATCAACGTCCATGGCCTTAGATCTACGTGTGTTTTACAACTTCTATATAACGAGCTTCTCTTCCACAAAGACACAATTGCATTATACAGATCCAAACTTTTGTTATAACCCAATTCTATCCTACAAGGCCGCTTTGTGAACAATAGAACACACAATATCAAATCTTTTATCTACAATATGCAGGAATCAAGACTAAGAATTGGTATTGATGTTGGTGGTGAGTATCAAAGGCATTGGATATTAGAGCTCAGAACTAACATTGCCAGGAACAAACACTGATTGTGTTCTTCTTGATCCAACCAAACAACATACGGAATCAAGAGGAATCATAGCATGTGCTAAATCCTTAACAACTCCTGATATTACCACCGGTATATTCACTGTGATGAAAAAGGTCATCGAAGCATCTCAGGTTAAAACTGATAAGATTGCAATAGTGACTATCGGAACAACTGTAAGTCTTATCACTTATAAGCCAACCTCCAAACATGACTAACTTTACATCTTACAGCACTTTCTCAATGCCATCATCGAAAGAGATGTTTCAAGATTGGATAAGGTGGCTATTATACGTTTATCTTCCAACTTCACTAGATCAATACCTCCATTCTCAGACTTCCCACAAGATCTTAAAGACGCAATATATGGATACCATGGATTTGTCTCTGGTGGTTTACAGATTGATGGTTCATTAATCTCGGAAATCAATGAGGAGGAAATAATACAACAATGTGAAGAGATCAAGAAAAGAAAGCTAATTAGTGTGGTGATTGCTGGAGTATATTCCCCATTGGATACAAAATATAATCAAGAGTATAAGGCAAGGGAAATAGTTGAAAAACATCTACCAGGTGTAAGGATTGTTTGCTCAAGAGACGTTGGTACCATTGGGTTTTTGGAAAGAGAGAACGCATCCATCTTGAATGCATCAATTCTAAGGTTTTCAGAGTATGTTATTCAAAGTTTTAAATCTGCATTAGAGAACCTTGGTCTCAAATGTCCATTATACCTTACTCAGAATGATGGTACCATAATAGCAGCTAAACAAGTGAAGAAAATACCGATTGTTACCTTTAGTTCGGGTCCAACAAATTCAATATTGGGCGCAGCATACCTTAGCCAGGTCAAACATTCAAAATCAAGCATATTGGTTGCTGACGTTGGTGGTACAACAACAGATATAGGTGTTTTATTACCATCTGGTTTCCCAAAGCAAGCATCTGCTTATCTTTCCATAGCTGGTGTTCGAGTCAATTATGCTATGCCTCATGTTCATACTATAGGTTTAGGTGGTGGTTCCATTGTTGCTGAGCAAGCTGATGGCTCATTTACTGTTGGACCAGAATCTGTAGGACTCTCACTTACAAAAAATGCATTGGTATTTGGTGGTTCAACAACAACTGCTACAGATGTTGCTCTTTTGGCTAAACACATAGAGATAAAAGGTGGTGATATGTCCAAATTGACTTGTCTTAGTGAAAATACCATTGACAAGTCATTTAAACAGATTCAACTAAATCTTTCTAAAGCTATTGATGCAATCAGGACATCTCCTGTGGACCTTCCGTTGATTCTAGTCGGTGGTGGATCAATGGTAATAGGAGATAAGATTGATGGCATATCTGAAATCATTCGCCCCACCTATCATGAGTATGCCAATGCTATTGGTGCTGCCGTTGCCAAAATTGCTTCCGTTGTGGATACAGTTATATCATTAGAAGGTGGAATATCTTTTGAAAAGGTTTTGGAATTGAAGAAACAAGATGCTATTGAAGCGATCATCAAAGACAAAGGTGCAGTTAGAGAATCAACTTATATTGCTGATGTTACAACTCTCCCGGTCCAATGTTCAACCAATAAAGTTAGAATAATCATTAAAGCTGCTGGTGAAGTTGATTTGACAAAAGCATTTGAACTTCATAACAGAGATTCAATTGTTCAAAATGATGATTTGAAAGACTTTGAAAATTTTCAGAGATCTGAAATCAAGAAAGTAGTCAAACCTGAAGCTACATTTCAAACCAAGGTTCTTGATTACAAGCCTGATATCAAAAATGGTATTTGGAATATATCACAGACAGATCTGAAATGGTTTTCGATGGGATGTTACGTTTTGGGTTGTGCAGGTGGTGGATCACCTCAATGTGAATATTTGGAAGTCAGAAATATCCTCGATGAAGGCTACGAAATCAAGATTCAAGATCATGAGGCCATTGGTGATGATGATATTATTGCTTGGGGTGGTATCATGGGCTCACCAGCTGTCTCGATTGAGAGACTAGGTGGAACAGACACTGTTGATGCGTTAGCTGAAGTATTGAAGTTCACACACAATGAAGATTGTCAGGCTTTGATGTGTCTTGAAATTGGTGGTGCAAATGGTTTACAATCATTAATTATGGCTTCATCAAAATATTTCAATAAACCATTATTGGACTGTGATTGGATGGGGAGAGCTTATCCAACTTATTATCAAACAACTTTAGCTGCACATACTACGGGATTGTTAGCACCAGCTGCTATCTCTGATGGTGTTGGAAATTCTTTGATATTGACGTCAGCAAATTCTGATGTCTTGACTGATGTTATTTTGAGAGCATCATGTGGAGAAATGGGGTCAAGGGTTGGCTACGCTGGTCGTCCATCTGAAGGACATCTTGTTAAAAAATTTGCAGTTAAAAACTCATATTCCTTAGCTTGGAGAATAGGTAGACAGATTGCATATTGTCAGGAAACAAACAGTACAGATCAAGTCGCTGATAGAATCATTGAAGAAGTTGGAGGGCAGTCTAGTGCCAAAAAGCTCTTCACTGGAAAGATAACTTCTGTTGAGCAAAAGTTATACAAGGGTCATAGCTATGGGCAGATTGTTATTACTGCATTTGATGCAGAAGATCAAGATATCTCAAGTTCCGATATTCCATTTGTCGAGACTAAGGGAACTTTGAGAGTTCCATACAAGAATGAAATAATGTATGCTGAACATGAGTTTGATTCGAAAAAAAAGGTGAGTTTGTTTGACTATTCTTAAGTTGGATCCATACTAACGATATATTAGATTTTGGCATCAGTTCCTGATCTAATAAGTGTGATTGATACACAATCAGGGCAAGCCATTGGTGTTCCGGAGTTCAAGTATGGTCTTAGGGTCATTGTCATTGGTATTGCAGGTTCAGATCTTTGGTCTGATTGCGAAAAGAGCAGAGAACTTGGTGGATTAAAAGCGTTCAAGTAAGTTGTTTGTTCTATTTATACGCTATTTTAGGTACTAATTTATATCACAGTCTAGCTGATACGGTTACCCATGAGTCATTAGGGGTTTATAAGCCCACCAAAAGTGTCATTGAAGAGTATAATGAAACATATTAAAAAATGTACATAGTTTATAATGACACATCGTCTTTGACAGACAGCAAACGAATTCGCGAACATTTTGTAGGTACGCCAAAAAATGCGCGTCAGATTTTTTTTAGTAGCCATTCTCCAAAGATCATCATCAAAACCGATACAGTCATTAAAGAAGACTCACTACGCTGATTCAACTGGCTAAATAAAGACATGAGTTCTTTTGATATTTATCTACCCGATAATTCTGTCAATGAATCAATTGAGCTTGAGAATTTCATATCAGAACTTAGGGACTCCAAGCTAAGGAGATTTGCAGTCTTTGATGAACTGCTTACAGGTTATATAGTGCTCAAGAAGCTAGAATATGAACACCCCATTGATGCTTCATTAGATCTATACATTCAAGGTAATAATGATCAATCTGTTAATCTAAAAAGTATCCAGCTCAATAACCCAATCAAATCAGATTCAACTCAAGTCGTTTACAAATTCATACTATTCCTATCATATCCAAAAATAAAACTTGAGGATCCAATACTGAAACTTAAAGTGCAAACCACTTTGAACCAACAAGCCAAGTCTAACAAAATCCAATCTGATCAGGCGTTGGTGGACTTTTATCCAGCAGAACATCGGAACATATTAGATGGTATACAACCTACAATTACAAGTAGACAAAACAAATTCTTGATGAGTGATGCTGTCTTGTCAGATTCATTGATCAAGCACAATAAACTTGATAACGTTAATGGAGCTGAAACAAAAACTAAAGATGAGATTGAGAATGTTCAAATAAATAAAGAATTGGAAATACCCACTATAAGAATATTGAACCTACGCGTTCGTAATATAAGAATCAAGAAAACCTCCATTTTATCTACAATTGATGTTGAACTCTCCACAAAGTTCAAGTCTCTGGGTCTTCCAATTTCTTTAAACAACATCAACTATAGATTTCAAAATACTGTCAAACCCAAATTTAATTCAGAATTTCCAATAAAAATTGAAGGGGATGATAGTTTCAGTTTTACTTTCCAGTTAGATTCTAATGAAATATTGAGCTACAAAACACTGATTGAAATTGACTATTCTCTTGATAACCACAATGTCAAGACAAAATGGATAACAAATATTGAATTTGGAGCCCCACAAAGCATTAAGAGAGCATCAACAGCATCATTATCATCACAGCATACACTTAATACATCTCTATCATCTGGCTTAACTATCAAATTTCTCGGCAATAAAGAAGTCAAAATTGGTGAAGTTTTCAAGCTTAGAGTCCATATAGTAAATAACTCTAAAAGAAATAGAAATTTAGTTATGGTTTTTAATTCAAGTTCAGAGGCTTTTTTACCAAACATTCCGAAAGTGAAATCATTAATACAAACAAACATCAATGTTTTGAAATATTATTCAACTTCCAGGATAAGAACCACTGGTGTTTTAAGTCTTGTCAATGAAGTACATTTCAAAGTCAATAGTGATCAAGTTTCAGAAGGTGAAATTTTCCTAGTGGGTTTAGAACTTGGAGTGTTCAACTTGACAGGGATTAAATTAGTTGATTTAATAACAGGAGAAAGCATGAGTTGTGATAAACTACTAGAAGTGGTTGTCTCTGAATGAAATATATAATTTCTGATATAATGTATGTGTTGTATAATTTAATTTTTACTGGTCACGATCAACCCAACAATTTCTGTAAAAATTCTCTTCTTAATTTTTCATAATTTGTTCTTCCCAATACAAAGTCTCTTTTACGTTGTTTAGGAACTTCCAACAAGATCCCTTCAAATTTTCTAAAGATTTCATCTTTAGCGATCCCACTTTCAATGCATAATCTTAAGAAACTGCTTAAATAGATTAGTACGTTTGCTCTTAAAGCAGGTAAGCTCTCTAAAATCTTTTCCAAAACATCTTGGTCATTTTTATAACTTGATAACAAAAAAGTTGACAAATCACTAGAAACAATACCACCATCAAGATTTCTCAACAACAGTAGCAAGACTCTTGAAACAGCTCTTGAAGAGCTTCCATCGATTGTCATATCAGCTTTTTCCAAATCCTTTGGGTTTAGTTCTTCATCTTGATCTACAGCTTTTATAATTTTTTTCTCCAAATCATGTGTGAAGTTCAATTTTGTCTCATCAAACATATCAACAACAATGTTATTTGTAAGATAATTGATCAAAGTGTATAAAGGCTTTGGAATACCAGTATGGTCACCAACACCATTTAATTCATCAATAGAGCTACCAAAATAACTATTTTTAGCAACAAATGTACAAGTTATGAAATAATCTTGTGAGTTATAAGCTCTTAGGATCAAGGTTCTTTCATATTTTTTACAACCTATAGGTAATGTGGCAGTTATTTTCAGCACTTGAGTACCAGTTTTAGGAATAACACCTTTAACAGGTTCAACTCTTCCACTGACATGTTTTCCTGGGAACTTCTGATCGGCATTCTCCACAGAATCAATAATCTCCCAATATGATTTATAATCACCAGTGTTTGTAATTTTAACTTCAATGGTTGTACTTGTTAATATTGGAGTCTTGACTTCATTTTCAAGATTTTCGAATTTGAATGTTGTCTTTTTAGAGTTATTTTCTTGATCATCAATTTCTTTCAAGTAAGTTTTAACAATATCATTTCTTTTGTGATTGTTGATTATAGGTAATTTGAGGGAATAATCTGAAAACACAGGTCTATGATCTGATAATGTTATATTTGGAGATTCATAACTTTCAATTTGAGTGTATTTGGATTCTGAAACAAAGATTCTATCAGTATATGATGGTTTACGATCATCAACGTAATCACCATTCTCTTCATTAATCTTGTAAGTTGGTGGAAAATTGATAGTTCCCTCTTGAAACCGGTCCAAGATTCTACCTTGATCTTTTTCTTTTGTTAATGTGTCATAATCAAGTAATGACTTGAAATCTTTTTCCTTAACCAATGCATTAATTATCTCATGAGATGCTGTGATTCTATAGTTTAGGTCACCACCAATGAAAATTATATTTTTATCACCATCATGTTCTTCACCCTCAGGGGTTGTAGATTCTATAATTTGTTTTCTTTGATCATCAACCTCATGAACTATTTGTTCCTTTTCAGCAGCATCTTTCAAAGGGTCTTCATCATCTTCATTGGCTTTAGACTGTTCCTCAACTTCAGATTCTTCATCACTTTCTAAATCAACGGATTTCAACATGGTATCAACATCATCAACATCAAACAAGATGGATTTATCATTCGAGACCAAAGAACCATTAGAATGAGGTAGCTTAATATAAGTCTTGACACCTTGTAATTCTTTTCTTCTCTTCAATAAGAAATTTTCACTTTCACCAGCTGCAAAATGACAGTTCAAAAATGCAAATTTGAAATCTTGGATTTTGAAACAAGTTGCAATAGCACCTTTATTACCATAGAAGTTTAAAATCCCTGTCCCAATTGAACCAATTTCTAAATCATGGAAATTTAAAGACAATTCATCTTTAATGATTAATATAGATGCTAATCCCAGCAATTTATTTGTTTGTAACACTTTATAATCATCACCTAATATCCCCAGTATTTTTTTAATCCAATGTTCAATAGGTACAGGTGAAGATCTAAGATTTTTGGCTGATAATGGAACAATTTCCTGAAATGCAATAAAATATAGTTCAAATTTTTCCTCAGTACCTTCATCTCCCTTGCAAAACAATTGTGATAAATCTTCATCTGTATTATATAATGGAGCACCATGTAAGTTCCAAGTTAGGAACCTCAATTTGATATCTCTATCTTCCAAAAACCCATCTTTATGATCTTTCAAGTGAGATTTTAAACTATGTTCTTCACCAATCTCATCTTCATCAACGTCGAAATCACCAGATTCTTTCTTGCGTAAAAAAGTCAATCCCTTTTCCCACTCTTTTAAGAAATCGTCCAAATGAGCTTTATCCTTTTTATCAATCATTCCAATTTGGTATTGTAATAAATTTATACTCAATTGATCATCTTTAGGAACAATAGTTAAATCATCATCAATGATCATGGGTATGAATTTTTCATACAATGGTTGTTTTGAAGATTGAATAGCATAGCGAGGTATATCGTCATCATCATCTGGAGGGAAATACCATAGTGTGGAATCATCAGTGACCAATTTCATTCTTTGAATTGCACGCGTTGGCACCCTTTATCAAGTTGATGGGATTTGTTATAGCGGAAATCAAATGCTTTTTTATAAAGAAAGTTCGCGAGACAATAAGGGCCAAAATATTGAGCATGGATCTTAGAAATAACATGTTACAAGTTAATTGAAAGGGGGATCTGGTATTACAATATGCTACTGACTATAAGCAAGCCCGTACTGACCTAGCAGTATAATAAATTCCTTCCATTTGGAAAAAATCCATACATATCTCTTCTTCATCACGTGACTGTAAACACTGATTTCATTTATATACGACATCTCTTATTCATCATCATTATTCTTGTTCAATACAACTTGACCAACAGAAGGAGCACCGAATTCGGCAACGTTCTCTTCATCAACTTTTTGAGAATCGACATTATCCCAAATGTATAATAATAAAATAATTGAAACAAAATTTGATAAATTTGGCAATATTAAAATCTTTGTGAAAACTGAATCTGCCCAACTCGATTCTTGAAATTCGATTGGATCTATTGTAGTATCTGCATATTTTCTCAATGTATGAACAATTGCCAATATTATTGTTAATAAGTTCATCAATATTGGAACAAAGCAAATGATATAACCACTTTTTTTAAATAATTTTGAAGTTGTCAAGTCAAAATACATTGAAATTTCCTTTGCAGTTTTATAAAAAGATTTAACCACCCAACAGAATCCAAAAATTTTCAAAAGTCCAATTATAGTTTCACTTGGATTAATTGAACCAGCTTCATTTAAAACAGATATATTTGAACCGAGATTTGAAACTGCAACAACTCTCATAAAGAAATTAATAGCCATGAATAAGATAATCTTTTTGGAAAATGCTTTAGGGAAAGTAGATTTATCATATAATGTACCAAAACCTTGACTTATAATGAGGATCAACCCCCAAGTTATTGAATCAAAGGCATCAACAAGTACAATCAGTAACAAGCTGAACACGGCAGCGGTTTTGGAAACTTGAGCATCAACTGAATTCAACCACCATAATCTTAGGAATTTGACAAATGTTTTCAAATATATTAAATAAGTATAATGGAAAATTGCTCTTTGAATTAATGAAATTTCAGAATCTTTGAAAAACTTCGCATAGATAAATCTTCCCGAGATGATTAATAACAATAACGTAACAATTGGTAATTGAATACTAGCCAAAGTGTTGAATTTCAAGACATCATTGAATGATAAATATCCATAAGGTTGTTGAAATTGAACATCTAATGAATAATCTCCTCCGCTCACATCTTGTAAAGTTTGGATATAAACACAATAAAGCCCAGTTTCCATAACTGGGTATTCTAAAAATGATCTTTCATTGAAATTTAACACTTCATTATAAATTCTTGAATTTGATTCCCTATAATTAACAATAAATTTCCCCAATTCTCTACATTCTCTATTTTGTATAGCTTCTTCATCACAAATTTTCAATGAATTATCATCTGGGTTTTCAAAATCCATGAATTGTGGGATATTTGAGTTTTTAATATCTGTATAATGGAAGATTAACGTTGTATAGTTGATATCTTTATGAGTTGGTTCAAATTGGAAAGTTACATTGATGAATGGATTGATCTTGTTTGAATATCTTGGGCCATAGACACCTGAGCATGAAGCAAATTTAGCAGCTGAGCAGAATGTTGTGAGGAAAGATATTATGGGGAGGATAGTTAAAAGCTTCATTATTGATTTAATATTGGGTCATAGATATACTGAGTTGGTGTAAATTATTGACACATGTATTGTTTTTTGAAGGCAATGATTTATAACTTTTGGTATGACGTAAATAAGGGTAACTCTATAGCGAAAACGTCGCGTTTAATTTATACCATTAATCTGGTTTAATTTGTTGAATTATGGGTATTTTCTGGGAAATGTATTGAATATTTGGTTGCAATAGTTCATCATGGTTCCAACATTCTCTTATTTATGTGTGTATCATTGCAGTATTACAAAAAGAAGTGAATTTTGTTTATGTTGATGTTATGCTTTTCTATCAATTTTGTATATGGGTTTGAAGCGATGGGCGATGATGGTACATTACAACTACAACAAGTATCATGAAGTGGGAAATGTATAATTCTTATCTAAATCACTGAGAGACTCATGGATTCCATCCTAGAGATACACCCGAGTTTTCAAAGAATTGGACATATTGGGAATCAGTTGAGTATTAAGCAAGCTGGTTCTTATCAGACATGCCAGATACACCAATATATCACCTTGGATTAACAAATGGTACCAAAAAATCCTTACTTGGAGAAATAAACAATCAAGTTATAACTATAAGCAATAAACAGAAGACCAGTTAAATTCACTATGTAGACTTTAATCCAGAAACACTCCAAGCAAATAACAACAATCTGATAAAAACAATATTCAGCGCGATGGGTCAGCAATGAAGGTGAACAGTCATAAAAATATAATATGTCTGACACCAACATTGCACAATCAACGCTGCGTTACATGTAAAGAATAGCAAAAAACAATGAGACGTTGAACATCAATCATGATACATGAATAAAATGAATATAAAGAATTCATGAACAGTACATTAACTGGGTTTTTTTTTATTAAAATCGCGAGGTTGGAAATTTTCAAACTGATACGTCTGGAAGAAAATAGAATAAATTCACTCAAATAAAAGAGACCTAGCTTATAAACCCTATGGATACACATAATTTATTGAACAATTGAAATGTACTTCAAGAATCAATTGAATAGAACAAAAACATTAATTTAAATCTAATGAATCAGTACAGCACATAATGTTGACTTCCCGATTAGGCAATAATTAATTTTCATCTTTTTAATTCTTTTTAGATTTTGATGAAGCATCTTTATCAAAAATTGTTCTTTCATCATCAAAACTTGACTGTTTTCTATTTGACGAATCTGGACGAGTTTCTCCTTCCTCATCATCAGATCCTAAATTCAAACTATCATTATCATTGTTAATATTTGAATAACCTGGAGGACCATTAATCAAATCGTCATCATCATTTTGTAAAGATTGGATATCATCCAATTCGAAATCCGCAGCGTTTTCCGGGTCTGTTGGTAATTGTTGAGATGCGGCAAGCATATAACTTGTATCTGTTGGTCTCCAAATGAATGCAATTAGGTTGAATATGACAAAATAAACTAAAGATGGCCAAAAATCTAGGAAAAAAAATCTTGATTTCCAATGTTGTTCGATTAGTTCAGTTGTAGACATTCCGATGAATATGAATGAACTGACAATTATCCCAAACACGAGGACTAATAATGAAAAAAAAATGATTCTGAATAAATTTTTGTACATTTTCAATTTGATCATTTGTCTTTGGGAGTGTAATAGGGCAGTTGTTGTTGATAGGGATTTTAAAACCATTGCATAGAAAATAGCTGTGGAAATAGCAACAGGGATTGCAGGGATACCAACTAATAAGGATTGAGATTCTGGAGAAGTTAAATAATTTGAAACAACAAAGAACACAACAAAGAAGAAATGAACACCAGTTAGGATTCTGCATCTAAGTAATAATTTCTTATCCAATTTAGGATAAACAACACCATACCCCAAGGAAATCACCAATAACAAATAAAAAGAGAATGAAACTTTAAACCCACTTAGGATCGAAGTGAAAGTCATATAAACTTTAACACCAGCGTCATTTTCACCTTTTCTATTTTCTAAATCATAATAACCCCAAACGAAAACGGTCTCCAATGTTAAAAAGAGGAAAAAAAACAGGAAATTTTTTTGTAATGGTAATAATTCGTGTTTATGTTTCCAAAAATTAAACCCATAATAAGCCATTGACACAGCATACATTATTGCAAGGGCCCCGTACAATGTTAGTTTAGGGAATTCAGAAGCTGCGATTTCACCAAATGAGTTTCTAAAATTGACTTGAGCTTTAAATTTTGCATCATTGACCAATGGGAAACTTGCAACACAATAATAACCTGTTTTCACAATTGGATAAACTAATTGTTGTAAACCTAGTTGATTTGTTTCAAAAGTTAGGATTTCAGAAATGTTGTTGTTTGTATCTATTATGAATTCACCTTTTGAAGATTCATTACAATAATTTTTGGAGATTGAATCATCATCACAAATGTATTTATGATGACCATTTTCCAAAAGATGGCCTATTAGGTCGAAATCTTGATATTCGAATATTATAACTGATAATTTTGGATCAGATTCAGAAGATGATGATTGATATTTTTGTAAATTAAAAGATATGAATGGGTTTTTCGACCCACCCCAAGCTTGTTTATCATACATCCCAGTACATGATTGGGAATAGGACTCATCTAGAGTGACTCTGTTTGCAATGGCCAGTGATGATAGTGATATCAAGGGTAGTATGATTGAAGATAGCTTCATGGTTTGGGTGGTGGTTGGCAATTGATATGGTAGTTGTTGGTTTAATTGAAATGTGTTTTTTCGAGGAGAGTGAATTTTTCTTGGGTCTAAGCCAGGATATGGAATGGGAGGATGGTGGTGAAGGTAGACAGAACTATAGTGATTGTGATAATGATTGAATGGTAGTGTGTAGTGATAGAGATAGTGATATAGTTGTATGGTGATGGTAGGATATATTGTAATACAGTAGTAATAGTAGATATTGTAGAGTGGTAATAGTAGTAGTAATAGTCATTGTCAAGTTTCAACGGTTATAAAGGAGATACTGCAACTGATTGCAACCATGGAAGAGTATGGTCTATGAAATAGTATAATACAAATTAATACAATGCACATTTATTTATTCTATTACTATTATAGTACTATTATATTACCATTACCATTACTATACTACCACTACCACTACTACTACCAGCTACTATCCTGACTAAGCACTTAGTCATCTTCATGAAATTTTGCCACTAATCAATCAATCACCACTGGTACAATTAATACACTAATGCAACCAATACAGCCAATACAACCACTATCAATAGCACATCTCAAATAGATCAACTAGACCAATATCACCATTCCTTAACAAGATTGTTACTATTACTGTTACTATTATCGCCATTACTATCACCACAACCACCACCACCAATATATTTTTTTGAGATTTTGTCCTTTTTGTCATCCAAACTTTTTGGTGTATCACAATCATCTCATCTTCTCATTATAACACTCAAAAGATACAATAAAACCCTGCCAACAATCAATATACTCATCATTCCTCCCATATATCCATTCGCATTGCTCTAACATATCCCTTGTCCTTGCCCCTTGCCTCTGTCCCTGTCCGTGCCCTTTCTGTTGTTTTTATTGTGTTCTGAATAATGAGAGATTCAAATTATAAATCAATATCTTTAAACAGAGCTGCAGTCTCAATATCAACAAACCTTTATGACAGGCGTGCCTTGGATTCAACTTCTGATAGACCTCTAGTCAACTCTTTAAACCATCTAACTTTCCTGACAAGCTCTTCTGCAAAAGTTCGTGAAACTTTATCCACTGATGGTGGGTTGGAAAGATTAGTTGGTATATTACATGAATGTAAGAAAAAACCTGATAATGTTGTTGGTGAAAAGAAGAAAACTATAGCTCAAGAGAAAAATGATGCTATTATAGCTTGGAAATGGACTTTGGCTTTCCAATGTTTAGTACTGATTGGTACAAGAGGTACTGAATCTATTAGGAAAAGAGTTGTGGAGGCTGGTATTATCCCCATAATTGCAACGGTATTGGATAATTATCTTTTAATTGTGAGAAATTTTGATAATAATATTGATAATAATCTAAATGATAATTTTTTAAATTTGGTTAATCTTCAACAAAAACAATCAATTTTACAACAACAACAAGATTCATTATCAAAAGAAAATTATGATGATTATGATGCAGAGATTAAAAATTATTTAAACAGTAACTCGGAATTGTTTAATTATTTACATGAAGATTATAATACTCCACCATCAACAAGTTCATCATCAAGTCAAGAGGAAGCAAATAATACCACAAATTCTCCAATCCAAGTATTGAGAAATATAAATAATGAAATCAATATTCAACAAAATTTACAAGATATCAATCAAACTATAAATTCTCCAAGATTCTTCCTTAATGGGATCTTGATTCCAAAAGAAGATGATGTTGTTTGGTCTTTACAATTATTAGCATTCATTTCAAAATATTCAAATTTAAAAGATTTCTTACAATTTACAAATCTTGTTGATCCATTATCCCTCAGATCTTTATTGAACAAGAATAATTCTTCAAATCAACAAAATTGTTCAATTCCTCCACCTCTGGAAAATGATGATTTAGATAATGAATTAGAATATGAATTGATTTCAAATTTATCATCTGATGAAAATGATAAAAATAATCATCAAAATCAACAACAACAACAGCAGCAACAACAACCATCAAATACTCAATCAACTATTGAAGATTCCTCTCAATCACAACCTCAAACTCAACGTCCATCTTCACAATCTTCAACTTCTCAAATTTTGATCCAAAATAATAACGAATCAAACGATAATATCATAACTGATAATGATGAATTAATCAATTCAAATAATGAAAAACCTGATTTATCAACTCTTGTTAATCTATATTCTCAATCAAATTCAATCAATAATTCAAATAAAAATTTAAACAATTTAAACAATATCAATAATAATAACGTCAATGATCAACTAATAGAGAAGAAACAATCTTGCTTTACAAAATCATTACTGAATTCATTCATCAAATTTGCTCATTGTTGTGAAAAAGAATCACCACCTCCTTCACCTCATCCATCAAATGAAGCTAAAACTCTAAGTCTTATTGAATTAACAATAAAATTAAACAAATTTTATCAAAGAAAACATTCATTAAACAAATTGACCAAAATTCAATCAAATATTAAAAAACGTGAACAATATCAATCAAAATGGAATTATAACTCATATTTCCAAAAAAACCCATCCTCATCATCTGATATCGACTCTTCATTAAAAATCACCCATCATTTAAACATCTTCCCCCTCGTGGAAAAATTCACAATAAAATCAATAAATTCTCCAGACATGTGTTATTGGTCCGGGGTAATAATGAGAAATTCATGTAGGAAAGATGAATCAAGAGGTGGTGTTAGACAATGTGCAAGTTTTGATTGTGGGAAATGGGAAGAATTCCCAAGACAATTTGCTAAATGTCGTCGTTGTAAACGTACGAAATATTGTTCCAAGAATTGTCAATTAAAAGCTTGGGTCTATCATAAACATTGGTGTGTTGATTCAAATAGTTCAAGTTCGGGAATGTCGAGTGGGAGAATCCAGAATAGTCAACGACAAGAGGAGAATGAAGGTGCTGGTGGTGCTGGTGCTACTACTCAACTGAATGAGAATTTGAATTTGTAATGAATTGTTTGGACAATGTGATGGTGGTTTTTGTTTATGTCTTGTTTGAATGTTGTTAATTGCATATGGTTAGTTTATTAGTTATTGAATAATTTTGTTCCTTCCCTGTCATTTGATTTTATTTTGTTTATCTGTGTTTGTTTGGTTTTCACGTTCATTAATGAAGCAATAATGTGGTTAAAATATCACGTAGTCTACATTGTCCAATGAATCTATATTAATTTCTCTTTATTCTCTCTCTATAAAAATCTAGTTTCGATTGCCTGCATCAATTTCATAGTTTGTTCCATAAATGTTAATGTTAAAATAGTATGAGGTGCAATTCTTAATAATTGTGCACCAAACCCTTTATATAATGCAAATACCCCTTCATATTTAATAGTTTTAACAAAACAATCAATTGGGCCTTTATATAAATCACCTTTTTGATTATACATTCTTGTTAAAACAACATCTCCCGGATTCATAACAACACCAACACCTAACCCTGCAAATGTACTTGAAATTAAATGTAATCCTGTACCATCCGAGACTAATTCATGTCTTTGTAAAAAATGTTTAACATAATTATAAATTGGTAATTGAACTGAAGACCCCATACCGGTTCTTATTATAGCTGCATCAACACCTCTAAATAATCCCTTAAACCCTTCTTTTTGTAAAATTTTGGAAAACCCATCAATGAAATTCTTGTAATGAGTTTGTTCACCAATGGCAATCTTGTTTGAAAATGATTGCATTCTTGTCTTGATTAAAAACAATGGTGATCCAATTATAGCACCTGCAATACCTGATAACGCACCCGCGGCAACATTGATTGGAACTTTTTGCACACTATGTGGATCCTCTTTAGGATACACTATAGAATTCAGGACATTTCGACTTGGTTCATATAATCCTAATCTACAACCATTCAACCCAATTTGATAAATATATGCACACACCAACCCTCTTTGTGTCCCTCTTAGCCCTTCATTTGAATAAATTTTCAAAAGTGCCTGTATTGGGTTTTTGTAAACTTTAGCATGAGGATCTCCATGAGATAATTCACCTTGTAGTTGCATCCTGGTCTTGACTAATTCAATTGGATTGGTGAATGTGACGGCTCCACATGCTGCTAATCCACCAGCTATGAATCCTCCTGCTGTACTGATCTTTTGGGATGCTGTTTTCTCCTTGATTGGCTTGGACATTGTGTGTAGTGCTTGTTGGTGGAAAGTGTTTGTGGACTTGAAGATTAGGATCAGATCTAAACTATATACTTATCGAAACGTCTTTTTTTTCACTATTACTCACCTGAATCCGGAGCGCCAAACCCGCCGGAATCGGTGGGCAGTTGGTCGCGAATGTCAAAAAAGAAAAAAGCTTAAACCCGATGATTTTGACAGACAATTAGGAAAATCTACGTTGAAAAAACCGTTAATCTTTTAATTGTGTATGCTATTGTCTTCATGTGTTTAGTAATTGGTTTCCACAGTCTGTACAAAATATTCCAATCTCTCTGGAGTGTGGGATCTTTGATACTTTAAACTTCTCACTATTACAAACTTCACAAACTAAATGACCTGCAGTACCATTCAATTGTTGATTTAATCCTGCAATGTTCATATTCTTGTTTGAATCTAATGTTCCACTTCTTGATCTACCACCTCCAGCATTACCAGATGTAAGATCACTTGTTGATAAATTCAAGGCACTGTTATTGTTATTATTCCGATTTCTAAATGAATTTCCTTTAGAAAATGATGAACTATTTGAACGATTTAGTCCCTTGTGTAAAAAAATCCTATGTTCATTCTCTTGTTTGTTTTTTTTATTCTTCTCTTCAATCAACATCTTTCTAACTGTTGATGAAAAATCTTGTCTGAAAACTCTAATCAATCCATTATCATCAGCTGTAACAATAATACCACCAATGAAGTCTTCTTTAATTAATGAAGTTTCCTCCTCGGTATAACCTTCTTGATCACCTCTTAGTTTTGAAAATTCATTATTCAATTCATAAATATAATCATTTGATAATGATAATGCCTTGGAAGTTGCAGATGGTGCAACTAATGCACATGTGACAACTGAATGATGTGCATGAAATGATGTATAATCTTTTCTCTTTTTTTTATCATGAATCAATTTTTTCAATTGATTTCCTGCATGATGATTATCATCACCTTCCTCTTTCTCCAATTTCCATATATATACCCAATGATTTTCAGATCCTGATATAACATATTTCTTGTCATCAGATACTGTAGCAATGATTTGTGAAGAATTATTTTCCAATCCTTTAAAATATTCAACCATTTGTCTTTGTCTTAATGATAATAAACGAATTCTTGAATCATTTGTTGTAATCAACACTTTAACATCATCTTGATCGAAAAAAGTTTCAATACCTGTAACTTTTGATCCATTTGCATGATTTTTCTTTTGATTAATAACTAATGAATGTCGTAGTTCAAGATTTGTGGTATCCAAAAAATATAAAGTACCATTAAAAGTACCAGCTATTGTTAAATTCCCATTTGGTGTAAATGTAACTGCTGTGACTAAATTTTTAGCATCAAATTCATAACTAACCTCGTTATCTAAAATTGACCATAATCTAACTTTATGATCTAAACATCCACTTAGGAAAAATCTATCATCAGTTGGATGGAATTTAACAGAGGTGACAAAATCATGATGGGTATAAGTTCTCAGACATGTGGTTTGATTAACATTCCATAATTTAACAGTTTTATCCATTGAACCTGATAATAAGAAATTATTCTTACTCCAATCTAATGACAAGATATCATGAGAATGACCTTCAAATATTCTATATGGTTGTTCTTGGAAAACTGAGGCATACATTGTTTTTTTAGTTTCTTCATCAACAGTAACATTTTCTAAATCATCCATCTCAACACCAGTAACATTTGAACCATGTTCTAATCTATCTAATGGTGAAGCTATAACTTTCCAAATCTTGATTATATTCCCCCTGCCAGAACTTGCTAAATATTTCCCATCAGGGCTAAACTTCATTGTCCATATGGAATGTTTTTTATCATCATGAAGAGGATCAACATAATCAGTATTTGTATTGTTTGGGCTAAACCCATCAGATTTTACAAAATCATTAATAACTAAATCAGGTGTACTGGCAGCAAATCCCTTTGTGCTATTTTGATCCAATTCTTGTGCTAAAAATAATCTTTTACAAATTGGTGCACATTTTGCACATTTCCTAAAATTTTTGATATATTTGGGTTGTGTCAGATATTTTTCAAAATCTTCATCATCAATGATTTGTAGTTTTTCTGTCAAGTCAGTTGGAATTGATTTCTTCCCTGTTGGCTTGTTACTTTGTTTGAAACATAATGGTGCAATAGCAGCGGAATATGAGTTCAAATCAATACTTTTCTCATCTTCCGAAGATAGCTCTTCATCACCGTGATAAAATTCTGAACTTGTAGTGGATGATCTAGTTCTACCTGGTCTTTCACCGTGTTCATCATGATGACTGAATAAGTTTTTAAAGAACTTCTTTGATCTTTTGGATGAACCATTGGATGAAGTAGCTGAAGTTGGAGGCGTCGAAACAAAAGACGATCCAGCTATAGAGGTGTTATCTGACATGATTGCGACTTTGGTTCACAACGACTCTGGTTCGAATATGAGGCGCACTAAGCTATAGAACCTTCTTGGAATATTTATAACTCTTGATTTAAACCGCTCAACAGTCCCTTTCAACTACTGGAATGCTGTGCAAAGTGAATGATGACGGGTATTTTATTTGTATGGAATTCTTCTTAAAGGTCCCTTTTGGCTGGTGAGTGGCCCTTACCGGCTTCTCCATAGTTAAGGCCGTTGCCCGCCAAATGCGCTCTTTCTTGATAGTTTGCAAAAAAAAAAATTTCAATACTGAAGCGACGAAATCATAGTGGATTTGGAGTTGGCATAGCAGCATATACAAAACAGATTACAAGATGGCTGATATTGAACAGTATGTTGTGTCATGAACTATTAGATTATGTGTTGGAGCATTTTGTACTGACAATTTCCCTATAGAAGAGTCGGCGAATGGGCTGATGATGAACCTCAAGAACTACAAGAACCAGTAGTGAAAACTAACGCAGATGGTACTAAAACTATAATTTCATACAGAATAAAAGAAGATGGTAAAAAAGTAAAGATAACACAAAAAGTGAAAGAAGTTATTGTGAAAGAATCAGTTAATAAAGAAGTTGCAAAGAGAAAAAAATGGGCTAAATTCGGAGCTGAAAAGAATTCAGCACCAGGTCCAGATTTTAGAACTACACAAGTTGGTGAACCAGTATATCTAAGATTAGGTACTGCTTGGAAGGCATTGGAGAAAGAAGAAGAAGAAAAATCCGCTACTGAAGCTGCTAAAACTAGTACTTCTACACGTATCAAATGTAGAACTTGTGGTGGTGCACATTATACAGCAAAATGTCCATTCAAAGAAACATTGGGAGGAGATCCAGCTATTTCAGGTGGTGCTTCACCTGCTCCAGAATCAACTGCAGGCTCACCTGCTCCATCTGCTCCAGGTAAATATGTTCCTGTTCATTTGCGTAATAGACAACCTGGTGCTGAAGGTGAAAAGAGATTTGACCGTGATGATTCAACTACATTGAAGGTTTCACAATTGAATGAAGTTGTTACAGAACAAATGATAAGAAATGAATTATTTGCAAACTTTGGTCCATTAGTCAGAGTTAACATTGTTAGAAATAAAGAAACCGGTAGATCTAAGGGTTTGGCATTTGTCCAATTTGCTTCAGAAACTACTGCTCAAAGAGCTATGGAGGCATTGCACGGAAGAGGTTACCACTCATTGATTTTGCATGTTGAATTTACAAAACCAAGAAGATAAAAAGGATAAAGTGTATGAATATATTTTAATGTGTATTAGCGTGATTTATTCACTCAAGGAACAAAGAAAAAACGGAAAAAAAAATAAGAAAAAGAAGAGAAAATGTAGAAGAAGATATTAATTGTAATTATTAAAGTAAGAAAGTCTCTTTGTACTAAAGGTATTCTTAAAAGTGGTTTTCCACCATTTCTCTATTATGGGAGTGCCCGCACCAACCAAATTGTTGATTTTGTTCAGAGAAAAAATCAAGATTTCGTTGCCACCTTTTGAAATCAAGTGTCAACATATTCAATTCACTTCATTGAACCAAGTTTTCCATAATGTCATCAGTCGATAACGATATCCCGGGAATTTTATCTACATTACGCTCTGAAGCTGATCCAAATTTGGCTCCATTGTTTTACAGTTTTGAAGACTTGTACCAACGTAAATTATGGCATCAATTGACTGGAGCTCTTGATGAGTTTTATAAAAACCCAGCCTCAAAACCTGTTAAATTAAGATTATATTCCAATTTCATTACAAGCTTCAAATATAAGATAAATCAATTGAAATTGGTTCAATTTCTTTTATTATCAATTTCAGAAATCGAAGATGCTAATGAAGCTTTAGAATATTTACAAGATTTACAAAAAGATTTAGAAAAAGAGGAACACATTGATAAAGAGCAAGCATTGATCTTCATAAAGATAGAGATTGCTAGATTGAACTTGAGATTGGGTAAAGAAATTGAAGCTAGAGAATTTTTAGATGATATAACCACTGAATTGGATAAACATGATTCAGTTGACCTTAAGATCAGTCAATCCTATTTCTCAACAAACTCTGAATACTATAAAGTCAAATCAGATTACAACAACTTTTACTATCAAAGTTTATTATTCTTATCCACCATCCAATTGGAAGATTTAACTGTTATTGATCAACAAAGACTTGCTTATGAATTAAGTATCAGTGCCTTATTAGCTGACAAGATATATAATTTTGGTGAATTATTAACTCATCCTATCTTGAAGACTTTGGAAAAAGGTCCATATCAATGGTTAATTGACTTATTGTTTGCATTGAATAGTGGTAACATCACTCAATTCTCAAAACTATTATCAAATCTAGAAAAAGTTCCATTGTTGAAAAATTCTGAACCATTTTTAAGACAAAAAATATGTTTAATGACATTAGTTGAATTGGTTTTCAGCAAATCAATTAGAACAATCACATTTGAAGAAGTTTCAAAAGCAACATTTTTAAGCATTGATGAAGTTGAACATTTAGTTATGAGAGCATTAAGTCTTGGTTTGTTGAAAGGTTCAATTGATCAAATCAATCAAACAATCTCTATAAGCTGGGTCCAACCAAGAATCATCAATCAAGAACAAATTGATAATATGAAACAGAGATTAGTTGCATGGGATCAAAATGCTGTCAAATTAGGAAAATTCATGGAAGCCAATGGTAAAGAAATTTGGATTCAATAGAATGATTAGTTTTTAGAAATGGATCATACACAGTTTTTGACAAAGTTAGTATGCTGTAGATTCAATAAACTTAGCTAGTTCTGTGTGTCTATATACTTCCTCATGTTCTCCTAAATTTGAAATTTTCAATGTGTATGGCACTTGATTATTTTCAAGCTGCTTAATCAACCATCTTGTCTGTCCCAAAGAAAGTAATTCATCTTGATAAGAATGAACAACATTGAATTTAACATTACCGTAGTCTGTTAATTGTAAAGGTTTGATATTTTCGTAATCATCATGGGAATCAGAAACATATTTTTCGCACGATGGATATTCTTTGACCCACTCATTCAAGTCAAATATACCATCAATCAAAACCACTTCGTCAACGAAACCTTTCAATTCACCAAGGATTGACAAAATGATTGTGGAACCAACCGAGTGACCAGCTAGTTTTATTTTCTCATATTTATGAGCATCTAGTATGAACTTGATTGCAGATAGAACATCTTCATTATGTTTTGGATATTTGACCTCTGGAGTTAATCTATAATCTATACTAAACAATGGAATATCATAGGGGAGATATGAGGACAATTTGTCAGCGTCCATATCTGTATTGTTTGGGTCAACCCATGCTCCACCATGGATGAATATTAATGGAGTTTTCGTTGAGTTTGGAGAATGGTCATAGCTAGTTAGTCTTTGACGAACATGATCTCCGTATTGATGCTGATTTGAAGGTCTAGGTGAGGGCATTAGAACTGGATAAGTTCTATGAAATATTTGAGGTCTCAGATGTGAAATAGTTTGTAATTTATAAGAGATCTCGAAAAGACGTTTCTGCATGCACTTTCCAGATTTGTATCAAGCGCAAAACATTTTCGCGAAACATAAACAAGCTGAATTTTGAAATGTAAACAAACAAACTCAACATCAACAAAAAGCTCGTTAAAAAGCATTAAAACACTCAAAATGGCAAAGAATAAGAAAGGAAAGAAGGAATCAAAAGCTCCACAGCTGAAACCGCCAGCACAGATTCTTCCAACCCCATCAGAAGCTTCCATTCCTCAGTCTCCTGCAAAACAAGCTACAGATCCAAACCCTTCAAATGGTGATAAATCAAATGTTAAAGTGTTGGTTAGGGTCCGTCCAAGGATCGCAAGAGAAGTTGAACTGAACTCATCAGTTTTGGTTAAGATGAAGGGTGACATCACACAACTACACAATCCAAACCCAGTGGAATTTTCAAGTCCTGCCAAAGTGAGGAAGACAACAGATGAATTCAATGATAAAACTTTTACATTTGACCACTCTTTATGGTCAGTTAGCAAAGAAGATCCACATTTTAAATCACAGGAAGATACATATGGATTAATTGGGAAAGAGATACTTGAGCATACATTGAGTGGTTATAATACTTGTATATTTGCATATGGTCAAACTGGATCTGGTAAGTCCTATACAATGATGGGGAGTGAGCAAGATCCTGGTATCATACCAAAGACATGCGAAGATTTATTCCAAGAGATTGCAAAATTTGATATTAGACAAAGGGCACAGGTTAAAGTTTCTTATTTTGAGATTTATAATGAACAAGTTAGAGACTTGTTGGTTGCAAGTGATAAACCATTAAGAGTGAGAGAAGACCCTAAAACAGGACCATATGTTGATCAATTGAGTGAATTTCCAATTGAATCATTTGAAGATTTCAAAAAGTTCATGAAAGCTGGTAATGAAAACAGAACAGTTGCTTCTACAAAGATGAATGATCAATCATCAAGATCTCATGCTGTGTTTACTATTTATGTAAGAACAACTGAATTTAACAATAATGAAGACTTGGTGAAAGAGAGGGTCTCGTGTTTAAGATTAGTTGATCTTGCAGGTTCTGAAAGAGCAAATTCCACTGGTACTTCAGGTATACGGTTCAAAGAAGGTTCAAATATTAACAAATCTTTAACCACATTAGGAAGAGTTATATCTGCACTTTCTGATGGACAAAAACCACCATATAGAGATTCAACCTTAACATGGATCTTGAAAGAAAGTTTAGGTGGTAATAGTAAGACTGCAATGATTGCATGTATCTCACCTTGTGATTATGATGAAACTTTGTCTACTTTGAGGTATGCAACTATAGCAAAGAAGGTCAAATTAAATGCTACAATTAATGTGGATGAAATTACAAATTCGGAGCATGCTGAGGAATTGGCAAGAATGAAGTTAGAGATTGAAAACTTGACAAATTCATTGAATGAAGCACAAAAACAAGATGTTTTGGTTAACCAAATTACAAATCTAAGTAAATTTTTTGAAGATAGACTAATCGATCAAACAAATAAATACAATTTGATCAAGGATAAACTTGAAAGAGCTAATGAAGAGAAAGAATTGAGTCAAAGAAATTTGAGTGCAATAATCAGTTCAATACTGGTGGACAAGAATACAGATGGTGCACTAAATGATATAACCAATGATTACAGCAAGTTGATGAATAAAAGTCAGAAATTAAAGTCAAACATCGCTAAAGATTTGGACTTTTTTGCACCTGAATCTACAATTCCCACGTTATAAATGATACATCCCTATTAATAAACCATCTTTTTTTTTGTGTACATAATTGATTTAACCAGTCTTAAATATCAAGAAAGCTAATGGACCAATGTAAAAGTATGTGAAATAACCCATTTCATGAGTAACGTAACTACCAAAGTTTTTACCAACGATAACGTGCCATGTATGACCATATTTTTCATCTAATTCTTTCTTCAAAAATGTGGCAATATCCTTTTCCACTGTATGTTTCTCTAAAGCAGTAGCAGCTAGTTCGAAAACAGCAGCTTGAACATCTTCAGCCTGTTGTTATTGATCGTTAGTACGCCTGAAGTTATTCAAATCTGATCCGTCGCACTCACCATATCTTGTGCCTTCAAAACAGCTGGAAGAAAACCTGTTAGTATCAATTCCTAAACGCTCTCTCCAATGAATCCATCCTCAATCCACTCACGTTTGTTGTCAGCCATCTTGGTTGTGTTGTATTGTGGTTGTCTTTTTAGTCTGTTTATCAGTTAGGCAGATCCAACTTTTTTCTTGTTTTTGTTTTTGTTTTCCATCAACTTGATTTTTTTCTGGAATTGTAAATTTTGCTACTCAGGCTCTAAACAAAGAGCATCAACATCAACATATTTTAGGGTCAATTTTAAGAGAAGCTGGTTTTGGGACTCAATTTTGACTATGGACTCCTTCCATGATGAGGATAATAACCCTTTTTCAGGCAGCGACCACTTGTTTGCCAGTGGAATTGCAGGAGATAACAACTTCGCTTTGCCTCCAGAGTTGCAGTCGTCATCAATTATCTTTGGTGGTGATGAGCATTCTACTACAAATGAACCTGGTGTACCAGAATATAATGGGTATAATCAAGAACACAAGAAAGTGAGGAGCTCTTCAATTCAGTACTCAATTAATGAGCAAGATGCATTCCAAGCCGGTGGTGATACTGGTCAAGATAACAGTAAAGGTTTTGAACCAGTATTTGGACAGGAACCAATAATTGAAGATGAAGCTACACCTGATCATGAAGAGGATGAAGAGATAAGTGATGTGTCGGATGATTACCAACGTGTTTCCCAATATTACAATTCAGCAAATAGTCAGAATGTTCGCACAGGGACCTTGCTCGATCATGACCACATAACGATAACGGATGCAGGCCATATAAGAGACATGAAAGGTAATAAGGTCATTGCATACACAATTAGATATAATCAAATTGAACTGAAAAGAAGGTATTCTGAGTTTGATAGTTTTAGAGCTTCGTTGGTAAAGTTATTTCCAACATTTATTATTCCCCCAATCCCTGAAAAGCATTCAGTTGTTAAATATTTCCTGAACCCAATTAACGCTAAGAATGACCTGAAAATAATAGAAAAGAGAAAAAGAATGTTGGCTTCATTTCTTAATGGTTGTTTACATATACCCAATATCAAGGATTCAATAGTGTGGAATAAATTTCTAGATCCAACAGTATCATGGATAGAGGTTTTAAATTCACCACCTATATCACTTTTACCATCTTCAAGTCTATTAGCACCACCTTTAAACCCAACAAAACCAAGCCCATTGCATTTATTATTACCAATACCTCAATCTGGAACAATTAATAACTTTAGACCAAGAGAAGAAGATAAGGAAACCTCCAAGGAATTTAAAGAGTATGAACAAATTTTCAAAGTCTACAAATCTTACACATCGCCATTGGCTAAGAGCATGAAGAAGCAGAAGCGTCATTTCAAAGGATTGGTGAAAGATCTTGGTGAATTGGGTGCTTATTATAATGCATTCAGTCTTGAAGGTAATTTTAATCTGGCCACTGGTATTGAAAAAACTGGTCAAGCAATTGATATAAACTTCATAAATTCAGAAGCATTCGCATTTAAAATCCTGACAACTTTAGAAGAACCAATAGTGGAAATTAATCAATTTTCCAATGAAACATTAAACGTGATAAACTTTAGAAAATTGAAAGAAGTTCAGCTTTTCATAATAGATACAACTATCAAAAGAAGAAATCAAAGAATAGAATCTTTGAAAAATGCTCAAGAACAAGCAAACAGACTAGAGGAAGTCTTGAAAAGAAATGCAGAGCAGTCACCAACCATAGCTGCTGCTGTTAAAAGGCTAGAAGAAGGTCAATCTGTTCAAAAAGTTTCTCCATGGACAAGACTGTTTGCTGGGAAGTCTAACACGAATGATGTTTCAATGATGAATGAGGAGCAAAGAATGATTGAAGTTGATAAGATTGAGAAAGAAATTGTTAAGCTTAATGAATGTTTAAAAGTTGTTCTGAAAGATTTGGATCAAGTCAATGAGTCGATTAAAAGAAATTTACACTCTGTCATGGCACTATATAGTGAGAAATGGAAAGAATTGATGCTTAATTATAGTGAAAGCTTATTAATATGGCTTCATGAGAACCTCAAAGCATGGGAGGATGCAAAAGCTGAAATTGACAAGATTGAAGTGACTCAACCAGACTTTCAAAGTGATGATAGAATTCCAGAACATCTCAAGAGGAGGTGACTACAATTTGCATAACCAAACTACAATTAGTGTATTAATAATGATCGTGATGCATGGTATTTAATGATATGTTATATAATTGAGAAAATTGTAAAACTTCATTCGTCAACTTCGCTGTCGTCATCCTCATCCACTAGGTACTCAATCATAACACTACCGTTTGGCCATAATTGATTTACTTCTTTGACATGTTGATCTTCTTTGACAGGGACAACATAACGTGGAAATGGTGAAATCAACTCAAATTCAAATTCATGTTTGTAATCTTCATGTATGTCATTTGAGATTTTTTTCAAATCTTCTAAATCTTGCTCTGATAACTCTTTCAAGTGCAGTTTCAATGCAACAAATGAATAAACATCAAACAATGTGTCCTCTTTAGAAAACTTTTGCATGACATGTTCACCAGATGGTAACTTGAACCGTATGTTTGTGAATTCACCTTTTGGTAAATGAGCTAAATTATCAAACTTATCTAATAAAGATGCATAAAACTTATTCTTGTTCTCTCTTTTGAAATCTGCCTCCTGTTCTTTCTTCAACTTTTCGAGTTTTTCAGCTTCTCTTTTCTCTTGCTTCAACTTGTCTGCAATTAATGATTCTTCGTATGCTTGATCTTGTAATTCTTTAATCTGTCTTGAATAGTTCAATTCATCTTGTTCAATCTTCCTGGTTATAAATTCAGGTTTATATTTTTCAATTTCACGGCGTAATTTTGTAACGAATGAATTCACTGATTTAACAGGAATTCTTGATAAAATTGACATACTTGCAATGGCATTTGGACCACTAGCAACGTTTCCAATTAAATAAACTGCAGGAACCACAATTGTTTTCAAGTTACGTGCGAGGGCTAATGATTGAGCTTCATTAACATTGCCAGCATACACGATGACTTGTTCTTCTTTGATCAAGTTGCAAATCGTGTTATTGTTGAAGACCTTCTTTAAAAATTGATTTGACGATTCATTCTCTCCGATCAACACAGTCAACAAGAATTTTGTTTCATTTTTGGCCTTGTTGAATGCATCATTAAAATCACCTTCAAAAAATTGAGTTTCTGATCTATCAGCGATTAAAGACTCAAAATGTTCTTTAAAATCAAACTTCTCCAAAGTTGGTTTATCTGGCAAGTGGTCTGGAGAAGATGGAAAGATAAAGCTAAAGAGGTATTCAACCGCTGTCAGCAACAATGTAACAGTTCTAGGGATGATTAATAAAATAAATAATATTGGTGAATGAGTGAATTGATTCCATAAAGATGAACTAGTTGAATTGTTCAAGCCAGGCTGAAACCTCCGATTATTCGATAATGGTCTAACAATAGGTAGCTGTGGTAATAATCCATGGGTGGATAGTAGTGGGTTTTGAGCATCAATATGAGACCAAGAATCAAATTGGTTCAATGTCATTTCACTGTTATTGAAACCGCTCGATTGGCCTCCCAAAGTTTGAGTATCGAAAGCTGAAGATGAAGCACCAAACGGAGTAGCTTCAACTGGAGGAGGTGATCTTGCAGCTTCCCTATCTATATCACCATCGAAATACTTTGATAATGCAACCTCTAGGTTCCACCAATTGTTCCGTAGTAAAGCAACAACTTTATCGTATTCATCATCTTTGAATGCCGTGATCATCTGAAATTGATCTAGCTTTTCTTGTTCTGACGGCGATATATGGTCTGGCATTTTCAATTTGAACCTTCAACATGTATCTTCACACGGTAGAAGTTTATTAGTTAATGGATTCAGCTTTGACTGATTGAAAAGTATGTGTCAATTTCTACTTGTATCGCGTATACCGCCCAAGCACTTATCACAATGTCCGGGTAACTTTCGCGGCTGGATAGCAAAAAATTGGGCCGAGCAGGGAATTGAACCCTGGGCCACTCGCATGCTTGTAGTAACTGTAAATCAGGTGTAACCCAATCTTCGCCCAAAGCGAGTATCATACCACTAGACCACACGGCCGAATTGTTGAATTGGAAAACTGTTGAAATACTAGACCTTGACTAGCGGATTTCTCAAAAAATTCCCTCAATTTTCTCTTTTTTACCATAATTTACCACTGTACAATTAATTGTCGTGATGTATATCACGATGTGAATTTTTACTATCAATTATTCCTATTGGATAATTTCAGATTGATGTTGTTATTTTTCCAGATTTAGTTACAGCTGTTTCCATTAATGGAAACATCATTTTAGACGTTTTCATGCAGAATTGTTTTCTATTATAATTTTCCATAGACCAAAAATGACATGCTGTCCATTTTTTCTATATATTGAACATTTTCCTATTTAATCTTTATATTGTTTATACGTGTTTAGAAATTAACATTATTCTTATTGTGAATTTGAATTATAAACTCCAGTCAAAACGACAATTTTAATTAATTAGAGATAATTAATTAGAATAAAGACATTCTTTTTTTTTTTTTTTTAGTTGATGTATTTGATGAACTTGGATGAGGAATGCAATTACGCACGAACCGCTTGGATTGTAGGCTTCTCGCTATGTCATGAATAAAATATGTAACGTAATTATGTATACAAAAAAAAAATAAGTACCAACGATATATATTTCATAACTTCAAAATCCCAAACTTGTCAAATTATCAATTTTCCAAATCTCTTAAAACAATTTTAAAACTAATTAATCCTAGTTAAGAGTAACTGAATATACTAAAAATGGATTTTCAACTTGTGTTATCAAGATCTTGAAGATTTATCAATACTACGTCAAGTTTGGGTGGTCTGAACTTACATTCGGAGATAATCGGCCTTTAGAGATCTGGAAGATTCGACTAGATTTTAAGATCTTAAATGGTGCTGCAATAGTAATATAATTTGAATACTTCCAGTTTCCAATTTGATGCTATCTGTACTATTAATATCTTAATTTTGC